TTGCAATATTTTTTTCCGCCCGTTTCGAACACGGCATGAGGCGCCCATGCGCCGGACGTCACGTTGGCAGCCATGTTTATTGCATGGCCTTAAGGGACACTTAACCAAGTAACCGGCTCGGCAAGTGACTTGGGCCAGGCTCGAGTAAGCGCGAGAAGTCACGTTAGAGGTAAATCGAGCGCTGTCGCGCTTGCATGAGTAAGCACAGGGGAAGTAATCGAACGCACTGTACACAGACAGGGATGTGTTACAGATGAAAATTAAAGTCACATCATGTCGATGAAATTAAAAGTGCACATACAATGCAGTTTACTGCCCCTAGGGTATGATAAAACCATGATAATGGTCTTTGAATACATACATGTAGCTTGGCCATGTTGTTGAACTGTTTATGTTCTATAAATTGTCATAAACCTGTCATTCCTTCACTTTTTCAAATTGATATATTGCATTTTGGAAAATAAAGTTCTTCATTATGATCAGTACCTGGAAAAAAAAGACTGGTGTTTTAGTTGTGCGGCATAGCCCCAATATGCATAGCCCCAATGTATAAATAGAGAATTTAAAGGTCATTGACCTTGCAAAGGTCACAAAGGGTCAGATATGAAATGCCACCATATCTGAATTTTTCGTCATACATGTTGTATGAAGACCTCACATGCCAAGTTTCATGCTTTCATTACAAAATGCACAATTCTGTCCCTATGCCGCACCACTGTTACAACTTAAGCAAGAGACTTCAAGAGGTGTGGTAAAACTAGCTGTCTGAAGTGATTGCTGTGCATTTTCGAATAATTAAGTATTCAAATAATTTCTCAACTAAGAGAATGGTTCTGAAAAGAACCAGAGGTATAAACCTTTCATTATTTAGTATCTCCACCATGCAAAGCCTCCAACCTTACTAATTAAGTATTAGATCACTTGAACTAGGATTTGACAGAATATCTGTATATTCAAACATCGACATCGAGTTGAAACCTTTTTTAATATAATGTACATATCCATACCTTTTTTTTAAAGACAGCTGACTGGCTGATATTTGACAGATGTAACCAATGAAAATACAGCATTAGGCTATCAGCCTGGGGGTTTGGTTGGTATCAAATAAGGGGAATAATGCTCATTGTGATTTGCAATTGCATCACTGTAGTTGGAAAATATGTGATAGCATTGCAGCGGTGGCAGCTTTTTGGGTGCTGTCATATTTACAAAATAATAGTGGTCAAAACATGCTTACGGTTACCATCACACATTTTCCTACTCTAGATGTGTATACCTTGCCAAAAATCGCCATGAGCATTGCTCCTTTTGATCATTTGATTCCGGTGGCCCTATTTTTGGACCGAAAGGTGATAGCCTACATGTAAGGTGGCCTACCACAAAATAAAACCACAAGATGGCTCTTTTTTTCCAAATATCCTTCTTGGTAAAATGCTGATATGCAGTTAGCCTTGACCAAGGCTATCAGCTTGTTCCCATATGAGCTTGTTCCCGCTACCGCACACCGCGCGCGCAGCAACACAATGTTGTACTATTATACCGTTAGCCCCAACGACCCTTGCGTGTGCTTTGTGTGCATGTACGTACGCCCCACACTCACTTCCGCAAACAGCCGTACAGTAAATCGAGGCAGAAGATAGCCTTGACACAACCGTGTATGCTGAATATGATAATTAGTACGCGCTATGGTAAATAGTCTTCTCTCATTGGATAACGGCTGACAAAAAAATGAATATTTATTAAGTTGCATAATGCGACTAAAGGTTTATAAACCAGACGGCCTGTGGTAACAATAATTATTGTAAAACACCCCCTTAAAATCTTAAATAATAGTAGAATAATATTTATAAAGTTACACATAGTTTGGGTCGAAAATGAAATGAAAAAGGATGAAAAATTAGACCTTCAAAAAACGGCAAACGGTACAAAACCGCACGCCGGCAAAAACGATGTCACCATGCACAAAGGCCACGTTGGGGCCGTCCACTGTAGGCACCGGCCCGGCTGGCGCCATGCAGTGAGACACGCTGCGCTTTCACGTTCAGCGGCCAAAAAGCGCTCACACTGTTGAGTATATCTACCGCTGACTTTTTTTGGGGGGGGGGTATTTCTTCTAAGCTGTCAAGGGGATATGGGAAAAAATATCTCTCCTTTTAGGCAGGGTAAGCCTTAAGGATTTTTTTTTTTGTATAGCAAAACTGCTATGCAAATTTTGATTTGCATAGCACCAATTTTGCATAGCAGTTTTGCTATACAAAAAAAAATCCTTAAGGCTTTTAATACCAGCAAACTTATTCTGAAAGACTGATTTTAACTTGTATGAACAACTTATAAGTTATATGTCCTATGTACGACTAATATATTGACAGGGTACGACATATTTTGACAGGGAACGACTAATATCATCGACAGGGTACGACATATATGTCGACAGGGTATGACGTATCAAACATATGACATAATGTCGACAGGTGTACGACATATATATGTCGTGCATAAGTCGAGTCGGCAGGGTACGATATATGTCGCATACGACAAAGGCGTATATATAAGTACGACTTAATATCTCCTGTGTACAAAATATGAATTGTAACTCGTATGTTCGACTTGTTTGTCGATTATGTCGTACATACAACATATCTTGTGAGAACGACTCGTGTGATTTACATCTACGACTTACATGTCGTACGTATGTCGTAGGTACGACATACGATTCATACGTACGCGTTAAAATACATGTGTCGTACGTATGAGATGTATGTTGCACATGGTACGAATTCAGGGAGAGTTTTTTTCACCATGTACCTGACAGTTTCGTATATTTCCATCCCAAAGTCAGTAGCTCGTTTCTTGCAGTTAATTCATACGGGTGCTTATAGATACGAGTTAACCTGCATTCGATTAAATGGGTACGATTTGACCTGGGTCCGAGTTGACCTGTTCCCTACATTCGCTGTCAGAATAGCACGGGCAGGTAGCGGCGTGATAATGTACGCTGTTGCACCGACAAAACGTCGGCGGACTGTCTTGAACTGTCCACTGAATTCGCAATACATTGGAAATAATATCATTTTGAACAATTGTTCACTCATATAGCGGCATATTTCATTTGTTTGTAATAAAACTGGAGAAATGGTTTAAAATGGGATTGAAATACCTGGACATACCATGGTTTGAGTGAACATACATGTACGTGGTGTATACAGTAATTTGCGGGTCTGAATATGTATGTCGCGGGTCAAAGTTTACGGGCTTTGATTGGAAATCGTGTAATATATGCGCATCAGAAATTTTCGGCCGATTTCGGTCGAAACTATAAAGAAACACATAAGAATTCGCCACGGTTGCGTCAAGGCTATCTGCCGCCTCGACTTACTGTACGGCTGTTTGCGGAATGTGTGTAGGGCGTACGTACATGCACACAAAGCACACGCAAGGGTCGTTGAGGCTAACGGTATAGTACAACTAGTGATTGTGTCGCGGCGCGCGCGGTGTGCGGTAGCGGGAACAAGCTCGTATGGGAACAAGCTGATAGCCTTGGTCAAGGCTAATATGCAGTGGATGGTTGAATATTGAGATATTCCATGCCTTTGGCACAGCCCCATGATCGATACAGCATTACATTTTTCAAATGCGAAGCCGAGGGAAAATAAATACAAAAAACGAATGGATGACATAAGGCTACTTTTACAATGCTACCAGTTTTATAATGCCTCACCCACAGATTCTGCTTAGTTTCGAGAGAAATCTGGTTAATCTATCCAAAATCCGATACAAATGTACTTCTGCAGTGTGAAATTTGTTGAAAGTAAAACTGCTACTTTTCACTTCGCGAAATATTTGAACCACAGTTTGTTAGTTGCTTATGCTATAGTACTTTTTCAGAGTGAGGCAGCCATTGTCTAGTTTTTTGGCCATGCACAGCAAGATGGTAAAAATAGCACATACCATGGGACACACTCTTGGCAAATCAAGAAGCAGAATCCGTGAGTGTGGTGGTATCAAATATTAATGCACATACCATCTGTGCATTGTAGAACATTTTAAAGTCTTTCCTGGCACTAACTATTAGGCCCCCCAAAAAGTCTTCAGTTTCTGGTATGGAGCTTGCCCCAAAAGTGGTGCGGCTACGCGGCTGGTTTTTTTGGTTGTTTTTTTTTACTTTTTTTTCTTCAAATGTCGGCTGATGACTGCATATGGTGCCCGACTAAATTTAGTGCAAAATATATGGGAGCCAAGAGAGGCCACATAAAGCTTCTACTCGATCGTAACCCCATCTAAAAACACGTTAAAATTGTGCAGCAGCAGGATTCCAGTCAAACCAGTGAGTTTGGCGGTTTGGAAACATCATCTTGCATTGAAAAAAAAACTTTTTAATATTGCATGGCTATGGCGACGCGCGCGCATACCAGAAACCAGATACTTTTTTTTTTGGCCTTATGATGTCACACAGCACATAGTTTTAACCTCAAGGTGCAAAGTTTTTACGTACAAAAATTGCAACATTCCCAAAGTGTCCATAGTTTCCAATAAGCACTAGTCCTGAGCATGCTGCAACGAATTGGAGGTCATGATAACAGTTTACACAATGCTGTAGCTCAACAATGACATTTTACAATCTGTAATTGTTCAGTTTAAAGTATGACAGTTACTTTTTTCTTTGATTTAAACAGGAAATGAGAGCAGCTCTGACAAAATGAGATGGAACTGGGCACATGCTGTCCTGAAGAAAATTTAAAAAAAACCAATGGGGTGATGTTTCCCCCCGATTTACAGATTTATTGATATTTGTAATCTTTGATGTCTTATACACACACTTTAAAGAAACAGTATAAAATTTGTGAATAAAGTGTTCTTAAGGAAAAACAATTGGCATCTCGACTAAAAAGGCCTTTTTCTCAGTTTTTAAATTTTGTTGACACGTCAATAAATGCAAACTTTAAACAGCCATAACTTGTCAACGGAATGTTCAATTGAAGTGCAACAAACAGTATTGTAAGGAAAATTTTATTCTTTTTCCTAATACCAAAATTTACTCATTTCATCCTCTGCCCAATTCTGTCTCATTTTGCCAAAACACCTCAAATTTTTTTCTAGCGTTGGAACAGAGAAAAATGCCATCTTTCCAGCAGCGTCATTCGCTATAAAAAAAGGCCTATTGGGCTACGTCCTCTGGTAGTACAGCATGTAAGCCTTTTGAGAGAAAACCTCTTTTGCTGTCGACGCGTACACGCTCTCGTCAGAGATGCAGAGCCAGTTTTCACTAAGGGGTTCACTGGCAATAGAGGGCGCCCTTCGGAAGGTCAGGAAGTGTCCAGTGAACGCATCGCCAACATGAACCACGGCCGAGGCCAGTCGGTACCTGGCCTCTGGTGGTCTGGAGCTGCAGGGAGTAAGGACAAGAAAACTTTGATCAGCAAAAAAAAGTGACCAAATTTAGGGTTTAAATTGTGTTCCCCGTGCTGATCTGTTAATAAAATATGAACGTGTATGTTTCACTCCTTTCTTATTTAGACATCTGCAACCCTTGGAAACAAAGTTTTTTAAATTTTGGTCACCCACAGATCTGCCATGCAAGCAGACTACAGTACATTATTGATATCGATTGTGGGGCATGAGCCAGCCTATCCTGCAAGAACAAATTTCTTGGCAAGCAGCCACTAATTTTAAATTTGTAAAGCAATAACTCAATTGCTGAACATGGGCGGATTTTCTATATCGATGTCTCATTCAAAAGTGAATAACATTTTTATTGCTAGAAAAATAACAATTTAGAAAAGAAATAAAGTTGCTTGAATGGAAATTGAAAATAACACGAAAATGCAAATTTTAAATCATTAATTGCTTAGACCAAAAAACTAATTTTGTCTTGAAGAAGAATTGCAATAGCTTTTACACTTTTAGTCCAGAATGAATTGAGATATTTTCTCATACCAAACATCTGGAATTCCATTGACTTCCCCACTGTGACTCCTTCCCCTACTGCTACTGTCCTCGGACGTTGCCGATGCATTATGGGTCAGTCTGGGGGACATCTGGCCGAGGCAACCGCCAACTAACCATCTGCCAGTGGGGTCCGTTAGAAAGCTCCCTCCTATGAAACTCTGACTGCTCCTTCTGCTTGAAAATTGCGAGAGGGAAAAACAAAAATGGAAACTATGATTATCGCATGGGCATTTTTCATTATCTGCTCGAGATTGCTCACATATTTAGAATATTCAAATCATAAAAATGCAATTTGGATATTCAGTGATGATCGAATATTTGAATATTTGGCACAGCCAAATACCTTTGGGGCGTGGTCATGGGTGTGGTCATGGGCGTGGCTCCATCCTCCGACAAATCCGAGGACAACCTCATCAGCTTGGCTCCGCCTTGTGTACCGTTAGCCACAGCCGATGTCTGCTTGTAAGGGCTCATGTCTAGATACTCAGGGAACATGACGTGTTCCTCACGGCGCGACGGGAGACCATTGGCCAGCCAGGTCACTCGCTGGAGATGAACGCACAGACACTGCGGAAGCTGACCCCAAAATGGAAGAGTAAAAATCAATCAATCAATTGAATTTCAAAGTATTTTGTGGTCGTACCTTGTATGTGTACAGGTTATCCTTTATGATTGAGGGCTTGGCACAAAAGTGTAATACCCGAGTTACAATGTGACAATACACCAATCCAAGTTTTGTGATTACTGAGCTGGCTTTCCTCCATTACTGGGGCGCTCCAAAACTCACTTTGGTATTCACACAATGCACTCCCCTTTAGTGAAAACTTCAGAGGTATACAAAAAGCATGTATGACAGGCGTTCAGGCATGGAAGCATTCCAGTAATGGCTGCCAGAACTGTCACCATAATTTCAAAACTGGATTGGTATATATACACCGTACATGTAACCTCAGTAATTGTACAAATCTGTGGGCAAGTTTAAGTCAAATATAATACATGGAGAAAAAAAATTGTGTGTGTCTCTTTTAATGAGCTATGTACATGATGTACGGTTCTCAAGATAAATTTGAGGTATTGAACAGTGTGCTGGTTGATCTTCAGATGAACATGAAAAGAGCACACTGTAGAAATGTTGAAAAGTTCACGATGTTTTTTTTTTTTCTTATCCATAAGAGATGAATGTATGGTGCATGTACATGGTACTACCGCAAATATACCTTATTCATTAGTTGTTCTTTGATGATTAATTGTAACTGCAACATATCCATAACCATCGGGAAACTTTTCAGAGATCCCAGAGGGTTAGGATTTTATAATTGATCAATATAATGTGATGTCAGACCTAATGAATATCTAAAAAAAAAAAAAAAAATTAAGAAGTTTGAGATGATAAAAGGCCTACGTTTAAAGGGTCATGCTATAATTTTGAGGTCCACTTATTTTACTGTCCCTGCTACATCTGACAGCTCTGATTTTAAAATTGATGCACTCCTTAATGCAGTCATCTCCCAAGAGTGACTACATGTACATGTACATGTACCTTACAAATAAAAAAAAACATAATTCATAACGATACTTGAGTGGCAAATTACAAAGTACCAAGGTAACAGGAACAAGAACAATGTCACACTTTGGACCCTGAATTTATAGAACGACCCACAAAACCTAACATGTGTACAAACCTCCAAACGTCAAATGAATCAGTTTCATTGCCTATTATTAGCTGAGTAAACCCAGAAACTCAGTATCTTGTTATGGGATCTTTCTCAAGTTTTCCTGCTTTTCTATATGTTTTCAATTACTCTGTCTGGAGAAATTACAGTCTGACCTTTTGTTCTCACATAAAAACAAACCCATTATGGATCAGAGCATGTGGCATTTGATCTGGTTTTTCTCAATGTTCGTTACAGCTTTGCATGCATGGTCGAGATTGCCATGTCAATCATCGATGCTCCATCCAAGTGTCATGATCATCTAAGATCAACAAAACTCCACAGTGGAAACATTGTGGAATGTTGTTACGTTTAACCAGTTCGCGTCGGAAGACGTGTTAACACGATCTGGCTGTTTTTATACACATGCACAGCTGGGGGGGCTTAAATCGTCAAGCTCGCCTCGACTCGCCTCCGGGTGACGTCTACATGTATACGCGCTAGTCCCCCATTTGTTTTGTACACCCACACAGAGTCCGAAAAGTCTGTGGAGGCGGACCGTGTGTTGAACTTGAACAAGGCCACCGTGCACGGCTTGTTGTGGCACAATTTACGCTCCGTAGGCACACCCCGGAGTGTAAAAAATATGAGGTTGCGGTAAGAAATATCATACAAATACTGTTGAAATGACTCTTGCGAATCAGTACTTGTGGCGTTTGGCTGTATATCAAAAGTATATTTCGCCCAAGTTTTCGAAAACTGGAATTTTTGGCAAAAATAATCCCATGCGAACTGAATAATCTCAACAAAATGGACAAACAACAAAATTACATTTACATCGGTTTTTTGATATCTGCACAGCAAGTGTCCCCCCCCCCCCTTCCAAAAAGGAAAAGTTTAAGGATAAATAAATTACAAATATTAACCTTTCCAAGAGTCAGCTGTTTGTGAAACCTCCTTCGACATTTTGGCGATGATTCCGCGCTTTCTTCACCATCGCTGGGCTGAATGACCAGTTCAGATGGACTTATGTTACTGGTTCCAGGTATCCTACCAAATATGGAAGAAGTGGGCGTGTCCTTTGGCCTGCTACTCTGATTGGCTGATGATGAAGTTGTTTCTCTGATGAGAGGTTGTAGGCGTGGTTTTGGAGTTGACTGGCATTTGGGAGGGGTTAGCTTATAAGAACTGTCCTGTCGTTCTGAAATAGTTTCAAGCTCAGTAAATTGTTCTTGCTGGAAATTGCTTTTATGATGGACACTTTCTTTTATTTTTTCACTTGGATTTTCTGCTTGTCTGTTGTTTAGTGAGCGATCACTCTTTGATGAATCTATTTCCAAATCACTGTTGCTACCATTGACAGTAGAAGTCTGTTCTGTTTCTTGCATCGTTTGCTCTCCACTTCTTTGAAAGCTTGTTCCATTCATTTGTTGCGTTGCCTTGTGCAAATTTTGCGTCACAATACCATTTTGTTTCAATTCGCTAGAATGTGTTTCCTCCGAATCATCAAGTTTCAACGAACCATTGCAAACCGCTGCGCTATTCTCCATAACCCTGTGATGCTCTTGAAGTTTCTCCACAGAGGATGCATCTGTTGCCAAGTTACCATTGCCATGGTAACACAGGACTGCATCACTTCTGTTGTCTACTGCTGTCTCTGAAGACACTCCCACACTTTCATAATTTCTACCATTTATCTCCTGATCTGAACTGTCTGAGACGTTGCTAGGCAACTCCTCCGAGGGCGGAGTTCTCACATGCAAATCACTGTGCATCTGATAACTGGTGGGAGGAGCCTGTCCAAAAGCGGGCGGAGCTTCTGCTGGTGTTAAGTTATTGTCTGTACTCTCAATTGGTGGAGGCAGAATGGTTGTTGAATAAGGCGGAGCCAATCGTGATCTGGGTAGAGCATTAGCTGAGCAAGGCGGGGCTACTGGGAAAGTAGGCGGAGCTACAGCAGAAACTGACTGGGCAGTTCGGACTTTCTTTGGTGTGGGCGGGGTTATTCTTCTTGATGAGGGTGGAGCCACTTTGTGGGCAGTATTGATTGGAGGAGGAGGAGCAGTCTTGACTGCCAGTTTCTTTGAGCACTCTGTGCATTCGACGTCTTGGACCAACTCACGCTGGGTGAACTTGGCCAGGATGCATTCTAGAGATAAAGTTTCAAAGACCGTTGTCGGGAGGGGGAGGGTCAAGCAATCAAAGCTGCTGTAGGTGACTGGATTCTAGAATTTAAACAAATATAAGAAAATTACCACAATTATGAATTAAAAGCATTTGTTTTAGGTACTGGATAGCAGTTCAACATATCATCATGCCTTTCCATTAGTTAGTTACAAACATTGACATTGTCTATTGCTCCTACATATTTTGACCGATTTCAACCAAACTTTGTCAAAAGTATCTGTTGCCCAGCCCCAACATGTCACATGACCAAACTAGGGTCTAAGGTCATCATGGGGTCACTTGGGTCAAAAACCTGATTTTGTTTTACTCATACATGTATTAAACATTACTCCTTCCAGAAATTACATGGCATAATGACATGACTCATGCATGGACACGAATTCATTTGCCCACAGCTTTCAAGATATTTCCAATGGAGTTTGTTATAAGTAGAGATGTATATTTCAGAGGTCGATGTTCCATTGTGTCAGGGAAGTAAAAGTAGACTACCTCACGATACGAAGTGGAGGTAGAGGTAGTCAATATGTGACGACACTGAGGGACCAGCAATATCCCCTCAAACCATGTTGCATTTACAAGTACATTGCCCCTGTCTGCACACCATGCTACGCATGGAGCAGAATATTTTAAGGAGCCTCACCCTGTGCCCACAGACTGTGCATAACAGGTGATTAGCCAACAAGCCCCTAAATGGGGACTCGCCATCTCGGCAGGCCACTTTGGGTAGATTGGCCTCGATGTTGGAATGAAGATCTGAGTGAAGTGCAGTCAAGCCGTTCCTTCCAGGTTCCTACAAAATCAAACAAATAAACATTTTTAAATCAATCAAAAGTTTGATTTGGGTCATTCTATAAATTTGAGGTCCACTTTTTTTCCTGTCCCTTTTACAACTTATATCTGACATCTATGATTTTATAATTCTGATACACTCTGAGAAGGTTTTACATGTGGATTCCATCTGTTTTATAAGAGTGACGGTTCTGAGAAGAACCGGTGAGTGTGAACTCGACGTTTCGACCAGGATACTGGATCTGGTCATCCTCAGGAGAGAGATGACCAGAGTATCCTGGTCGAAACATCAAGTTCACACTCACCTGTTCTTCTCAGAACCATCACTCTTATAAAACAGATTATTCAGAACTGAATTCCACTGAATATTAATTTTGTTTTTAAAAAAACTCTCTGATCAACTTTTACATAAGCCATATGCAACTTTGAGCCAAGCCAATCAAAAGTTGCACGCAAGGTTGCTGGTTAAAATTTTTGAGCGACGTTCGATATTATGGACAGCTGGAGTGTTTTACAGTAGGTATTTTTTATTGTCACAGGTTTTAACCTGATGGGAACAATGAAATACCTTCGACAAAAAAAGTGGCATCTGACAATAAAGCGCCGCAAATTTACGATTAAAATAACATCACAGTCATGTGCAATTTCTCTGTTTTTTTTTAATATTCAAACCAGCAAAAGCTATTTGAATATTTGGTTGATGATTGAATATTTCAATTCGGTGTATTCAGGACGGCCCTAAAAACTATACCTACATTGTACCCAACAAATAAAATATTGCTCGAAGTCATTCTAGGTAATGCTACAGGTACTTATTACATAGTACATGAACACTGCACATGTACCAATGTATAGAATGAACACAATTGCAAATGTGGCAAAATTTTTATGAAGAACGGCAAAAGTTGTGAATACATTGCAAAGGTCTTTCATCACATCACTCTGTATGTTTTTTCTTGAAATCTTTTCTCATAAATACATCAAATCAAACTGACATCAGGTTTTGAAGGATTGTGTGAGATTTGTCACTTTTTTTCTCCAAAATGTTATTTTAATATTTTACGCGGTAAAAATAATGTACATGTGCATGAAAACACTTTTTTCTTGGGGCATGGGGGTGATGGATAGACAATTTATAGCCACATAAAACATAGTTTTCAATCCTGTTGTCTGTGTGCTTAAATTTTTGAATTATTTCTGTAAAAACTCATGAAAAAGACATTGGGAAAGTGAGTAAAGCCAGTATAAAGCTATGGATTATCCCGAAGAAAACAAAATGGATACAAAAATAAAAATAAAGAAACAACAGATAGACAATTGTAAAAAAAAAATAGTTTTAAAGCAATTATTGACATAAATATTAAATTTGTTGGAATGGAACATAATGCTCTGTAGCCAACAATTTTTGACAATTTTCTCACTCAGCACCAAACAGGGCCCTGGGGAGAGTTTATGATTGAACACAAGAAACGTCATATGACATCCTGGAAATGAGACACAGATTAGAACCATATCGCCAACTAAATGGATCACCAGAATCCAGGTATTTTCCAGCTGGTTCAAATGAGCCTAAATAAATTCCAGGCGCCCGGAGCCTTCGTCAATACTCTCCATCCTTTTGCATTAGGTAGGTTTAGTCTGCATGTTTGATCGAGAAGGGTACAGGTGAGTGGAGAAATGCTATTTCCTCTAATTTCCATGGTCAATTTTGGGCCAAGCTTACGAAAGAAGGCACAGCTATCACACTTGCAGTATTTCTTGATGAAACTAGGGATGTGGATTTTTTAAAAATTCAGTATTCAATATTCCAACTTGGATTTTATCAAATATTTGATTTTTGAAATGCACTGATCAAGTTAAACATGTGCCAGCCTCAAGTGGCTGCTGGTTGGATTTGCGTGCCCCTGCAATTGTAAAAAATACCGCAAGTGAAACTTGCGCGATCCCCCTGGCATGCTGGCAGTTTTTATACAGTCAGTTAGTACAGATACTTGTCAATGTATTGTTTTAGGAAACGTGACCTTGACCTTTGACCCGTCGGCCCCAAAAGCAATAAGCTTCTTAAGACTACCGTGAGCAACCCACAAATCAAATTTCAAGTTCCTAAGTAAAGTATTTCTCAAGTTATCGTGCTTACAATGTCTCTATTGTTTTCTCAAGTTATCGTGCTGACAATGTTTCTATTGTTTTAGCAATAGTGACCTTGACCTTAGACTTGTTAGCCTCAAAAGCAATAGGCTTCTTAAGTCTCTCAAGAACAACCCACAAACCAAATTTCATGTTCCGAAGTAAAGTGTTTTTCAAGTTATCGCATTGACAAGATTTCTATTGTTTTAGCAATAGTGACCTTGACCTTTGACATGTCGGCCCCAAAAGCAATGGGCTTGTTAAGACTATCAAGAACAACCCACAAACCAAATTTCAAGTTCCTAAGTAAAGTATTTCTTAAGTTATCGTGCTGACAAGAGTTAACCTAACCAAAACATAACACACAGACACTTCACAGACATACATACATGGACATGTACCTATTACATACATGTACATGTACATGTACATACATGCACGTGTCACACGTATAAAATACACAATCGCAATATCCCCCTCCGGCTTACAGCCAGGAGGATAAAAATTGAAAAAAGAGCTTGTTGAAATAATATAAAGAACAGGAAGCGGTGGCTGATGTTCGAACAATATTAAAGAAGACATTTTATGTGGCTTTCAACAAAAGTGTGGCATTTGACAAACATAAATCCACACAACTTAGTTTTTCATCATCTTATTGATAATGCTCACATTTATCAAATATTTGAATCAAAAAAGTTCTATTCGGATGTTTGATTGATGATGGAATATTTGAGTATTTGGTATAATCAGCACAGCCCTACAGAACTTCAAATCACAGGTTACAGCAAAACTCATCAACTTGAATCTTCTTTCTAATACTTGGAAAACGTTCCTCATGTATCGTAAAATCATGCCAGAATCTTAAACCAACAAATTTACTGCCATTTCCCAACTGATATCAAGTTTCAAATTACTCATCATTCCAACTCCCAGGAGGTCAAAAATCACAATCAAATTAGATCAACATGGACACGCATAAATGTATTCACAAATATTCATCAAGTTTTCTTGCTCTAATTGTTAGAGTTGTGTAACAAGACCCACATGTCATATCTGCACAATCACTTCATCTCCGATTCCCACGAGGGAAACGGTTTGTCCCACCCAATCATATTTTCTGTCACTTTGCGTTGGAATCGTTGCGTCGATCGCAGCGGCGTGACCGCCTAGTCAGACAGGAAATCAAACACATGGTTCTCCTTTCCTGATCGGCACTGGTTTCACGTACAACTCGCGCCAGTCTGGGAGCAACCTTCAGATCTTTCATCTCCCTCAAAATAAACAAAGACTCAAGGCCGGTGAGTGTACTTTCGATCACCTTGAAAAGTCGTGAGTCTGTGACCTCCTTTCACAAATCCCCACAATGCCAACTCTTGATCAGAATCACGTATTGTTTTAAAATTAAACAGGAGGTTTGTAGGCTTTTGCAGGATTTAGGAAGGTAGAGCCCAACCACTACATAGGCCTGGCATGGAGGTTAACGACACTTGAAACTTGGTAGGTACAAAGAAGGTACCACTGGGTTCCTGCACAGTGGTGGATTTTACAAGATTGAGGAAGGCAGAGCCCATAACAACCATTTTAACTTTTACTTAAAGTGAACATATATGTGATGCGATCAAGCTATGAGTTGTTTGTCGGGCCTGTGGAGATACAGGCCAAAATAGGGCCACTTCATCACATCACTTCATCACATCTCTTGGTGTTCCGACTTCCATAATTTTTGAACAAAAGATGTTATCAGCATGCAGTTTTCACAGCAGTAATGCCGAGATTGTGCTCTTCTGAAATCTGTAATAAAAGTTTTTGAGCTTGATCGCATCACATATAGAGTATATGAATATTTCCTTTTTTTCATTGAGGCCTTGATTTGTATTAAGAAAAAACACAGGATTTGTGATCTTTCTAAAGTAACAATTAACTCAAAGATTTTACACATCATGCAGTGATTCTAAAACTGCGTATTCCAACAAGGAAACTGGACATTACGAAGGAAGTGGTACATTTTCTGACAATCCAAGAAAGATCCAAAATAGACCAATCTGCGGTACCGAAGCGGGGGGCATTGCCAGGCTCAATTAGGGACAAATGCCTCCGTCATTCAACCATCACTTCCAGAAATTCCCAGAGACAGCACCAAATGGTCTCAAAATTGCCAGGAATCTGCTAAAAATTGATGAGCTGACAGAGTGGTCATTTCCTAAGCCTGAGTTATCAGACATTTCAGACGTAGACCCAATTCTTCCAAGTTCCGAATCCTTATAAGTACAATTTAGTAGAAATACAAGACTCGTCTGAGGGTCCAGGTTTCTAGGAGTCAAGGATGTGGGAGTCTGAAGGGTCCCGAGGAACTTTTGGGTCAAGGTGAGGCTTAAGACCCTAACCTGTGTCAATCCTCATAAGTTTTCTAGGCAGTTTTGAAGGATTTTGAAGGATTGAGGCTGAATGCATCATACAATTTGAGAGGATTGTAAAGGATTGAGGGTACATGGACATTCAGTATTGGTTGATTTTGGAGGATTGAGAATGAATGATGTTTGAAGAAGAGGATCTTAGAGGATTGAGGCTGAATGCATTTTGAGAGCAGTGGTGTAGCTAGGATTTTTTTTAAAGGAGGGGGAGGCATCAGAATATCATGGGGGATGGGGGGCACATATTGCAAACGTCCTGTTGCAGTTTTTCCCAGTTGGGCCCCAATGCCTCGCTATATCCATCGACAAAAGAAATTGTAAACAGTAAGCATTTGGCCAACTGAAAAAATACAACTTACAAAAACCCTTTTTGGTTGGGGAAGGAAAAGGGTCATTATCAGTATTTTGGTGGGGGGGGGGGGAGGGGCACTATGCCACTTTGAAAGGCAGGGATGTTGAAGGATTGAGGCAGTGGGTATACTTCAATTGAACACAAGTGCAAAATTTAAGAGGATTTTGGAGGATTGAGGATGGTATCTAGCAAAAAGGGCCTAGGGGATCGTGGTTAATGTGTACTTTTTTGCAATACAGAAGAGTTATTAAACTTAAAAGTGATTTCTCAATATTTTTGGTCATTCATTTACTCCAAGAAAACTTGTTCACTTGCCCTAGTTACAAAAACAAAATGTATTCTGTCACCCAAATGCCTACGTTGCCTTTCATTTTTCAACCTGATGAGTTCTTACAAGACAGGAAGTCGTAGATTTTCAGCCAATCAAGAACGATATCCCATAATTCCCTGTCAGAGGGCACAATTGCCAAGTCCGCAGGGACCTACAGATGTTGTCAGTATGCATAAACATAAACACAGTTTGGCCCCCTGCCTGACAAGTTCCACTCGCTCAATCTGTCAACTGCCACAAACGATATTTGTTATTTATGTCTGTTATCTATGTTGACATCACCAAGAGAAAAAGAAGAACTTATTTATCTTATCAGGTACTTTTTTTTCTGGATGGATCTTCTGGATTTCTGAGTGACTGAAAGACGTGTGGACAGTAGTGCAAGTCATAAGTACATTGAATCCTATGATATCTTGGCTTAAGTCTGCCCTGTAAATTAGTCTTGGGCCCTTAACATTTTCCGCTTCCATTTTTTAATCAAAATTCCTGTGGAATTTTCCTTCAAATTTACCCGGCTAAAGAGCATTAGAAAGTAGAAACCTTTTAGAAATTAATTAGTGAATCATGAAAATGAGCTTTTTAAAGAGATTTTAAGGATCTGTCATAATGCATTAACTTTTTATTTCACTTTTAATGTAATCTCTGACGACATTTACTAATATTGACATTTATGTGAAAGACAGAGCAATTGTAAATGTCTTCCCTGATTTGGGTGACTCCCAATATTGTCCCAGCCAGAAATCCACCTTAAATATGGCCACAAAACAAGAGGGGAAATCCCCATGTGGCTCGGGTTATATAATTTCTATTAAAATGTTATTCATGTGATAATTCTGGCAAAAGTTCAATTCTGGAACTGAGTTTTACCAAGTCAACAACACATACATGTAGTTTAGCTTGTTGGAACATCTACATACAATTTACATACATGTACAATTGCATCACAAAATGGGTTATACAAAGGATAACCTTTCAGGGTGTCTTGAATAACACAGAGACACTCCTCTTGCTAAAACCTACCTCATAAATATGCATAACAACCTCATACATATGCAAATGACTACTTCATAAATATGCATTAGTGGTCAATATATCTCGGCAATATTTGGGTAGCTACTTACAATCAATCTAGAGGCGTCACACAGAGGCACAGGAGATGAGATGGGTTCTCTCTCCTCGCCCAAGACAGACAGAAGAAACTGGAACAATTCATGAGCATCCTGCAGCAAAAAGACAAGACAAGGTTAATTACAAAGAAACTTGTAGATGAAAATTGCCTCAGTAGTTCCAAAAGATCAGGACAGAAGGAGATAGGTATTGCAAGTACCGGTACTTCATGACATTCTAACAAATGGAGGAACAGAATTTTTAATACTTAATCTGAACAGCTTTATCCCTTGATGTTTTGACAAATCACTGGAAGTAGACCAACAAGCGTTTGGGGACCTTAGTAAAGTCTTACTCCAGCCAATGTGGGCTCCATGCGCGAGTATCCTCTATACGGTAAGAAAGGGCGAGTTGGGGGAGACCACTGGGAGAGGCATTCAAACGCAATGCGCGATGCTCATGCGAAGATGTTATGGGTTTGTGCATGTTCGGAATAAAATTAGTCGTGTGTACTTTGGCAGGGCTCTCAAAAAAGGTAAACAAGCGCCCTCTCTTGTTTGCTCACAGAGCCCATACTATTTGTTAATTTCAAGTTTAGCTTGAAATGAATGGGATTTGGTGGGACGAGAGTCCATCACGATCTACTCCCCAGCTAATGCCAGTACCCATTTATACTCAGGGAGGCAAGTCAGGGTAAAGTGGCTAGCCCAAGGACACAACATGGCCAGGCCTGACCCTCTAATCACATGCTACTACCCCTAACCACTGGACCACACTCCTCTCCAATATTGAGGCCTATGAAAGAGGTATAAGGAGTCATCTGAAAAATATCAGGAAACGTTGCAGCAAATTTTTCTGCAAAAAAGATAACTTTATCATAAATTTGTTGCAGACTTTCTGAATAACTTCCACATAAGAATCAAACAATGAAGTTACCAGTTTGTCAAATGGGATTATTCTTCTTTTTCTAATTCAATTCAATTAAAGGCAACAAAATTCTATTCAACCACAACCTGAAATGAAATTCAAGCAGCATGTACATTGAGATAAATAAAAGAAAAACATGCATAGCAAAAAGAAAAAGACACAAAAAAAATCAGAAAAATATATCAAAGAAAATGCAATTAATTAATAATAGCCACAATAAACCCAGGCTTGTCAATGACAGGTATTGAAAAAACACTTCAGACTCAAAGAGCAATCAGTAACGGCCAAAAAACAATGAAAAGTGGAACAATCAGAAAACATACTATAATGAAAATATCAATGGAAGTGTACAAATAATAAATATCCAGTGCAAAAAAAGAAAGAATAATTACCAAAAATAGATACAGAAAAGCATATATGTGATTGATGCCGAATGTTTCTATGACTTGCCTGTTGGTCTCTGTCTGCTCTCCAGCTGCATCCATACAGAGCGTGCAGCACTTCATGTGGGGAATAAACCTGGGAACCGCTATGGTTGGCAGAGTGGTCATTCACAACTACAAATATAAACCACATGGATGTAGTATAATAATTAATAATAAAAATAAGAATGTATTCATTTACATAGCGCAAATTCCATAATATATGTTCAAGTGCGCTTTACAAGGTAAAATTCTGAAAAAAATACACTTGAAAAAATAAATTAAATAATTGAAATAATACAAATTTCTATTTAAAAAATGCACAGAAAGGCAAATTAAAAAAATGCAGAAAAGTATGTTATAAAATATAACGTAATCAACAAAATGTAGGATAAAATTTGCAAGGTAAATTTTAAAATGTAAAACTCTGAAAATAAAGAAAAATACAAACACCACTATACACAATCAATATAAGAAGTACATGTACATCTCAATACTGCATATGAGTTTTAGAATTGGCGGTCAGGAATCTCCCAGCTAATTTATTTTGTTAATACCTTCTAGAGTTTTGGAGAGTTTGTAAGCCAGCTCGTTATGTTTCCCCTTGAAGAACCCTTGTCTGAGAGCCCTGCTCAGCCACTTGACGAATGCCGGGCAAGACGCCAGACTCTGCAGGATTGTGTTCAGGTAACAGGTGTTGCCAAGATTCTCAAGGCCAGCAACTTTCCCTGTTAATCAATAAAACAAAAATAAAAAAAACCTAATTGTTTATTTGGCGTCAAACCGGTTTTATTTTTTTTCGTTCATATAAGCTGGCAGATCGTATAGCGCCTTCATGCACATGTATGAGTAGGCCTACACCATATTAGATATTAAATTACAATTTCTCGTCGAGCGAACGCTGGTCTAGTGGATAACGCGCCCGCCTCGCAAGCAACACCGCTCGAGTTCGACTCTCAACATCACCAATGCTTTTGAAACTTTGTTTTTTGTGTCCCCTGAAAAAAAGAATTGTCTTCTTTTATTTGTTTTAATTGAATCCTACATTTAATTGCAGAGTCAACTTCTTTTTCTGATTTTCTGGATCTGGAAGAAGTTAAAGGAACATAAAGCTGTAATAGGCCTAGGTCTGATTCCTAGACCCATAAACATGACATTATGCATAGCCACGCTCCGCTCATAATCGATGAACTTCCGACGTTTTCAAAATCCCGGTTGGAGACCTTTCACCTGTGGTCGTGAAAATTAACGAGGGCACTGCATGTTCAGTAATAGCCCCACTAGTGTGGCCGTCGGTATGCTGCGCTGAACCCAAGGCCACACACCGTGGTCTGCGCACTACTGAGGACGTTTTCATAAATTCAACAGCGAATTTCTTACATATGGTTGTATTCTACGATGTCCCAACTTTCACTTCTGGGATGCTTGGGTGTAATGATGTTCAATTTTCCAAGATATTCTTGAATCTTTCTGGAGCCCATATGCACTCGTGAAACGTCTGGTGATGGCAGCCATTTTGAATGTGACAAGAGATGACCTCAAGCTGTGACGTCACGTTTATGCAAATTGCTTGTCGAGCGAGGGCGCGAGTTGCAAATGCGACGGCTGTTTCCTGTACCATGCATTTATCGTCTTGGGGCCACGTGCACTGATCTCTATTCAGGATCTACGGCACAGGAAACAGCCGTCGCATTTGCAACTCGCGCCCTCGCTCGACAAGCAATTTGCATAAACGCGACGTCACAGCTTGAGGTCATCTCTTGTCACATTCAAAATGGCTGCCATCACCAGACGTTTCACGAGTGCATATGGGCTCCAGAAAGATTCAAGAATATCTTGGAAAATTGAACATCATTACACCCAAGCATCCCAGAAGTGAAAGTTGGGACATCGTAGAATACAACCATATGTAAGAAATTCGCTGTTGAAATTATGAAAACGTCCTCAGTAGTGCGCAGACCACGGTGTGTGGCCTTGGGTTCAGCGCAGCATACCGACGGCCACACTAGTGGGGCTAGTTCAGTAAGAACATAATTTCAAGAACTTCCAGTGGCATAGGATGTGTCATTCAAAAGAATTTGGGGGAAAAATTGCGGAACCTGACAAATATTCGTCATGGTAAACTTTTGAAGTCCCAAAAAACAGTCACTGCCCATGTTAAAGGTCATTTCGAAGTAATAAAAAAAACACCCTTGCCGCTTATTTGATCGAAACTAAACAGGGGCCCTACACTACACAATCGCCCAAATATCCACTGCCTCAAAAAATTCCAAAAACATGAACACATAACAAAAAAGGAAAAAAATGTTGCAACCTGACACCACTTACGCAATTGTGTACAAAGTCTATGGAGAGTCAAGAACCTTTTCCAAGTTTTTTCTATCAAAATTGGACCAAAAAATTCTTCAAAAAAGTAACAGAAATCTAATTAATTGATAAGAAATGAAATGGTGCAGGCTTACACCAAAAGGGGGAGACTTTGGTAATTCATTTTCAGGATTCAAATTTCATAAAATCCCCATGGAAAATTACTGTCATCTTCCAAACAATCTTTCATCCATGCACGCAAACATGTGGGGTTTTTTTCTCACTTCGTTTTGATGTTCCAGCTTTGTGACTGCGGCCTTCGCCGTCCGGCCCCCAGAAAATGTAGGTGAGGGTGACTGCCACTGCCGCCCCTACTCCCAAAAAAGGCAGGTACTTTTCCGGGATTATAAGCCTGCCTCTCGGAGCAAGCATGGCTGAAGCTATTGCTATGAAAGCACGAAAAGTCCAGGGAAATTCCTCATTTTCTGTGCACAAATCTTGCAAGCAAGGAAGCTGCCATCTTGAATGATTAACTGGTACCTGCCTATACAATTCCTCATATAAAGTAAGGACGAATCCAAAACGGAACCAGCGGTACCGGTATTTAAATGAACTTTGACCTTTTAGGCCAAAAATGACAACATTGATCAGTCGATATTCGGATGTTTGGATTTTCTTCTTCACGATCAAAGGTCTAATTTTGTGGTTATTATGAATCAACTTCGTCCATTCTATTGAAAAACATCAGTCAAACATTCTGGACGCTAACAACGCGTGTTAGTGTGCAAATCCGCGTATTTTGGGGTCATTTTGCAAGTTAAAACTTGAGTCTTCTATTCCCGAGAATTTTATTCTGAGAATGGAGGAGAAAGATTCGTCACTCAATGAGGTTGCCAACGTGTTGTCTAAACTCAAAGTAAGTACGTCTAGGCTACAGTTATTCCTTATGAATATTGATGAGTTGCCGTTGTTAAAAAAAACCAAAATGAGGGTAAGAATTGCAGTGAGAGAGGAGAGGGGGGGGGGGGATTAAATTGGGGGTTTTATTTCCTTTAAAACAAAAAAAAGACGACTGTTCAGTAATGCTCATATTGGAAGGGTGTTTTGTGATGGAGAAGATCATAATCATAATGATTAATATTGATGATGACGACGATGATGTAGTTACCATGGTGAATATTGTGATTATGATGATTTGATAAAGAGGATTTTAAGAAGGTGGCAATGATGATTTTCTGATGGGATGGTGATGATGGGTCGCAATGATGATGATGGTAACCATGGAGTCAATGGTGAAAATTGTGATTTTGATGATTGGCAATGATGATTTTGATGATTGGCAATGATGATTTTGTGTTGATTGGATAATGACGATGATGAAATATGGTGGTAATACTGATGAACAATACTGAAAAATTCTTTCAAATGATTTTAATGACAAAAATAGAAATCAAGACAATGAAAAAGAATTTAAAGAGATGTTTTTAACTTGGATCATTCAGTGATTTCAATGATAAATATTCAGTAATTCTCACTTTTCTCGCTCTGAACAGACGTCATCCATAGTTGATGACTACACCATCAACTGGAACCAGAAACTAGGCACGGGAGTCAATGGGCCTGTCTGGCCGTGCAAGAAGAACGGAACCAATGAGAGATTTGCCTTAAAGATTCTCCCAGATAAGCCCAGCTCCAGGATGGAAATCAGTCTTCACAGTCGCTGCAGTAGGCATCCTGCGATTGTAACGCTGTACGATGTCTATGCAAATGAGGTGATTTTATATTCATGATATGAAGACGGCTGTGGTAATTGTAACATTGTCTATACAAAGGAAGTGTTTATTCATGATATCGAGATGACTATAATTATGTAGCGATTGCAACACTGTATGTCTATGGATGCTAATGATGTGATTTTATATTCAGGATATGCAAACTATGTGATGCATAATTTTATAATGGCATCATCTTTTAAATTATAAGCATGCAATTGGTATTAATTAATAGCACCCTCACAAGCCATTGCTTATCAAATGCCATTTTCAAAATTTCAGTGTCATCTTCATTTTTGGTAACTTATTTCTATAGTTCCAGAATCTTGTGACCCTTCATGTTCAAACTGGTTGCAAAAAATATTAAATACTTTACACTTTGACTTCATTAAAAGATTTGATGCTCCTGATGTATTGAAACTATTGGACCGGTTTCGAAAATGGAGTTTCCCAAGTCAGGGGCTTAAATTCATGAAACTGGAGCCTGGAGGCTATAGGCCAAAGCTGATGATGAAACCAAGATTTCACAAACGTCGATTAATTAATTATTTCAACTGAACAGGTGCAATTTCCAGGGGAGGCCCATCCCTGCCCCAGAATCCTGATGGTGATGGAGTTAATGGACGGTGGGGAGCTGTTTGACCGCATCAGTCAACAGAAGGGATTCACTGAGGCACAAGCTGTCAGATATGCCAAACAGGTAGACACACGGGGTGGGGGACAGTGTGGGGGACAGGATGGTAGACATGATGGGGAAGGTGTTATAACTAATGACAACATTTAACAGGGTTCTGTGAGGTCACAAAATAGGCCAATTACAAAAATATTTAAAACAAACAAAACAAAGAACATTCCAAAATAAGTTGATAAAAAAGGGTTAGGGTAGGATATTGACAGAGAGGGGTGGCAATGGGAAAAGGCCAAATTTTTATAAATATTTTATAAATTTAAATACATTTAAGGATTAGATTTTACAAATATTTGGGTTTTTTTCATTGTTTTCTTCGCCTGGGTGCAACCAGTCAATTTACGCCCGTTTTCATTAAAAATAATATTGATGATCTTTATCTATAGATTGCCAGTTCTATACAGCAATGTCATTCACTGAACATAGCTCACCGTGATTTGAAGCCAGAAAACCTACTCCTGAAAGACAATTCTGAGGTAATTTTTGGTTTTGATTTGAAAGAATTTTGTTTCTGAGATTAAGAAAAAAATTCTCAATATCTTGATTTAATAACATACAGTGTACCTTCATCCTTGCAGTCAGTGATGCAAAGCAGATAGCACTTTTAAAGTGTTGAAAGTAACTACCACAGAAGATAAGAGCTGCTACAAAACTAACAACACAAAGAAAGAGTATTTGTTGTTATTAGGATTGACGCAGGTACCATCATTTTGTTTATCATTTTTTGTGACTGTTTGCCTTTCCTGATAGAATTCACCCGTGAAGTTGTCAGACTTTGGTTTTGCTAAAGTGGATGATGGGTCCCTAGCGACACCACACTTCACTCCTTACTACGTAGCTCCGCAGGTGAGATAACAAAATAAAGGAAAATAGAAAAGTTCTACAAAGGTCCTGACATATTTTTGAATAACCACAATTATCATTTTTTTAAGTTTGGGATATCTAATCATACAAAAGTTGAACTGTTTTTTTTTTACTTTTTGAAACTTTTTTTTTGCAGGTGCATTTCTGAAGAACTTTTTTTTTACTGATTTTCTGAATTTTTTTTGTAGGTTTTAGAAGCTCAAAGAAGGCAGAGAAGGGAAGAGAAAGGAATCATCCCAACCTCACCAGGTCCCTACACCTATGATAAGGTAGGATATCAACTTCTGACCAATCAGAACCCTTGGTTACTTCTTTCATTAACTTCTGACCAATCAAAACCCTCAGATAATACTATTACAGTGTCTGACCAATCAGAACCCTCGGATATACTAGTTGTAAGACTTCTGACCAATCAGAACCCTTAGATACTTCTTCCATTAACTTCTGACTAATCAAAACCCTCAGATAATACTTTTACAGCGTCTGACCAATCAGAACCCTTGGATGATACTATTGATAAAACATCTGACCAATTAGAAGCATTTGGATAATACTAGTTATAAAACTTCTGACCCATCAGAACCCTTGGATAATTTTGATGAAAACTTCTGACCAATCATAACCCTTAACCCTTACTCTCTGAGGGTAGTTTACTGCATGTCAGTTGGTTATGCCAATGCCCTCCAGCTGCAGTTATTTGGCAGATAACAAGTCTTAACAGTGAAGGCTCCAATTGGCAGGAGTTGGAGGCCCTGGAGGGTGCCTGATACTGACCAGCTGGGGTCACTCACTTTGTTATCAGAGGACTCTCATTGTTCTCTGTGGCATGTATTGGAGTGCCTGTCCAGTTACCCTTGAAATGACATGGCAGATATTGGAGGGCCATGCAAAAAACATAGGAGATTTTCTTGAGGCACAATTGGCATGCATTGGAGGGTCAAGTAGGGTAAGGGTTAAATAGTACTATTGATAAAAATGTACAACCAATTAAAACCCTCAGATAGTACTATTGATAAAACTTCAGACCAATTAGAAACCCTTGGCTAGTACTATTGATAAATCCTTCATAGTACTTTTAATAACACCCTTGACCAATCAGAACCCTTTTGAAGGTACTGTTATTAAAAAATAGTACTCTTAATGAAAACTTCTGACCAATCAGAACCCTTAACAGTACTGTTGATAAAACTTCTTACCAATCAGAACTATTATTGGCCTGTGTTTCTGTTTTTATCTACAGAGCTGTGACATATGGTCCATCGGTGTGATAATCTACATCATGCTGTGTGGTTACCCTCCGTTCTATCCCGAGACGCCAAGCAGGAAGATATCTCGTGAGATGTGTCATCGCATCATGGCTGGCCAGTATGATTTCCCCGCCGAGGAATGGAGACACATCTCAGACGAAGCTAAAGATCTTGTCACAAAGTAAAAAGTTATTCACTTTCAAACATTACTTTGACCAAGAAGGGAATTAAAACCACTGGTTTAAAACCACTTCGAAACCTTGTTGTCATTGTGGTTCAAAAGATTACTCGTTTAAATTTAAATTTGCAAAAAATAAAGCACTGCAAACAAGAGGTGTATTATTATGTAGGCAGTACATTACTACATATTGGCATAAACTTTTGTTCCAAGTTACTAGAAAAGAAAGCTTATACGTGTACTTTCTTACTTACACATAAATGCTAATTAGAAACGTTTGATTGTTTGCTTTTCTTGGTAGATTATTAAAAGTGGACCCCATGGAGAGACTTAACATCAGTGAGTTGATGGAACATTCATGGATGCAAGAAAACCGAGCATCAAATGTCACACTCAACTCACCTGCAATTATGCTGGACAAGGTAATCCACCAGCCGAGCTGATTGGCTTGTCACAAATGTATATTCATTTTCAAATGTTTATTACCATATATGGATATTCATTAATCTTTCAAGGTTAGCCAAGGGAATTCTGACGTGACTGTGATTGGCTTGTCATAAATGAATATAAGAAACCATCAAACATGAATATTGATATATTATTGCCATGGTTAGTCAGATGCATTCTAACCTGACTGTGATTGGATCATCAAAAATGAATGATTCACAACCATAATACTTATATGAATATTCATTAAACTGCCATGGTAAGCCAGCTGCATCCTGAGCTATGATTAGTCTATCAAAAATATTGAAAACCATGGTGTGAATATTCATAACAATTTCATGGGAGAGCCTGATGTGACATGTGATTGGTTGTGTGGAGTGTGAAAACTCATGAAGATTGTATTTGTCATGAATATTCATCAGAATCTGATGGAGGAGGCCATGAGGGTGCACTCAGAGCAGCTGACATCGATGCGGCTACCTGACAAGAGAGTGGTTCTGAAGCCAGTGGCTAAGGCTAACAATCCTATCATAAGGAAACGAGCTAGGTCAAGGTATGACTTATAGCAGCTTCTGGCTAAGGCTAACAATTCTATCATTAGGAAACATACTGACTAGGTAATAGGGTATGATTTATCTCAGTTTGTGGCTTAGGCTAACAATCATAAGGAAAAGAGCAAGATCAAGGTATGGCTTATATCAGCTTGTGCCTATAAGGCTAACGATCGTACTGTAAAGAAGGGTATTCAAACTTTCAAACTGTATTTTATTTTCAGTTGTCAATCATTGGATAACAGGGTAGTGGAGGGCCAACCGGAGCCCAAGCACAGGAAAGACACCGATGCAATAACCAAACTGAGGGATGTGATTGCATACTGCATACTACCTCCACAAGGTAAGAAATGAGCATAGGGTGGATTCGAACCACCTACCAATGATAAGGTACATTGCACCGGGTGGGTTCAAACCACCTACTGCATCATAAAGTACAGGGGTCAATTTATGGATGTGAGTATACTGCATACTGCTGCCTAAAGGTAAGATACGAGCATGGAGTGGGTTCGAACCAACTACCAATGATAAGGTACAAGATCAGGGTGGACTTGAATCAGCAACCATGCACTGATAATCATGTGTAGTATACAGGGGTCAACTTAGAAATGTGATTGAGTACTGCATACTGCCTCTGGAAGGCAAGATATAAGCATAGGCTGGGTTTGAACCACCTTTCATTGATAATCACTTCAAGTGCATATAATCTAAAAACAGGCTTAAGAACTCTAGTTCATGGTATGGCGTTCCGAAGGTAACAGGTTCAATTCCCTTTGGAAATCTAGGGGTGAATAAGCCACTGTACTGATGATATCACACTTTGTTCACACGAGTGCTTTCTTATGGGAGCCTGTTGGAATGAAGGTTTCGTAGCTCCATAGAAAAGCGCACAAGTAAACAAAGTGTGACGTCGTCAGTACAGAGGCTTATTTGAAGCTGAAATCAAGTTTCTCAACACATTTATTTTCAGGTGGCTGTAACCATGAGTATTTGTGTGAGCTAATGCAGACAGCACAGGAACACAACCATGAGTGCAATACACTGAAAGCAGCATTAGAGTCACTTCGCTGGAATGGTAAGTTTGGAAAATATCAAATCCTCACTTTCCAAAAGTTACTCTAACATTTTAAGGTAAATTTTCAACCTTGTACATGTACAAAACTTGTTAATTTAGGTAATCATTTCTATCTTTTTCAAACCCAGTTTATAACTAGCCAAAGAGTTGAAAATTAAAGAAAAAAGTAATAATTCTCTTGTCTACTTGAACTGGACCGGAAAGTTTCAGTCAGTCGGTGACTCAGTCAGTCAATAACTCAGTCTGCCAGTGAATCAGTCAGTCAGTAACTCAGTCAGTCAACAACTCAGTCAGTAGGTGACTTAGTCAGTCAATAACTCAGTCTGCCAGAGGGGGAGTCAGTCAGTAACTCAGTCAGTAAATAACTCAGTCAGTAGGTGACTCAGTCAGTCAATAACTCAGGGAGTAGGTGACTCAGTCCATAAATCAGTCTGCCAGTGAATCAGTCGGTCAATAACTCAGTCAGTAGGTGACTCAGTCAGTAACTCATTTAGTCAATAACTCAGTCAGTAACTCAGTGACTTCTATAACTCAGTCTGTCAGTGAATCAGTGACCCATTTAGTCGGTGACTCTGTCACTCGATGACTCAGTCAGTCGGTGACTCAGTCAGTCAGGGGACATTAGGCTGGCCCTTTGAGTTCTAGTCCCCCCCCCCCCCCAAAAAAATTATAAATCATAATAATAATTCCAGCATACAAGTTACATAAATGCTCTGACCCTCATTAACAGAAATGTTTTAGACCCTTTCCCGAAAAGGCTAAACACAAATGGAATTTACTTTAAAAACATAATTTGTGGGCATTATTCTGGCAATATCGTTCACTGCTTCTGAAATTTCAATAATCAACTTTAAAGAAAAAAAACCAGAGTGCAACAAAAGGGTTGAAGTTGCTTGTTGACTTGATTCCAACAGGGAAGGCATTTGAAGCACCAGTAGAACCATCCAAACTAGCGCTGGCCCTCAGCAACGTGGTGAAGGAAAAGAACCTCAACAATTCCACACAGTGATCACAGCAGTCTTCCAAATGTACGTTTTCCCTGAAAATCAAACTCACCCAGAGTCAACCACATTGTGGGGTATTTTTGACATCTTATCATCATTAATTCTTCTGATACAAATGATCACTTAGGACCATTTTTAAGGAACAATGGGATCACATCGAATTTGGGTGTTGTACCTACAAGTTTTCTCTGTAAGTGGTTTGACGAACACTTTGAGGATAAGAGTAAGATACTTCCGTTTAAAACAATAGCTTCCTTTTTTACAAAAAAAAGTAGTTTGAACAATATGTTAACCGATTATCACTTGTACTACATTGTATTACATTGTATTTATTCACTGAAGATTGTAAGTGTGCTGGGGTAGTTTTGGCTGCTACAGTGACTAAAGGGTTCAAAAGGTAAAGTATGAAGGCACAATTTTTGTAGATTGCGTACAGTTTTTTTAACATTTATATCCAGAAAAGTATATTTCTGCCCATTGTACATTGTTTGTGTTAATATATTTTTGACCAAAAAAAGTATTTTTGGAAGAAAGGGGTGTGGTCAACGACGATACTATATTCATTTGGCTCGAGCTGCAGAGGGCATCGACTTGATTGATTGATTATATTCATTCACAGCACTGTATTTCTTAAATTATCACATTGTAGCTAATGTACAGGTACAATTTGAAACAAAGTAAAGAAAGAAAATTAGGATAATTTGACTATTATTCAACAGGCAATGAGAAAAATAATGATAAAAATTGAAAATTTTTATTATAAAGGCCAAATATTTTTCTAGTAGTTTGACATGAACAAAAAGCATTAGCTGCCCCGGCAAAACTTGCAGTATTAATTTTTTTTTTTTAGGTTTTCCCTTAAAATATTTCAGAATCTTATTTCTTTTCTTAAATTAAAGTGAATGTTGTGTGATAGACATGACATCGCTGGAGTTCCTGTAAATGTTTAAAAGGGTTTAGAAAATTGCAGTACTTTGGCATAAGAAATTTTTTTTTTTTTCAAAAATGTTAAAACAGCAGAAACGCTTCAACGATGTTGCAAAAATATCTGCAGCTAGAGTAACATTAATGCAATAAACATAGAAACATACTGTATACTTTATGAAACAAATATATTTATAATGCCTGAATATCATGTTGCAACTTGGGATGCAGTAGTAAATAATAAATTGTTTGTTTGCATTGTTCTATAATTTATTTCTCGTCAAATTTTGTGGAACTTCATTTGTCTGGTTTGTTTTCAAGTCTGTTTTGTATGATAAGAGGTTCGATTTTCATATAGTTGTTAGAAAGCAAATTTGTTTTTAGACCACATGCACCTACCAAAAATGGTATAAATGCGCTGCCTTCTATTTAAACATACAACCTGTAGTTGAAAAAAAGTGTTCTGGATATGACCATGAACCCACCAAATTTGATCTCGCAATCATGACTGTGATTGGTTGAAAATGTAATCAGACAGATCAGTCTACTGCCCCAGATCCAAATGCAACTTACAACAAAGACAAAGTAAGCATTTGGGGTCAAGGCAGGATTATTTGCATTTATCCCAAAAGTAACCTGCAGAATTATAATCAAAACGCGTGCTTGGATTAAAGATCGTACTGGTACTAAACACCCAAGAAATTACTCCATCTGGCTTGCTGTCATCTAGATGAAAATTAGGAAACGTAGGCGAGTTCCAAAGATCAGTCAGTTGACTGATATTTGGAATAAAGAGTTCTATTGATGAAATTGTGTTTCATTTTCAAAAAGTGTGCATGGCATTTCAAGTTTTTCTCAAAAAGTGTAATATCCACTGAGCTGAAACTTCAACAGGTTAGGTTTTGAGCATACTTTCTTTGGATTTTGAGTGGCGTTATTATTCAAAAAAAAAAAAAAATCCCAATCTATTTTTTACTCCATTTTATTTCCCAATATTACCCTTCCTGGCCCTCTGTCACCAACTCAAGGCCAAACATCCATCTCATCAATCCACTCTGGAGCTATAGCAGCATTCTGGAAGTCTGTACTCCGGAAATTTGATGAGATGCCCCAAGATGCTGGCACCAGCTCATCATCTGAGATGAGGAGAATCTTTTTCATCGACGACACGAGTCCTACGTTGACCGAAGAGTTGACATCTTGAGCTGTTGATGTTGTGATACGGTGACCTAGGGTCACAAGGTCATGACCCCTTGATGTAATAGCAGTACCCCTGGATGAGGTTCCTGTGGAAAGATCTTGACTCGTTGAGGCAGGGGCGTGTCGCTGACTTGGTGGAGTGGGGTGGGCGGAGCCAGAGTTGCTTCTTGAAGGAGGTGATTCTTGGATACTTGACAGGGTGTTGGTCTTGGTTGTGGCGGCTTTTGCCTGCGTTGCTTTTTTTCCAGCATTTGCTTGACTTTGCAACTGAAGGTCTCTTGCAATTAGAGCTGCTAAATAAAAAATAAAAAAATATCAATGATACAATAGCCAACTCAAAATGAAAGTGGATCCGTCATCAGTCAAAAATAAAACCATTTTCCCAAACTTTTCCCAATATAATACTTTTTGTGTCACTTAGGTTCAAACATTTCTGATTACAATTTAACTTCAAGATCACAAAATGAAACAATCAGAAAATGTCTACTTCTTTTATGAAATTAAACCGTCACCTTTGTAATCAGTGTGCACTTTGTCCAGCGGTTTGCCTTTGTAGAGGACAGACTTCCAAATGCTTGGGTTTTGTTGGATCCAATTGAGTGATTTGCGTTTCACCAGTGACACCATATGACACAAGGATATCGATCCAGAAGTAGCGTTCTTCAATGGAGTGGTTGGGCAGACTGTTCCATCAGAGTTTAGTGAGCCATTCACTGTTCCCCTCTGACGAATCAGAAGAAAGTTTGAATGACAGTTTCATTTTAGATAAACTTCAAGATATATGTTAAAAGAAGTACAGTAAAAGTTGAAAAAGCGAAAGATCCAAGAATTATGGAAAAATCACAGGTCGAGTTTTAATCAATACACATGCTAAGGTTAAACAAGAGATTGGCTGAAGCAGGAGTTGAACCTGTTACCTCTGGGACACAGTACCGGTGCTTTACCAACTGAGCTATCCAGCCCTATCGGGGGGGGGGGGGGGGGTATTTTTTAGTAAACACCATACATCTAGCCAAGTGGAGAAATTTCAATCAAACGAATCATAACAAAATTAACTAATGTCTTAACTTTTAGAATATTCATTGTGCTATTCCCACCTGACACATTTGTCAGATTTAGTGATAAAAAAAGAAAGAAAACTTAGAAATAATAACTTGTCAGCCCTTTTTTTTCCTTTTTGGGTCAAGTTTATTTGAAACAATGCAGCCCTTCCCAATTTCTTTTAGAATTTTATTTCCCCCCAAATCTCAACCCTGCCATTAAATAAACTGAATCCAGGCCACCTGTCAATCCAAAACTTTGATTTTCATTTCATCTACTCACTTTTAATTTTATGGACAGAACATTTTCTCCTGAGTTGATGAGTCCCTTTTGAAGTAAATTCTGCAAGGAGGGAATGTCGTCTTCATCACTGAAGGATTTGGGGTTGTGATGACTCGATGGTCTCTGGTTCTGGCTCGATAAATCTCCTACAGTTGTTTTTGCTTTGCTACTTGCAGCTTTCTTATGTGTTTCAGGTGTTCCTTGGAGGTTGCTAGATGTCTGTGATTTGGTTCCAGTGTTGTTAATAGTTTCTCTTCCAGTTTTTGTTGATATTTTGGAGTGTGGAGATGTGGTGAACAAAGTTGTAGACACAATTGCTCTAGGAACAGAGACACTACAGGTACTTGAAGGAATGCTAAAACTGCTTGTTGCTGGTGTCTGGGATTGTGTCAAAGCTGAACTGTTGTTTGATGAAGACAAACTTTGATCTTGACGTTGTTGTCTTTGATTCTTAGTAGGAATGGAGTTACTCCTAAGCAATGTGGTGCTTCCCACATTTTCAACATGAAACGTTGTAGGAACTGTCGCTGCCGTTGACACACTGCTTACTACCGTATCCAAGGTGCTCTTTGATGAAAACATTGTTCCAGGGTCATTCAGGCTACTGGCGTTGATTTTATAAACGACAACTTTTCTTGGCTGACTTGAAGCTGAGGTGGATCCTGAAGTATCTGTGCCCCGACATGAATTGAGATCCTTGTTTTGTATTGAAGTCAGTTGGTTCACAAGTGTTTGGGTATTATCTGGAATCGTCTCTGTGGTTTGAGGAAATTCAGAAACTGGATTTGAGGAAATAGCGAGAGGTGCTTTGGTTGGTGAGACAAGGGGAGTTGTTTCTTTGATGCTTTTAGTTTGTGCTGGAAGATTGGCAGAGCACAGAAACTTTTCAGGATGAGCTGATGCTGTTTCAGTTCTTTGGCTTGTTGCACTCTGCTGGGCCATGCAGTCAACGGAGATGCTATCTGTTTGGAGAGAACTTGCTGGTGTTGCTCCTCGAGGTATTTTAGAAACTGGATCCGAGGAAAGAGGGACAGGGGGTTGGTTTATTGCTGAGACATTGGAAGTCATTGTTGTGGCTCTTCTTTTGTCTGGAAGGTTGTTGTGTAACACTGCAGCAAGATCTAATGTGGTCGTTGTAGCATCCTGCTCTAGGCTGTCAATTGAGAAGCCTTCTGTTCGGAGAGAAGCTTCTCTTTGAGAAGGTTGCTCATTCTGGTTCTTGCCTCTTGGGCCATCACTAGTGCCTTCTTTCACAAGTAAACCTGTTGTTTCTGAAAGATATTCATCGTTGCTCATGCCTGAAAGTGGTGAATATGGAGGACTCTTGGAAGGGCTTCTCCTGTTGTCGTTTGTGATAAAAACTGATGTATCTCTGACAAGAGAGTTAGGAATGGACATGCTTTTGTCTGGAACGGAAGCAGAGGTTGACTTTACCTCATCTTTTCCTGGTTTTGGCGTAGAGTTTGAGGAACTGTCTGCCAAGACAGAACTTGGAGATTTCAGTTGATGAGGTCTTTTGGTAGGATGGGCTTTGAATGGTGGCTTGAATGTCCTGGTAGAGGTGATCTCAGGAGTTGGTTTGCTTAGAGTCTGGGTCTTGGAAACTTGAGTAGATAGTAGGTTGGAACTTGGCGACATCACTTCTTTCTCTTTTTGCATCAGTATGGCTTCTTGACCAGGAAGAGAAGACTTCTTTGATGGATCATCACCTGAATATGTCTGTGCGATTCTAGCTGGCTTGCCTTCTTGAAGGTTGCTATTTTTGGTTGTGTTAGACTTTCCAGAAGATATACTTTGTGCCAGGGGAGGGTGTTCTGTGCCTTGCATCTGTTGGAGAGAAGCAGCGAGCTCCTTGTGTGACTGCAGCAGCTTCAGCAGTTGCTGCTGTCTTCTTGTCATGTTCTGCAGCTGCATTCTTGCCTCTTGCTGCTGCTGTTGACTGCCAGGTGTTGCAGCTTGCTGCTTGAGCTGGATGCCGAGTTGTTGGCGATGTTCCCGTTGTTTTGAACTCAGGTGACGAAGTCTGGCCTGCATGTCTTGAAGACTCCTCCTGATTTTGTCAGCATCTGAAAATATAATAAAATCTCAGATTTTTGAGGTAAATCCGCATGTCTTCTTAATTTAAGTCTATTTACACAATTTGCTGGTATTTTTTAAAACCAAGACAGTATAATGCTTAATAATTGCATACTCCATTCATCAGTGACGTTAACCATTATATTTACTGTGCTTACATTTTACATCTTCATCTTTGCTGCTCATCTTTTCTCTTATCTTTTGTTGCATCCTCTCCATCTCAACGAGAGAAGCATCATCGTCACTTCTCTGTGAGGCTCCAACCTCACGATTCTCCTCACAATATGGCAGAGTAGCTGAACCAAGTCCAGAACTTGAATTACTGGACACAGTTTTAAATTCAGAACTATGATAGGTTGGGTCTGGCAAAGAACTGTTGAAAGTGGTACCAGTGGTCATGGGTGTTGGTGCTAACTGTCTTTGACTTGAGGTTGGAACAGAAGGATAAGTAGCTTCTTTAAGGCTGCTGCTGTTCTGTCTAGGAGCAGATTCAAGAACTTCCAGTTGATGAGTTTCTTGATTTAGATTTGGACTCTCATGTGTGGCTGGTGAGAGATGTAAAGGTGTGGCCTGACTTTGCTTCAACTCAGCAAGATGAAGATGTTTAGGCTCTGGAGTGATTTCTTGCTCAGATGGGAAGGTGGTGATGCTGGACTGTTGATTTGGAAGGAGTCCACGAGATGGTGACTCATATGCAACTTGATCATGATCACCTTGAAAGCTAGGACTCTCACCTGCAATACAAATCATAATAAGCCTTATTTTTAAACAAATGAGGGTGCTGTTACAACATTATTTTGGCTATATTTTATGACCATACTTGAATCGCAGGTTTAAATTTACAAATTGGCACAGCTCAAAAGTTACACTTTTTTACAATCTCTATTTAGTTGTATTGCGTAAAGGTACTGGACTGCTTTAATTAATGATATTTAAGTGTTTTGTACAAGAAAATGGAGTTGTTTCAGCACCCTCATGGCCATTGCTAAAAATATGACCCATTGTAACAAGGTCTTTTTATATTTTTTTATTTAACAAATTTCCCTATCCACTTTCATTTCAATAGTATGTAATGAACACAGTTCCTTAAATTCAGATTTTTTTTTGGACTCGAAAACGCTCCATTTGACTCAAATCTGGGGGTGGGGGAGGTAGGAAATATTTATTTTTTTTAGGAACTTGTATCAACGTTTCATTCCCATCCCCCTTTCTTATCTTCTTTCATTCCTTGGTCTAATCACTTGACTAGAATACACGCTCGTCATTGGCTGAAACTTTTCAAGGACTATTCAATTAAATAGAAAGGGGTTTAAAAAACATGGTGTATTTTTAAACAATGTTAAAAAACACACTTTGTTTCAGAAGAGCTTCTAAAATGTATATTTTGACATAAGACATCACATTTTTTTAAATGACTAAAGATAAATATACATGTGTAGATGAATAGAATGTGTATACATACTGAGATGTGTGTCTGTGCTGCTGGATGTGTCATCGATTATCCTTGGTAACTTTAACGAGGGAGCTCGAGCAAACACAGGGGAGCACAGTGTGACAATGGGGGACTTACGCTTGACTGGTATCCTGCAAAATGGAGCATCAATGAAGTTTTCTACCGAAAAAACTGTTCAATATTACACAAGCAAGGGTCATTAGAATGAAAAGAAAATTGTATAAGGTAAATTCGTTTCACACTGATTAAAACTCTCAGAACTAAAAAGAGAGATGATCACTTTACTGTCACTGTATTTTGTATTTTTTGTTTGAATAAAAGTATCACATTGAGAATGCAATTCTTACCTTTGTGTGAAAATGGACTGGGACTTTTCACTTTGCTGAGATGAATTGTCAACTGAAGCACCATCTGGAATGAGATTATAAGATATTTTACCCTTTTCAATTTTCAAAATCTCTCTGGAATTAAAAAAATATCAAAATAGCCAAACACATGCTAACTTTTATTAATATTTTTTTGAGAATTTACAATTATCTTAATGCAAAACTCAAATGTGAACTCAAAAAGAAATAACTTGGAAATGACTTTGACATATTAATATCTTAAGAATGACAAATATTTTACTACTGGATTTTCTAGATAACTTAAGGCCAAGAAAAATTTTGTTGGAGACAAATAAAAAGACAACATTGACAATACATGTGCAAAATATTAAATATATTGCAAGTGTGTGGATTTTTTTTTTTTTTAAAGGAGGCGGGAGGGAAAAAGGAAGCAGGCCGGGGCGAGAAACTGGTTAATTTTTTTACTTGCCCTAATTCTTTTAGTAATTTTATCTAATTGGAAAAAAGGAAAACTATAGCCTATAAAGTTAGATGAAAAACATATGAAAAACCTTTCTGACTCGGTGCTTCAGAAGATTTGTCTTCATTGAATTTGAAAGAGAAGTCAGGCGAGGTTGACAATCCTCCACTTTTGTGTTCGAGCACTTGACAAACTGGCTCCACATTTGGCTGAGTTTGTGATGATGCACGGCGGATTCTACAAGATAACAAGGTCGCAAGTTGAAATAAATTCTCAATAAATGGAAAACATAAATTCAACTAAAAATTCTGAATAAGAAATGGTAGGGTTAAAGGCAGTATTTGAGGGAAAAAAGTCCAACTTTTAAAACGATATCGGTGTCACACTCACACTACCTCTTAGATTTTTCTACGGACATTTTTAAGAGAGAACTGAACACGGAAGTACATGGGGACACAGACAAATAAAAACAAGGTCTCAAAATATGGATTTTCAAAATATTATTCCCTTATTAAAAATGTCTCTTATTTATCACCACAATTTACAAATTCCCCAAAAAATGTTATAAAATGACACCCAACCGATCAACAGAATTTTACCAAGAAAAGTTTTAAAATGGCAAGTCTTCATCAGCTCATTTACATTTTCAAAGTTATATAAAATGGATGTCACAATTAGAAACAGGACTTTACATGAGCTGTACACAACTTATTTGTGACTCTAACATTCAGCAATTTATGTGTCCAGAAAATCTAATTGTGTGCTTCACTTATTGAATTTTACAAAAACATTGTTTGCTCCAATATTGGTTGATCACTTCAGATTAATCAATACATCAATTCTGTCAATTCTTCAAATCTTTAAATTTTCAAACCTTCACTCCTTAATCATTCTTCCAATTTTCAATTTCTAAACTTTCCTTCAAATTTTGTGAATCTTTAACCCAAACACTCTGTGTTTTCTTTGTTTGCTAATTATCTCACTTCTTAAATAATCAACCTTCTCTTTCTGTATTCATCTCAATTCTTTTAAATTGTCAATTACACACCAAATATTTATCTTCTGTAAAATCGAATAATCTTATTAATCCATCTTTCAATCTTGTTGATTCAAAATCATTAATCTTACATTCAAAACCAAACTTGTGTTATTAATTTCATATATTTAATACAATCCTAAAAGAATTAGACTGCCGTCAGGTCCCTGATAGCCTGCCAATTGACTCTGTAGCACCACTTGGATTTTCAAGGAGTCCGGTAGAGGTAGGCATTCTTGACAAGAGCTTCACTTATTCGATGTAGTGCTGAGGAAACTCTACTCGGTAGAAATATGTCTCCCAATTCTTTGTGCCATCTGAGATTTAGAAATTTACCAGGCCAAAATTCCCACCAAGATTCTGCGCTATTTCAGCAAGTAAAAGAATTCCATCTTAATTTGACACCGTGTGAATTACTGCCTTTACAACCAAAACAATTTCAATTCTAATTGTTTTGAACAAGAATGAGTTGGGAAAGAAAGTAATTTCTACTTACAGTTAGCATCTTCGTAAAACTCTTGAAGTTTCATAAAATATCAGATTTATGCAGACCACAAACTTAATGAAATAGAATTAACTGTGGTTACTTGTTGGTTGTATAGGCTAAAGCTGGCAGTAACTCAGATAGGCCCTCTCTCTCATGTCTCTAGTCTAGTGTGTCGGGCAAGCAAGTGCCTGCAGCCTAGCAGCCTAGCATAGGCAAAAACCAAAGCCATATTACCAGTAAAAAAAATGTGGGTGTCAGAGCAGGGTGGTGGGGGGGGGGGGGGGGGGGGGGAGTGTCGCATTTTTTTTCATGAATTTCTATGAAAACAAAAAAATTGACAGATTTTTTTTTCGGGGGGGGGGGTGTTTGACCCCCCCCCCCCTTGATCTGCACCAAATAAACCAGTTCAATGAAAAAATGAAGTAAAAAGGAAATATACACTTGTGACAACATTACTGTTTGAAAATTAGATGACCTAGATGACATAGAGCTGTAACTGCTGTATAATAAAATTCTTAATTATATCACATGGCTCTATGCCTGAAATACTCGAATATACAAGTGTGGCTGGCAGAATGGGCTTTAAACATTATAACAAAATTATCTAAAATTGCATCCACAGCCATCCTCAACTTAAGAAGATTCAAGCACAAATAAATACCTTAAAGTAGTAGTATAGGCCTAAATGAAATTGTTTATTCACTTTTAAGGCAATTTTGGTGAACTCAGTGAACCCAAAATTTATGATGAAAAATTGTTACAAATTTGGCTTCACGGTTTTTTTTACATAAAAAAGCACAAAACCGGCCTGCCATGCAGCCCAAGTTATTTTTATTTTATTGACTTTTTACTCAACTGGAATAGTCCGGTCAGGACAGACGGTGAGTCGCACAGTTCCACAGACTCGTCAACCACAGTTTCGCTTTCACTACTTCCGTCCATATTTCGTGAAATGTCCAGTCAAATTGCAAAATTAATTAATTACACTTTTTTTCACGTGGTCCGAATGGCAGACGACGTGCACGCTCAAAGTTGCCGCTCCCACCGGTAGATTTGGATAGCGCCCTCTTTTGACCTTTTTGCATAAAATCTAATTTTTAGTGATCTGGGGAGTTCACTTAATTCGACAGATTGCCTCTTGGTGGCGCTTGTACTAGGTACTGCATGCTGTGGCTGTGTACACAATTCAAGCTAAGAAATGTGGTAAATTTACTCATGTTTATAAATGTACAGGGCCTATAGATATGACTTTTTTACGTACCTCGGTACTTATGTTGACTATCGCATGATCTGGGAGTGAAAACGATTTGTGCCAACCCTTACATTCATGCTGAAATTGTGCTAAAAAACTGAATGAGTTCACTCCAAATCTGATCAATGCAAATGCATGTCAATGTCATCCCAGTCATGCCAGTGTGTGTCACTCATCAGAAGTCACATAGTTTATAGTCTGATTGAGATCTTTTTATCTGTTTGAAATCCTTTGTTCTAGTAATCAGCACTAGGTCTAACCGGAAAACGAACCCACCCACATCAACATGTCAGAACGAAAGGTACGCTTTGCAGAGGGGGACGCGGCAGCAAAGGCAGCCGGCGATGTCGACCCAGCCAGTGACAAAGGTTGGAATCGAACCTTCAGCAAGAAACACACACTGGACAGTGATGAAGAAGATGATGTAAAGGAGGAGGCCCGATATGAGCTACAAAACGACGAAGTCGAGGGTGAGAGAAGTTGTAAAATTTAAAAAGTTAAGGCTCATCAGCATGATCAGACGCAATAGTTCTTCAGCTTTCTTGGTATGAAACTGCTGAGAATATTACCTTCATTACACATTTCCAAGCTGGCAACTATCTTTCATTAACTCAAAAAGTAACTCTTTGCTTTGCTTCCTTACACAAACTTGTCCCAATCATTTTTATTGAACACTTAACAGGAGTGGAGGATGCAACTCTTATCTCTGACGGGGGTATCCGTATCACACCCTTCAACCTGACGGAAGAGATGGAAGAAGGAAGATTTGACGCCCACGGCAACTACTATGAGAAGAAAGACAAAGATGTCCACGATAACTGGTTGGACAACATCGACTGGATGCGATACTCGGAGAAAGGCACGGAGGAGAAAGCTGAAGATGATGACTTCATCGCTGATAGTCCGGAACTGGAGCCGAGCAGACCCGAAATCAAAATCCTCGCAGACATTGTCGGTTTCTTGAAACCGGGAGAAACCATCACCAGGGCAGTCAGAAGGCTCGGTGGGGGGAAGAAGACCAAAGGAGTGCCAGCTACAAGGAAGTGGGGACCCAAGAAAGCCAAGACGGAGGCGGAGGACGGGAACGATGCACAAGGAGTCGACAAGGAAAGCATGCTGAAACTGACTGAGTTTGTGGATGAGTTAGTCGCGAGTGGCAACTACGAGGCCTACCAGTACACCTATGAGAAAATAACCCATCTGCTGAAGGAGGAGGAGGGGCGGAGCAAGAAGGAGGAGGATGTCTTTGATATGTTCGGGGATGAGCCAGCGAAGGAGAAGATAGCCACTGCCAGTAAAACAGGTAGTTTGACTGTTGCTGATCTTGAAATTATAAGCTGGGAGGGACATTGAACGTATTGCTGCTGGAGAATGCGAAGATGATATTGCTTTGTGCACACTCCGATTAAATTTAGTCTTGGGTGCAATATTGGGTTTTGCCCTCCACTGAAATATTATTTTTAACACTGTATACTCGGGGTTGTCCCAAGTGATTGTGAGAAAAAATCACTGGGGTGGGACTCGAACCCACGACCTCCAGCTTACCAGCACAGGCATCTTTGTCTTGGGTGCTTTGCCCTATATGCGTACAAACCAGTATTTGCACATGGTGTGCCTCGTCCACTAGGCTTTCGAAAGTAGTATAAAAGCGCCCTCTCTTGTTTGTGCACAGAGCCCCTAGTGATGTCATAATTTTTACTTTTATGATGTTTTTGTTTCATTTACAAGAAATGAAGGTTACGGCACATTCATTAATAATTTGTACCCCTTGCGTTCTAAATTTTCAGAAAGCAAGGACACCAACGGTTCAGGGAACCAGCCAACCACTAGTACAAACCCAGCCACCGATTTGGACCCAGATAAAACCTACTGGGAGTATAAATGGGAGAACAAAGATGACGCAGACAAGTACGGCCCGTTTGAGAGCTCCCAGATGCAGGATTGGGTGGATCAGGATTTCTTCGCCGACGGCGTGTGGGTCCGGAAAGTTGGGTCGGCTGGCCAGTTTTATCAGTCCAAGAGAATCGACTTTGATTTGTACACTTGAAGTATTAGCGATGATCAGAACTTTATTTTCCATCTGTGAATGGACGAGCATTCATATCCACTGCCGTGCCGAAATTATCACCCCCACTTCCAAATTCTGTAAAAACTGATTTTAATTTTGAATTGGCTGGAGCAGGATTTGAACCTTTGCAAACTTTGGCTGAATTTCCAACAAAAAGAAGCTGGAAATGTTCATTTCCTTAATTTAAGAGGTTTCTGGGAAGTTGTGGTTAAGCACTAAGCATTGCCAGCAGTCTTACTGTTGCATTAATCAAGAGGGACAATTTTACTTGAAATTATTTTATTTTTAGTTTTATGGACACGTTCAATTTTAGCTTGTAAAACGTACACTAGTACTGGAATCTTGTTTTGCTCAACAAACAATGGGAACTACGGTCAAACTCATCGTTCGAATGGTTTCAAAAGTGGATTAAAAAAAAGATGATTTCCAAATAAGTGGCTTATAAAGGATAAATTTCAAGTAACTGTCAAAGGAAAGGCTCAACAGTGCTAAGCCATATTTGGAAATATTTTTTGGACTACACCAATTGCCACAAAAGTAGGCAGAGAGCCAGTTGATTTTTGTTGAAAAGGAATTTGTCAATATCAAGTAATTTATTTCTTTCATTAACTTTGAATAAGCCACAATACATGTATTTTTCCCTTGAACAGAGTAAGGATATAGTTACAGGGTTGGTTTGATTTGTTCTCAGTGTTTCACTTTATTTCTTGAAAGGAAATTAAATAAATTCCTTTACACAAGGGCTTCAAATTCTATGTACACAAGTTTGAAGAAAGCACAGTAGTTTCCCGTACCACAGATACATGTAGATTCTCGCCTCTTTATTTGTACATAATAACCGGGAGACAATGAAATTTTGAGTTAAACAATTTTTGAAGAATGTGCCCATATTAAAGCATGTTTTAAGAAAAATCAATGCTGAAGATGTAGTCTATAATTCTTGCATCCCAGAATGATTTTAGTTGACTTCAGGACGATACTCCTTACCATAACTTGGATCTTGGAAAGGTTAATAAACTTCCAATAATTTCCCTAAGCCTAGCGCAACTGTAAACGCACTCCCAAACCCCCAACAAATGAAATATACAAATGGTCAGATTTTTCATCAGTATGGGTGTTTCGCCCCAAATGGCAATTAATGGTCCTAACTATAGTTTGGACTGTCCAACTACATGTAGTGTTGGGACTGTCGCAACAATAATTGGGAAATTCTAACTACATGTATAGTCGGAATCGTCCCAATTATAGTTGGGACAAGTTGGGACATAACAGCTATAAATGTATCTTAATATGTCTAGCAAGTATTGTGATCTGTTCTTGTCAGTCCACAGCGCTGCTCTTACTGGCTTTCTTGACCTTCTTGGATTTCCGTCGTTCCTTCTCTGCTTCGTTTTCCTGGTTTTGCTGCTCGTTCAGATCTCTGATGTGCTTAGCCTGCACATGACAAATTGGGAAACAAACTGTGACTGACCTACAATACATATACATTTGTATTTCCAAGGCGAACATTTGTCTACTTGGGGAAAATGCTGAAGTGTTTTAGATATTAGAAATCTTGTTGATAAAACTATTTTAGGCAGACTGTCACAGTTGTATTCAAGTCTTCACAAGTCAATCATAAGTCTTAAGGCCAAAAAAAAATAGTTCTGCTTCCGGTTTCCCTACCTACCCTATTCTTACAGCCCCTACCCTAAAAAAATTTTATTGGAAAAATGAGAAAATAACACCCAAAACTATCAATTTCTAGCTTTTATCCTTGACTAAAGGCAGAAGCCTCCATATGATCATACAAATTCCCTACCTACCTACCCTATTTTCAAATGCCATGTAATCGGAAGCAGAAATACTTTTTGTTTTGGCCTAAGCCTCAAGTTACGTTACAAGCCATGCAAGTGAATTTTGACAATGGCATTCCTCTGTCCTGTACTCTGTTTATTCCATGAGCAAAACTCTAGATGTAAAAAAAAATGTAGCGTGCACAGTAAACGGGACTGCATGTACTCACCAATGGAGCACTTCGTCGAGCTAATAACTTCACATCATCAGCATTGATCACTGATCGCCTGCCATGCCTGCACAAAATAACAATACAACTAACAGTCAAATTTAACAGAAATGTTCAAATTAAAACATTCCTTCCACTTTTAGAACAGAAAAAAAATAAGTGTTTCAATATCAGAATCAATTTGTGAAGATGACCTGCAATGCAATCATGAAATTTAATCACAATTGATGTGGAAATGTTTGTTACTTCTACTGAAAACTAAAAGATAATTAAATTTGGAGTTGACTTACTGTGCAAAGTGCTCCAGGTCTGTAGCAAAAATCGCTGTAAAAATGATAAAAAGCAAAAGGAAAATCATAAACTTAAATGGCTTCTCACACTTTGAAATGGGGCTATAAAGAACTGCAGCACTCTGATTGGTCAATCTGTGTTGATTATTCTGTTTGATTGGTTAATAATCTTCCTGCAGGTGCACTCAATCAACACTGGACCAATCAGATGGCTTGATATAAATCAACACCCGCTACACAGCCAACTTTTGTTTAAATTAAAGGAAACATTTCTGGAATAGGAAGAAGTTACCACTTTTTAATTAAGTTACCACTTTTAATTTATCTTTTAGTTTTTAGTCTCCTGACGATGACTAGAGCAGGCTAGTCGAAACGTTGAGACCAAAGACAAGTTCTTTTAGAACTTACAGCAGGACTGTTCTAAACAGAACAAAAACTACTTAGCAAGTTGATAATAAGCAGGACAAGTTCTTCTCAGAACTAATATCTTCTAAGCAGTAGTTATTACCACATGGTGTTACCGCAAAACCGAAACGATACCGATACCCCACCATGCAAAGCCTCAAATCTTATATAAGAAGTTACCACATTGTTTGAAGGTTGCTTCAGACAGAACAGCAGTAAACTGACGAGAGAACGTAACATCGAGCTCCTGGGACAATTCCTCGCATATCTGCCCAACGCTGTAATGAACAGCTGCCTTCAATCGCTGGAAAAACAAAAAGAAAATGAACTGTTGAGTTCTGAATAGAGAACTAATTACAGAGCATATCCTCACTGCAAAATCGTCTTGGACCTCTGTCCACATGCACAACACACTGTTCTTTCATTGCAAATTTATTTAAATAACTGCACCTGTCCACATAGAGGGCGCTCTGTACAAGCTCTCTATTTATTAATGCTAGCACCAGACCATAGGTTTGAACAGTGTAAAACTGACATGACAAAAATTAGCATATATGAAATCAGTCTCTTTTTTGCAGATTTGTGAAGGCCTCTGCTAACTTAAGTCATAATTTACTGGGAAATTATTACCTGTACATACGCCAGATTATCATATTCTTCTTGCTCAGCCATATTTTTGCAGAAAAGGAGCAAAATTTGCAAAAACAAATACCCCTCCTACTCGAAGTTAACTTTCAACCGTTCCTTCTAGCTGTCATGTTTACAACCTCCTAGCATACTCGAGATTTATTTCACTGGTCCCACACGATTATGTTTATAAGATTACGCTGGGCTGGAACTTATCAGAGCACCAGGGAAATGTTTGGCGCGAGATTTCAACATGGCACCCGTGAGATTGAAGGAAGTGATCGTGTTTAGTTCGCAGGTTTGTACATAATTTTGTCGCATTTTCCTCAATTATTTCCCAAAGCTTTTCTAGTTATAAGTGAGCCATAATGATTTGTTCATAAATCTTCGGATAATGGGATATATCATGATTATTTTCATGGAAATTTACTCCGTGAAAGACGCACCGTACTGCCTAGTACTGGCGCGCCACCCGGATACGTACGGCGACCAGCTGTGTGGTGGGTGGGTGGGTTGGGCCTCGATCGGAGGGGGGGGGGGAACTCTCATTCTCTTCTCATTCTTTGGGAGGAAATTGAAATGACTTGCTTGGGAGAGTTTGACCAAATAGCCTAGAATTGTTTTTTAAAATGTAATTTTCACATATCGCCCAATTTAATTTAGGCTATAGTATAGGCCTAATTAATTTAAGCATAGCCATAAATAGTATAATAAATGACTATTTTTAATTTAAGTTCTGTATACCTACCTCATTTTGTAACTTCTCATAATTGAAATAACATAGGATGCAGTACACCGAGCGGACAATCTACTTGATCAGACCAGCCAATGGAAACGCTGGTTGTGTGCGCCGGGGGACCGGTCCGGATCCATGGAGGCCGAGTTTCAAGTGGAGAAAGCCGCAAAGATTGGCTACGTGGACATTGGTATGTAGTCATTCTAAGGCTGTGTTGAATTACTTGGCTACAGAGTTCTGTCTACATGTCACTCTCTCTTTACTAGGATGAGGATGGAATAAGGATTTTGAATAATTGTGTCATCATTACCTTTTTTTCCCAGGGAATTATGGATCAGCCTTTGTGGAGATACTTGTCCGTAAATCGTCCTGGTCCAGCAACGATTATGTAACTCTGATCCCTGCGACCATGCTCATGTCACCGATGGAAAGCAGGAACGGCAAGAACAAATGCGCCGTCAAAATGTTCACCAAGGGTAAACTTTTCATTTACGAGATCGTTTTACATAACTCTTGAAACTTGGTTAGTGCACGACAGTGTCAGTGCACCTTTGACAAACTCTTAGCTTCATTATCATAATAATCAGGATAAAAATAACTGCTGCCAAATTAATCAGTGATTCTGATTCTAGCTTATGTGTAAAGTGATTTCTAATATTGTTTAAGATAATGAATAAAATTTCAACATCTTGTTGGTTTTTGCAGCGGCTTTAAACGAAGAGAGTCTGAAAAACGAATGGGATCGGATCAAAGTCAAGTGTAGCCAGCCTTACAAGAAGGACGCACAGTTTGGTCTGGCGTTCGTTCGTCTCCGCTCCCTGGAGGAACCGAAGGAACAGGCCCAAATCGTCAGCCCTGGACCTACCATGACTAAGGTATGTGATGTGTGCGTGGGCGATAGAGGGCGCTCTTTGAGAGGCAAGTGGTACGTCTCGCAAACCGATGTGTAGATGAAATCCATAAACAGGGTATTTAACAAATGTTCACTTAAAACAAACACACAAGTATTTACTGACACTTTGTCAATGGTCATTTGAGAGATAATCTAAAGGGTAATGTAGGTTTTTCATCATCAGTGCCTTTATTGTTGACTCTAGTTTCTGAATAACTTTCATGACTTGTTCCTCCAACAGCTTCATTCCAAATCCAAGACCACTCCAACAAATAAACCAAAAGGCCGAACCATCCTGTCTCCATCGTGGAAGACAAACTCCAGTTTCCAGAGGCAGTTTATGTCCATGAAAGATGAGAACAACAAATTCAGGTGAGGAATAATTCAACTTACTTTCGCTAATGCTTTTAATCCTTACCGTCCAATTTTAGTTGCTTTTAAAAATATGGAAGGTTTTGCCAGTGCCAGATGATGTATCAATTTAAAACTGTGCAAAAAAGTTTCTTTGATATTTTTTTTTTCAGTGATGCAGAATTAAAAACAAGGCTCCTCAAAATGGCCGCCACTGCAGAGACAGGATCAGACAAATCCGACTCACTGAGCCGATCCGCAAAGATGGTTCTTGCCTCGTCCACTAACAAGCAGCAAACTCCCAAACGCCAACCTGGTAACCATGGCAACAGCGCTCAAAGTCCAGCCGACAACAGCATCAAAAACAATTCCGACCGACAAGATAAGAAAGGACCGATGAGAAAAGACAATTTTGAAAATGTTCATGAGTCGTCACCTCCTGGTCACCACACCTACATTTACCATGGAGATGGTACCCGTAGCAACGAAAACTTAGCTTCCACAACATCGCCGAAACCAAGATGGCTACAGGCTAAAGGCAGGGAGGACCGTCAACCAGGATTCAATGCTACTCAGAGAGAAACAGAAAAGACTTTGAATGCAAAAAGACCGACAAAACGACCAAGCAACTTGCCAGTTCAAACGTCCCCAAGTAAAGTGAAGAACACGTTCAACACAAGACTTGTGAGTCATGAAACTTTGATGTTCTTATTGTAGTACTTTTTTTTTTTAAAATAGGAGGCTCAAACCCAATTTCAATGAGCGTTACAATTATTGTTCGCAAACATTTCTTCCCGAGTACAAATTAGCTGGGAACCAGTGACAAAGCTTGTACATCTCATGGCATTTTGGCTGGTAACCTGATTGTGCTAAGCTATATAGTATCTGTTAAATTTGAGAACTTAACAATTTATGTTTCCTTTCTGAGTAGTTCAAGCAAGTTGCTGAGGAATTTCTCACATCTTTTGGTCGCCGTCTGCTGGACTCTAAATTATCTGGTAAGATTCCAATCTGTATCCTGTGTAAATGACCCCAACCCTACAGAATCTAACAGAACCTAACTGTGAACAATTATCTTGGATGTTGTGGTTCTGAAGCAGTGATCAAAGTTTGGGTTTTTATTTCTAGATATTTTAGTGCAAGTTCCACTCTTGACTACTGTTGGATTGTAGCAGGCACTTTTATAGAAAACCAACCAAATCCACGAACAATATCATTCAATTAAAAAACTCAAAAAAACGTAAGCAAAGTATGGGCATTTCTGCAACTGAAAAGTACATTTTAAAAATGCTGTCGGCAAGAACTCATGCAACCTCATTTTCAAAAACCTGACACACGTAAATTAAAGGCGGCAAGAAAGCTGGTTCATCTCACTCAAAACTTCAAACATTTGTGATTATTTTGGTAGACATCCGTCCCGTTTTGGAGAGACAGTTGGGTCACAAACTCAGCAAGGAAGAAAAGACGACGCTGAAAGAAGTGGCCATGGCAAGAGTTGACGTCCTGATCAAAGATGGGTGAGTTTATGCGTTCTGGGTGTAGATGTTGCATTTGTTTACAAACTTGGATGTTGTGGTCACGTCATTCCAACTTTCAGCAAAACTGTTCTGCACTGCATATGTATCTCTTGAAAAGTGACGGCTGTAAAAGTGGTGAAATAAACTGTTTAATGTTGGCCAAAAAACGATGGTTGTTTGCATTTCTCGTTGGTTGCCCATTGGCATGACGTCACAGGTAACAAGAAATTTAGACAAATCCGGCCACAAGATCATTGTACACTCACAAGACACACTTCTTATATTTCTTACTTGACTAGATCATCTTCAACACCGATCCAGTGCCCAAAGCCTGTGTCAGTAGCCAACACATCAGCAGATAGTACATCATCCAGTGTCAAGGACGTTGCAGCGATGGAGTTTAGATGCTGTCCTAAATGCTACCGTGAGTTGCAGGCTATTCAGTAGCCATGCTTTGTTTTGTAGGATTCTTCAGAATGTTCTAGAAATAATCGCTCGTCGACAGTCACAAGTGGCCTGAATCTTAGAGATGGGGTTTTGTGGGCAAAAAGGAAGTCTGTAAACCATCCCCCCCCCCCCCCTTTTTCTGTGGAAAAAAAGATATGACTCTACATGTACATAAATGCCCTATATAATGGTATATGCCAAGTTATAAAAACTTGAAACTTAACACATGTATAAACCTATACATGTATTAAATCTGAAAGATTATTTAAACAGAACCCTCGTATTCAAAGTGATACTTGTAACCTTGCCTTTTTAGGGGATAAAAACAATTAAAATATGACAGAGTTGTATTTTTTTTCTTTTTGGTTATGTTGCAGTTCAATTTACTGCAAGACAGATCACAGGCCATGTCCTCAGTTGCCAAGGAATTCCGTCTGCCACTGGCGTTACCAAGGCAACCAAAGCATCCTCGTCTACTCCACAGAGAGGACGGAGGGGGCGGGGCCGGGGTCGTGGAGGAGGCACACGGGGACGAAAATCTTTTTCGGTAGCTTCTGAGGATAATTTCACAACGGTGTCGTCACATGTTCGGACTGCACAAATGCCCAGCTACCAACGTGAGGGCGCTGTTGCTAAACGCAAGCGGGGCGGCCGGGCTGCCAATTCTTCACCACGGAATCCCACCTTGAGCAACGTGATGAAACCAGCACCGGGCGGCTTTCTTCAGACTGGTGACGTTTCACCACCGCAACCTGTCACCAAGTCACCACAAGGGGGCGCTCTTACAACACACCAGTACAGCTTTGATTCGCTCGGCAACTCACCTGAAAGTTTTGGAACGCCTCGTTGGGACAATCGCATCCATAACGAGACAAGTACATCTCCAATGAGAATTGGTTGCCAAAATAATACAAACGACACTGGACAGAATGATGAAGAGCGTTCACCGTGCCCAATCTGCTTCCAAATGTTCCCAGTCGAGGTGATTGAAATCCATGCTGATATGTGCCTGGAACAGACCCAGATATTCAACGAAATATCAAATCAACAGATGGCTTGTTTCTGAGTGGGTCGACACTTTGGGTGATGTCATTATGATGTCACTGGCTCAATACTTTTGAAACAGATTGGTTGAAAGCAAATGGTCAAACATCATTGTGGGAAGATGGAATTTCTTTCCATTTTAGCATGTTTAGATTTGGACTTTTGTTATCCGAGTACATGTATGACCCGAAGAAGTTTGTTAGATATTGGCAGACTCAGGCAAATTCGTTTTGCTAAAGAAACACTCCAAAGAAATGAAGAAGCGATGGAACACCAGTCAATAGAATAAAGTTGTTTTTGTTTTTTTGCAACATAAATGTGATAGATCATTATATTTTTATGCACAGGTATACAAAGTACAAAAATAACATATGCAACATGTATACAAATGATTAAAAGCAAAAAGCACATTGACAATTTCAAAGTACTTTAAAAAATGGACGGAACAATTGCTTTGATGCCAACTTTGGTTTGAAATCTTTCCAAGATAATTAAATCCATATAAATCATTGAATGCTAAAGATTTGCGTGTTATTTTTCTCTTTCTTTGAGGTATATTTTGCATTATCATCATAAAATGAGTATTGGCTCTGTGCATGGACTAGAGGGCGCTCTTTGACTTCTTGCAAATGTTTATGAAGCTCACTTTTTTAAGCAAATTTTACTTTTTTCTAAATTTCTAAAAATTCATTATTCTTAGTATATAGTTGTAATTCTCATGCACTATAATTTTACATGTAAATCATTCTCAATATATTATATCCTTTTACATTTTTATGTACAGTTTTAAAATGCCAAATGCATGAATAATCTTCATCTTAAAAATGTGCTTTAAACTTTTCTGAGGATACGTAAAATGTCATTTTTGTAATATTCCCTACACTGTTTGCATCCATTAACATCAAATTCTGTTCGTGTGCTTCAACATTCACTGAAACGAATGAAGTGCCAAATAAAGTGTGGCGTTTATCATCTTCAATTCTGTGATTATTGTGAATTCATTCCCCGATTGTCATGTGCAAAAGAGTTCATTCATCATGAATTCTTCCTTTAAATAATGTCATTGATCAGTTGCAAAATCAAACCATTTCAAAATTAAATCTCATACCATTATTTTCATATGCAGTGGAAAAAAATGAAGAAAATCTGTGTCGTTCAAGACCTTCAAATTTTGTTAAGTAACTGATAGGATGTTAAACCTAAACCCTGAGATTTTTTAATACGAGTCATGATGTCCAAAAGAGATCCATGGGTTTTTCTCACTTTCCTAATGTACTGCAACTGAAATATTTTAATACGATTCCATGCCATACAGAACTCAAAAAGTGCATTGAAAGTGCAAAGATACTGTACTGAAAGAATAGGGGGAACACGACACTGCAAGCCGAAACGTGAGCACACATCTTTGGATTATCTTTCAAAAGTAAAGTTGTAAAAAAAAAAAAAATTACAATGTTTTCTTGCTTCATGCACCATCTGAATGCTCTATGGCTGAAATTTTATTTTGAGTCATCAAACCTGAGGGTGTCATTTTCTTGGATCATAGTCCGTTTTGAAACCCTTGTTAACTGCAAAATCCTTCAGCAGTATATCCTGAAGAAGAAAAAATCGGACAAAAAGATGGTTGAAATATTTCAGATTGCACATTTTTTTGAATATTTGAAACTGATCATAATGGGTGCAAAATATTGGAATGTTTAATCATTCGCGGCAACTTTTTGCAAAATTAAGTCCAATGCGAACACAGCTTAAGTATGCACACACACACTTTGTTTTGGTTGACAAGGAAAGAACACAAGAAAAGGAAAAGCATTTTTAACATGAAAAATTCAATATAGATTAGGTTTATATACAATGTGATACAATGTAGTACGCATGCTAATGGTTTAAGCAGTTTCATATCTACCTGTTGTTTCAGCTGCGTTTCAAACTTCTTGCAGATTACGTTGAGTTGTTGAGCAGTCAACTCGCTCTCGGATAATTTCTTTGTCTTCTTCTCCAACTCTGCTTTCATGGCACTACAATTATCACACGACTATAGATTAGAAACATAAAATAAAAATAATTAGCTGGATTAGTTCAGATTTCAAATTTTGTTTCAACTCATTCAAACAGTATGGTCTGCAGTATTGGCCAAGAAATACAACATAAGTGGTTTTTTTTAATTAGAACCATACATGAGAGCTGGGGTGCAGTTTAAAAAAGTGATTCTTGTATTCCTCAAATTTCCTGCAAAAATACCAGCGCCAACAGACATCCCTGAATGAAAGAATGCACAATGTCCTATCTTAGTGTTATCCACATGGTGCACCCAAATTTGATGACTACATACCTTTGATTTTGTAGACAAACTCTTGCATTTTATTCTTAATGCTGAGGCTTCGTCGGAAATTTTATTCAATTCTTTAGTGAGCTCTTCCAGCTGTTGCTGACGTTCCCTGCAAAGTAGAATTTAGTAAAATTGTTGTTTTTGTTTTTAACGAACACACACTGCGAAGGTTAAATTTGGTCAGGCTTTCAATTTTGTTTATGTGTCCCAAAGATTTATTCTCTCCGTAGATATATCAAAAACAGAAATATGAACTTCTCGGTAATTGATTCGGGCAAATTTCCACGATGAGCTTACCAGGAGTTATCCTTCAAGATGTCAGCCATCTGTTTCTTCATCTTCTCAATCTTTGTGTCTCTGTCACTAATTTCCTTGTCTTTCTCTGATCTTAATGCCGACAACTTATGCTCATGCTGAAGAAGAATACAGAAAAAATAGTGTAATGTGATACAAACAACAGTGGTCACCTGACCAAAACTTCTGATCTAATTGGTCAATGTGCACTGCTTGATTGACAGGCAGGGAGGGACCATTAAAACTTGATGAATATTCATTAAGTGATTCCAACCCTTTTCCAGACATTAAGACACAGAGGGTAACATGCAAATTAGAAGCCGCATCCTAATGACATGGCTACGGCTTAGCATATACACATGCACCTATGGAAGTGACTGAATCCACTTTCCATGGACACGTGTGTTAATTACTGCTAGCCGGAGCCAAACAATTCAGATGTGGTTAGGCTTACTGCTGCATTGATATCCACAACTTGTCGTTCATGCTGTGTCTTGAGCTGTTCTACATAGTTTGTCTTCTCCTTCAGTTCCTGCCTCGTTGCCTCCAGTTCTTCTTTCGTTCTGCCATGTGACTGTTTCTCTTCCTCATACAGACGTTTGTAATGTTCTTCCTGTATAGAAAATGTTAAGATGCATGTAATTTGCAGGCAGTTAAACAATAGGCCGATATTTTAAGCCCTGCCCACTGCACATGTGCAACAACATGTGCCTCTCCATTGCCACACTGCATGTTTCAAGCACACGTGTTATATGTACGTGCAAGTGTGTAAAAGATAAGGCACACTTGGTCCCTGGAAAGGGTTCTTATGTAATATCTGGCAACCTATGTAATAATAGTGCAAACTAGTAGGTTTGACAATAGTTGCCTGACTATTGTTTCAATTTAAAGAATTTTGTGCAAAAAGGGAATTATTGGAGATTGAGATCTTACAATTTGCAGCAGTCTGGCCTGTGTACTAGCAAGCTCCTCCTCTTTGGATTTAAGCTCCGCTCTCAGTTGATCAATCAGTCTCTGAAGTGACTGGATGCGATTGCGATGCTGCTTGTCTTTCGTCTACAGTGAAAAAAAAAGGAAGTCTGTCATGAGCCAATATAGCCCATCAGGCTGGCATTTTTCTCCAGTTTCCTTGGCATGAAATGACTGAGAATATTTCTATTCATCCCTGCATGGGATGCCAGTCCATACTTCTAAGCTACTGCCGGTACCCATTTATACTCCTGGGTGGGGAGAGGCAAGTGGGGTGGAGTGACTTGCCCAAGGACACAGCATATGGCCAGCAACAGGATTCGAACCCCTAACCCTCTGATCAGGAGTCACAAACCCTAACCACTAGGCAACACTCCCCACTTCTCTTGTCTTTACAGGACAAAAATACAGAGAATACTTCTGATATTTAAACAGCCAATTCAACAAGCTTCATGAAAAGAGGAAAAATAGTCTGAGATGTCCTACAGGATCGACCAATCATGCAAACTGAGTGATATAAATCCACCAATCGCAACCAACATAATTGTTTCCAGAAGTGAAATAATTCAGGCTCACTTACAAGAATGTGTTCCACTTACTTGAAGATCCTTTAATTCTGGCTTGCTGTTTGGATCTGACCTTGAGGTCAAGGGTCGTGTTGAGGTCATTGACCTCGGTGACACAATTTCCTCTGTAGCTTTGGGAGGGGTTGACAGGGCATCGCCATGGATCATTAGATGATGTTCCTGGAAGTATGCCTTCAAGTCAAAGTGAAGTTTGGATTTAACATTTTGTTATTTTTTAAATTTATGAATATGAATTTAGTTGGTTTTTTTTTTACAAATGTATATACACATATATGTGCAAATTAACACCATAACTTTTGCAAAGTTAACAAATTGTGCTTTGAAGAAATGCAATTGATCAAAACATATCCTTTACAAAAAAGGAAAAAGACACAATCTTTTCAAAAGAGGACAGACTATTTCTACCTCACCTTGTTTGAATCAGCGAGAGTCTTTGTCAGAGGAGGAAAGAGCGTTGATTTGTTGCCGAGGCGAACATTTCCTAAAGTTCTGCCATTGTGATTGGCTCTTGGTGATGTCATACTTTATCCGTGTCCCAACTGATGGTGTTGATTTATCCAATCATAAGTTGTGTAGAATGAGATGGTCTTGAACATGTACAAGTCCAACATTCTCCAGAAACCTCATGACTGTTGATCAAGCCACAAGTGAAAAGAAACGGCCAACCACTGATGTCAAAAGTGCTCAAGCACAGAAGAAGTTGCACATTACTTCTGTTACCTGTTGGAAAAACATGGGTATTTCTTATATAACCGCAGTAAAACAGCTATCCCTACGGTACGGGTAGGCTATGTTTAAAAAATGTCTGTGGATATTTAGCCAGATCCGGCTTTCTTTTAGTAAACACTATTAAGCCGGAGCAGTAGTACAGTACTGAACATGCGCAGCAACTGGTTTTTTTTAGGACTTAGACATATTTACATTTTTTGGTGAAACTGAAAGTAACTTTAAAATCAATTCATTTGATTTTGGTCGAACACAGATTTAAACAAATCTATGGGCGCTATAGCGCTGGCTTAAGAATTGAAAAATGCGAGACTGGTTCATGGCTAAATACATTGGTAAATGGTACGCCTAACCAGCTAACGTTAGTAATAGGCCTATAACTTAAAATTTTGCAAAAAAAAACAAACATGAAACAAACAAACAAACATACAAATGCTTGCCAAGTTCAGTTGCAAAGCACAGCCATAATTTAATTTAATTAGGCTAACAAACAAGTAACAATTAACATGATTATATTTCCATTTCAGTTTTGTTCGAAATGAGACAAAACTTGGTCATTGCAAGTTTAAAAAAAATACATTCTATCAGTTCAACACTCACGCAGACTAACAACAAGTTTAAGCATGGTTAGGCAGACAATGGCAGATGAGAGCAGGCAAACAGTCATGACAGAAGACAAATCACAAATTGACAAACCTCAAAAAAGTTTCACCTCGACGCGACTTTGCACCGATATTTTGGTGTCTTTGTTCTTGTTTTCTTGTTCGTGGACTGGACTGCAAGTTACACACGTTCCCTAAAAAAACCTGAAATACTCATGGCACCAAATATAGTCTGAGACTGAGATACAGACATAATTTTTCCAGCAAAATTCAGGAGTTCGTCTGCTGAAATACAAAATGGCGGCTGCTCTGCGCTTCCTAGTTTGCAAAAACGGTTACTCTGATTGGACAGAAGTACGAAACCTTACAACGGGTACGGAAAATAATCAACCAATCAACTAGTACGTTTGACTGAAAGGTACGTAATTTACAGACTCCAGGCAACCAGCCTCGTTCTCTGAGTTATGTTGGGTCGGGTACGAGGTTGAATTAATGATCCTAACAAGGTTTATAATATTTACTCAATAATTATATATATATTCTCAAAAACTAGAACTGACCATGATAAGGCCTACATCAGCAGTAATTCAACATCTGTATCTAAAAAAGACGTATTTTTAAACAGAAGTTGACACAACCAAAATAATCATTATTACATATAAAAAATATTGGGGAGTTCATAATGAGCATAGATAGAGAAGGGAATGAGGGTCGTTTTCTGAAGGAAGGGTGTGGTCGGGGGACCCTCATTGGCAGTATCCTGCGATTCGACAACTATATGGGTTGCTTTCAGTACAAAAATAATTCAGATTTCTGTTAAAATGTGGGGTACGGGTAAAGTGGGGGGGGGGGGGGGGGCGGGGAGCGGGGAGCTAAAATTTTCACTGAACGCGCACCGCGATTGAGTTAGGGCGCCCTCATATGCTTAATTCAATCCAGCCGTATTTAGTCAGGTTACCATTCGCTGTTGGCCATTGAACACACACTATGACAATGTGACTTCTTCAACTTATGCATGGCAACCAGACTTGCATATATATCATTCCCGCTTTTTGCAAGGAAATATTTCACCCGGGACAAAACCTATTTTCCGAAGCTTTTGTCATCATGGATGATCCAGATTTTTCGGTGTCTTTAGTTAAGATTGAGTCTACCTCGCAGGATGAGGAAACTAAAGAATCAGAAATTCCGAACAATTCGAATTTGATAGGCAGCAGTAAAGGTAAACAAACGCAATATAGTTTGTATTGCATCTTTTTCGTGAAAATTTAGTCTGTTAATAGGCCCTATCATATATTTTATGCATTAATGTTATGCTTGATGGCAAGAACCTATAAATAATAGCCAAGCCCAAGTGTCTTGAAAAGGAATTAATAATTTGTTCATGACAGGTTGTTGTTCATAGTCATACTACATTTGCTTTTTTTTAAAGCGCAGTGCCAGTGGCTATTGTTATTTAATTATGGCAGCCGTAACACAATGTTCAACTGCTATTGTTACGGAACCATCTGGTTCCCTGACCTAATAAGTCAGGATCTTTGGCTGTTGGAACCAGACTATCAATTTAACCGAATGGTTCTCAAACTTTATTTCACTGTTTAAAAAATCCTCCAAAGCCACGGATTACAAAGAGGACAATTAAATGTAGGCCTGCCAAAAGAATGATTTGATTAAAAACATGAAAGTAAAGAAAGCTATATTTAATAAATTGAGCAGCGCGGGAGTGGTTTTGATCTCTAGCACAGTAGTCGAACATGTAACCAATCAATAATCGAGCTACCAAAGCGTTCTGGTTTGACGGGTAGTTATAAATGTTAATTTGTTATATAGGTCTAGATTCACAATGCTGATTTTGTAATACTGTAATGATAGTAGTTGAAAATCACTTTACCGCTGCCGTAACGATAGCCAATACGCTTTTAAAGAAAGATCTTTTAGGGAAAATTCAAACAAAAGTAATGCGTGGCTGCCATGTGAAATTAAAAAATTTACCATGTTAGCTGTGGCTGGAAACCAGAAACACTTTACATACTTGAATGATGTGAATGTAAATGTTTTAAATTTGTGTGTGTGTTTTTGTTTGTTAGACTGTCACACACTTTGGGATACGTTACGGCAACAAGGACAGCTGTTTAAGGTCCTGGACACACTGACATCCAAGATGGCTCGGCTTGTCGGCAGAATTCAGAACCAGACTGCTTCAGAGGAAGGTATACGCATATTTCCCTTCAATAGAAAATGTACTCCCATTTTTGAATGGGAACTTTTGAGCAAATGTAAAATTGGTGGGCGTGGAGATTCTCAATTCTTTTTACATAAGCGTATCTAACTCCCAGACTCATGTTCTTGAAATTCAATGGGTCTTGAGTCTGGAGTGCTGAATGGTAACACATAGCAACCGATTGAAAGTGGTGGACAGATGAATAGATGTTTTCATCAGATAATGCCATCCTGCCCCCACCTATACAACAATACAGATACCTGTGTATAAATTCTGAAGGACAAATATATAAATATGCTTGGAAAGTTCACGCAGTTATTTTCAGTCGACGTCCACTGCATGTGACATGGATTATATTTTTTTGTACACTGTTTACTATAAAAAAAAAATTGATAACAAAAAAGAAAGGTATGAGAGAAATTGGATACCTCAAACTTTGACGATTCCAATAACCATTGAAAGAGCAATATTTGATTTCACACTTTTTTTACCTTTTTGTCCATGTTTGTCGTTTTGCAGATAGCGTCACTGTGGTGGAGCTTCTCTCTCAACTTGGCATCATGTTCGTTGACACGGAAACCAAGGAGGACGGATCTAAGGAGAAGAGATTCACCTTTGTGACGGATGCTGGTTAGTAAGAAGAGTTTATGAAAAATGCACGTCCAAGATACATTCAGATCATGAAATGACAAGATGAAATGCTAAATATTTGAAGGTATTACATTTGGTATTAACTATTTGGTTGAGGAAAGATAGGTGTTTCATCATTTGACAACTAGCAGAAAATCTTTTCTTCTAGATATATTCAAGTCGTACATTAGCCACACTGCCAATGAAGCCTTTTGGCAAGGGCTTAAGAAGTTCAAAGTTGTGTTCTAATTTTTTGGGATATTTTTCTCTAAATGTATGATGCAGCTGTTAAAAGTAGTATTATTCAACAGTTAGAATGTTAGTTCTCTTTGTGTCTCTTTGTAGAGTCATCATTGCCACGACAACCACTCACAGCTCCTCAGTCTACTGACAAGCCTCAGCCAATACTGCTTCTGAACTCCAACGCCACGGAAACAGGAGTTGAGAGTGACGAAGACCATCCAGATCCCTTTGAACCTCTTGACGAACCTGATGACACCATGGGCGACATCCCAGATGCCGAACTCCCCGCCTTCATCTGCGAGTGGTGCAGAGAGGATCAAGGCACTCCCTTCATGCTTGATCTCCACTTGCTTCAAAACTGCAAGGTCCTGACGCATTTCAAAGATTATAGTATGTCCTGTCCGCGCTGCAAACGAGGCTTCCGTCAACTGCTGCGGCTACAGACCCACCTGCTTGTTGAGCATGGATTGGAATCCACAGAGGTGCTGGAGATCTTGCATGAGCTGGAGGAGAAAGTCAACAAGCAGCGTGTAGCCGATGAAAAAGGAGAGGCATCCCAATCTTCAGATGAGAGTGACGTCTCTTCAGAATCGGAGGCAACCGAGAAACCCACCAAGCTTCAAATGGTGTGTGAAGTGTGTCAGGAGAAATTGGGAACTCGTATCGATTTGCGATCTCACCTGATGGGGGTTCACGCTTTCTCCCGTCAGAAAGCTGTCAACAGTGTCTACAAATCGGTGAAAACTGCCCAGATACCATCTCCTAGCAAGCCAAAGTCACATGCGCCTAAGACACACGCAAAGGAACTTGGATATTTCTTCAAGTGCACTGAGTGTGATAAAAGCTTTAAGGATCGCACAAAGTTGGTTAAGCATTTGAAGTCGGTGCACTTCATAACGCAGTTCAAAGCTCTAAAGGAAGGCAACAGACAGTATAAAGAATTGAATTCGACATTTGCTTGCGATTTATGCCCCAGAAAATACTGTAACCGCTACTTGTTAAACAAGCATTTTTTTGAAGCACATCAGCTTTCTAAGGGCCAGGCACGGTTGAAATCTTCAGAGATGTACCCACATGCAAGTAGTGTGGAGAAACCAGTAAGGAAATTAACAGTGAGACCATCACCATCCATGAGGTCAAGAAAGGCCAGAGAATTGAAGTCTAAGAATGAAGACACAGATGATGAAGCGATCGGTTCAGATAAGCAACCACAACGATCTCCAAGAAGTGCTCACAAGAGAGGAAGAGGGCGTCCACGTAAGTCTAGGAGACTGGCTCGAAAAGGAATAAAGGCAGATGAGATAATTGAGGACGGTGAAGATGAACAAGAAAACCATGGCAACAGTATGGTAGATGATGAGGGTAACCATGGCAATGTGGATAAGGAGAACAGCATCAGTGACTTGGACCAAGAAGCTGAGAGAGATGACAATGATGAAGACTTTGTGCCATCAGAGTTAGAAGACAAGACATCAAGTTCTGAAAAGCAAGCCAAGAAAAAATCGCAAAGGAAAGCTAGCCGTGTTTCTGATGATGAGGAGTATGTGCTGCAAGATTCAGAATCTGAAACAGCAAAGAAAAAAGTGGAGCCAAAATTAACAACACAGCCTGACAGTGTTATGGTTGAGAATGAAAACGAAGAAAAAGGTGATGAACATGCTGATGGCGAAGAGCCAAATGAATCAGAAAAACCGCCCAAGAAGAAGGGGAAAAGGGGCAGAAGGCCTAACGTGGAGGGCAAACACAAATGTCCTCACTGTGATAAAAGCTTCCTCCATCTGAACTATGCCAAGTTGCATATTTCCACAGTGCACAAGGAGAAGCCTGCGTATCAATGCAGCACGTGCCAGAAGCCATTCTACTTCAAAACTACCTTCATACGTCACTTGAACTGCCACATGAATGAAGAGATGGGCATCAACTTCACCTGCGAAGTCTGTGGCAAGTGCTTTAAAGACAACCACAGCCTGATCACCCACAGGAAAATCCACATCAAGGATCTACCCTTCAAGTGCGAGTTCTGCGACAAGAGTTTCTTCCACCAGTCGCTGTTGTTACGCCACCGCAACTTGCACACCAAGGAAACTGAGTACAAATGCAAACACTGCGACAGGGTCTTCTACCGAAAGGGCGGGCTGACGTATCACATGGCTTCGATCCATGACAACAAGCGAGACCACATCTGCGCAAATTGTGGTCTTGGCTTTGCTTCGAAGAGTGCCTTGGTTGCTCATGGGCATACTCACAGCACAGTGCGAACATTCCAATGTGATATATGCGGAACTCAGGTCAAGACTAAGGGAAACCTGAAGGAGCACATGAGGTGCGTTCACACGGAAGAGCGGGCTTACAAATGCGAGATCTGCCAGAAGGCATTCAATCGCAGTCACCGCCTGACCTTACACATGATGATGCACAGAGACGAGAGACCACACAAGTGCCACCTTTGCGACAAGGGCTTCCGGACCCGAACCAACCTGCGGGTCCACATCAAGTGGCATCAGGACCAGCGTGACTTCCAGTGCGAGCAATGTGGCAAGACCTTCCTGATCCCCGGAAACCTAGACCGGCACATGAAGACACACCGGAGCGGTAAAACCCATCGGAAAAAATCAACCAAAAAGCCTGCAGCAGAAACTGTACCACAGACCACGGACCAAACGCAGCTTGCCACGCACATGGAAGTACCTCCCAGCCAGCCAGTTGAGAACCAATACCAAACAGTCCAAAATCTGGTGTCAGGAGCGGGATTCGAGTCAGACCTTCCAACATTAGCATCCATCGCGCAACACCTGTCCACAATGAACATTCCAGTCTTTCAGGCATCAAACACCGCAGGCCAGACTTCCATTCCGGTAGCAATCAACCGTGATGAGAACACCTGTACCTTACTTCCAGGCTCAGTCATATCTGGTGAGGCGTCGGCTGCCCTAGCGGCATTCAGCCATGCTCAGCAGCAACTACAGGGACCTGCTACAGGCCCACCTGTCGTCACTCAGTCAGTGCAAGGCAACTTTGAGCAAATAGAATTGACCTTGTAACCAGAAACGGATTATTCAACAAGAAGCACTCATAGAAAGTGAAGATGTTATACACAAGTACTTTGGTGCGACACATCCATAAACATTTCACAGACTTTTGCTGACCGACTAACTGAGAGTGTTAATATTTAAGCAGGTTTGGTGTAAAGCTAGTATATGATCATGGAGATTCGTATTATTTTATTAACTTTTTTTTCATGGCAGCGGATTTGGTTCTCGTTTCAATTACTGTGTACAATATGAATTATGATTGCTTTTTAACTTGTTTTTATTTGTAATTACACTTCAAAGTGGATCAGTTTGAGGAATTTTCTTCTACATGTATATCTTATAGACTACATGTACATGTATATCTACATGAACGGCCTCAATCTGTTAATTGGAATCATATGCAATTTTGTTTCATGCTATTTAAGATGCACACTCGTTTTTGTTCCATGACAGTGTTTTGGGTATGCTGTTCAAACGAGTTCTGTGCCACGAAAAACAATGTAGCTGTCAAGATTTTCACTGAAAGTAAAATGCTCAACAGCCCCTTGGGACAAAACAAATTAAAACAACGTGTTATCAATCAAAACTGTACTTTTTATTAATACCAAGCTTTTAAGCTATTTAGTCAACAACAACTTCGAATTGTTTTTGTGTTTAAAACTCAAAGGTATTTACAATGGTAAAGTTGGTTAAATTAAATAATTTCACTAACTCATAATTTTTCTGAGACTCAAAAGTAACAAAAGTGGGTTTACTATAACGACAGAAACACACAAACACCTGTGTTTCTTAATCTAAAATCACCAAATTTTCACTGCAGGTTTTCTACAACTGGTTCTTTCAAAAACGCATGCACTATTTTTTTGGCTTAAACAAAATTCACAAAATTGTGTGTACACGGCTACCATTTTCAATCAAATAAAGGTGTTTTTTTTTTAGTTTAGTAGCTCTAGCAGAAATCACATTTTGTAAGACCACTCCAGCTGCATTGTGAGGGTGATTCTTCGCGAGGTTTGGGGGTAAATTTTGGCAGCTTTTCAATTTTTTAAATGCGTCAGGATCTGAATGGTGGGGGTGGGTTACGACTTCAGTGATAAATCAACAACTTTAATATTGTAAATAACAGCTGTAAATGAATTTTCTTTTTTTACAAAATATTCATAATTATCCTGTTACTTTACAGAATGACGCAAAAATAAATTGTGTTCAACTTATTCTTGTGTCAAATTGATACTCGATGTTCAAATAATTCAACATTTTTGTAAAATACCATGTAGAAATACGGCAATCCTTAATGCATTAGTACTTTATTTTTATGCTCAAAGTTTTGCTTCTAATTAGAGAGGGCGCTCTTCCAAGGTTATTTTTGAAACCACAGTTTTGCTTCAGCTTTGGTTTTATCATCAGGAAGCCTTTAAGTTCCAAACCATATGTAAATATTTGGCCATTGGGCTCCTTTTTCTGAACCAGAACATGGACAAGTCAGGGCCTCAAATCGGAGCCAAACTGGAGTTGAAGCCGCTGTTTCACAAACCCCGAAAGTATACAATGCAATTTCCACACAGTTAACCCAATGAGTGTGGCAGTCCATTACAACTGACTACCATGAGTGCTTTGGAGAGGTTCACTGCCCCCGTCATATCTCAAACTGTTCCACTCTCTTAAAAAAATTAGACAAATTTCAGAGTTTCTATCGGGACAAAGTAGGATTTCAAACATAAAAACCACATTGTATATGATGCACTCGTGTTCACCTATTCACTTCATAACCTTCGAAACACAGTTTTCTCTACAAATAAAAAAAAGTTAGAATAAATTTGATAGGACTGGAAACGCATTCACTCAAAACTCTGCAGGGAATACTGGGCCAGGTCTAAAGAAGGTTTTATTTTTGTTGATCAATCAAAACCAATCAAGTCACTGTAGAATATAGGGCCTTGCCAGAACACGTCAAGATAAATTTATTTCACAATGTCCCTAATGGCTTTTGAGTTTACAAATGTTTGTCTGGTGGCGTTGAGTTTCTGTTGTTCACTGAAGAGGAGAACATGGCAAGGGGATCATGATCCTAGCCTCCATCTTGCGAATCAGCGGCACTGCGGGGAAAAAACAACCCACACAATAAATTAATACAGGATGTGATCATGGGCAAATTGTGGTTTTTTTGGGGGGGGAAGGGGTGTGCAGGAGTAAGGACACAGGTATTAGGTTATGAGAGTCGACTCCCATTTGTACAAAATCCACATGATCTGGCCCAAATAAAATGTATTCGAAGATACAGTAGTTTCCCACTAATTGTTCAATACAGTGGACTCTCGTTAATACAAACTCAGCCCGACCTTCAAAAATGTTTGTTATATCAGAATTTTGTACAAAGTGGAGTGCCGGTCCCATTCACTGCACCCATAAATGCACAGGGACCAAGGCTTTATGTTTGCTATAACCAGAATTTGTATTAACAGTGTTTGTATTAAACAGTCGACTGTACATACATAAGCATTATTGTACATACTGTTCACATGTATGATGTACAATGTATATGCATTTTGAAAACAACTCGTGCACAAGTCACTGGCATGCGTGACCGGCATCCTTTGATGCCGGGTCATTGTTGGTAACCACCGCATGCAATGAATACTCACCAGTGTACGCTACACAGCTGTCCCATCCAGGATTCTGCCAGGCTTTCTCACGGATCTCCTTGCGTGTCTGAAGATCTTTGTAGGCTACCAAAAAAAAAAACACCACAAAGCAAATTTGCAAAAAACTGATTTCCGGCTATTAAGCTACTGTCGAAGTTTGTCTCCACTTGGCACTCCTGTTTTTGTGCATTCCATCATGGGCTCTATGCACAAGGAGAGTTGGTGGAGTCCACTGGGAGACGCATTCGTCGACAACACCAAATGCTCACCCAAAGACACTATGGCTACACCAAATGCTCACCCAAAGACACTATGGCTACACCAAATGCTCACCCAAAGACACTATGGCTACACCAAATGCTCACCCAAAGACACTATGGCTACACCAAATGCTCACCCAAAGACACTATGGCTATGTACACTCGGAATAAAATGAGTCGTGCGTATCGTACTTTGCGCTATGCGCGCACAAACCAGTACGCCTATGTGGTGTGTCCCATCCATTGGGCTCTCAAAAGTGGTCCAAAAGCACTCTCATTTGTTAGCACACCGAGCCCAGCGTCTGTTCAAATTGGTCAAGTTCATAAAAGGTACTGCACATATGCAAAAGACTGATATGAACTCAAGGGAAGGCAAAAATGCCTGAATTAAAAATAATCAAGGACAGGATAACACTAGAAGAAACAGAGTTTTTACAACTTTAGTAGTAAAGTAAGTGCATTCTCACCCCAGATGTGGTGTACTAAGTACAGGTCCCCCACTTGAGTGAAGAGACCTGCTACAGCTTCATTGTTCTCACGACGGAATCGAATTCCACTTTTCCTGTGGTTAAAAAAAAGGAGCGCAATACAAGCACACAGTGCTGAATATAAATTGTTGTGTACATAGAACTCAAAAGCCCAGATGCTGGGGCTGCAACTTAAGTTTAAAGCTACAGTCCATCATTGCAGCTATCCAAAAAGTAACTGACATAATTACTGTTGAAAAGCATACTTGGTTTAAAGATAGTAATGGGACTAAACTCCCTGTGAAATGATTTGTTCATTTTGAAAAAATCAATGAAAGAAGGCTATTTCCAACGATGTGTCTAAAGAGTAATTCTTGGAAAATTCCGTTAGTAGTTCGAAGCACGCGCAAACATTGACAAAACACACACGTGCACGGGGTTGCTATAGTTCATTGGTTCAGTGCGCGACATCGCGTAGCTGCAATCGGCTCAGTGAGAACATGTCTCAGATGCTGAATTCAGGCCCAATTCAAAACGTGACTCATCAACTTTTGATTTGAGATCGAGATCCTAGAATATTGTTTTCTCGCAATATACAGCATTCACCGAGCTGAAACTTCATCAGGTTAGTTGTTCAGCACCTTTCTTTAGATTTTGAGCACTTTTATTGCTTCAACGAACAGAATGCACAAATTACAAATGATGGACCTTTAAGGCAATTTTTGTTTGCTAAATATTTCAAAGGAAAAATAGAAGAAAATTTAACAGTTGATTACTTACCAGTTGTTCGCCCACTCTATCAATGTACCAGGCTGGAAAAAATGAAAGGGAAAAAAAACATAATAATGAATTTACTCTGTAACGCATATGATAGAACCTTCACAAAATGCTGTGTAATACTGGAGAATGTGAAATTAAACGGGATAAATCAAGGTTTACCTCGATATTTTATGAGGTTTTACAGTGTGCCTCGGGGTTCAACCCCAACTTACCTCATGTTTAATTTTGCATTCTTCCCCAACTCAGTACACCCTCATTGCAGTTTAAGATTTTGGACTTGAAACTTCCAAGGGGCATAGAGCTGTAGAGAAAATAGCAGCTAAGCATCTGTCATCGTTTAAAAGCTTACCCTGAGATGGTAGCTTCTGAGTTCATACAGGTTGCCTGGCTCTCGCGGCTGGGGCTTTCCCCAGAAGCTGAAGGGAAGCAGGAGGGAGTTACTCCGGTTCATCAACATCTCGCCTCGTAGCTTCTTGTAATCATTGTACTCCTACAAGAAACAGGTAAGAGAAGTCACAAATTTATTAGAGATGTGACTGTGATAACGATGGTCCTGCAAGTTCAAGTGTTAAAATTAATAAAATAGTTAACTGAAATGATTTTATGACCTCAATAATTAAAGAACATTACTCCAACTCTCACAGATCCTTCAGCGTCCACAAGCTTTTGTAGGATTTTGTAAGATTTAGGAAGTACCCAGCCACTTTTACTTCAAATGAAGCTTGATGCCTTTTGAAAATTGAAGTACAGAGAATGTGCCATTGGTTCCTGCAGAGTGGGGGATGTTGGAGGATTGGGGAAGGTTCCTGCCCCCCCCCAAAAAAAAGTGCAAAAAATGTGAAATTTGTTACGTAGAAAGAGTGTGTCTTTGGGTAACTGCACAGAGGGGGATTTTGGAGGATCCAGGGAGGTTCCTGGGAAAAATTTGTCAGGATTTAGGCTTAATTGATACAACGATGAAGCAATATTTTGGAGGGCATGGTTTGAATTTTGATTGGATCAGTTTTATTTGCTCGCTCTGAAAACCTTTCACCAGGGTAATTTAGTAAACTATACCTTATCCACCCAAAGTTTCTCCGACATCGTCTTGACAGCATGGTAGCCACCTTCATAGAACCAGACGTGAACTGAGAGACAAACAGATTATAGATTTACAATAAGAATAACACCGAATGGTGCACAAGTTGATTTAAAAAACAGAGAACAACAGACAGATTTGGGAACAGCCATCATAGAACAGGGATGGCTAGATCAGGGATTAGTTCTTTGGACTTACTAAGCATAAAAAATATTTGCTGAGCGAAAGACAGGTTACCAGCTAAAATGTCATTTAATGTGTAGTACTTGTGACTGGTTCTCTGCTAACTTCTGCTCAGCACATAAATTTGCTAAGCACTCTTTTCTGTATAGCAGGCCTATTGATAGAGCACCAGCACAGTGTTCCAGAGGTGGCAGGTTCGAATCCCCCTTTGGTCACCTATCTGCAGTATTTCTGTATTACCTGCTTGATCTTGTTCACCGAATGCCGTGCTCCAGCTGCCGAAAAGCTTGCAGGGAAAATCGGGATTCTCGTGAATTCTCTTCAAACAGTGCTCCCTGACAATCACAGAACACATCGTATTAAATGAAATATTACACAAAGTGCTAACTTCACTCTAAGCTGCAAAGTGTGCAGAGAAAACAATCATTGTATTCGCCTTGACAACATTAGTGAAGTATACAATGTCCATGCCTAAGTTACTTTTCAATTGACATCCGTATTTAAATTCCTCCATCCATTTTTCTTTCATCTATGGATTGAATTGGGTACTCTGCAACACAATGCCCTTGACAAGTTACAATTTACAAAATGAATGCTTTACAACAAGAAGTTTTTGAAAGAAACTTACGATGCTTGGATGTACTCCTTCATCCTGTCTGGTTTGATGTTATGTACTGAAACGAAAAAGTTAATTTAAGAGTCACAAACTGTTTTTATAAAAGGGCCTTAAGATATTAAGCATTTCAAAATGTAGAAGAAAAAATACAACGAAGGCTTAATTAAAAAATCAATTTTGACGTCGTTCTAGGACGGTAATTTACGTATTTCATGACTTACTCTGCATTTCATATACCACTTCCTTGTTGGTGAGTGCCTCTGAGTGTGCTGCCTTCGCTGGTTCAACTTTTTTGACGTGAAGGAGTTTGTTCAGCCAGCCTTCCCCTTCGCCCGATGCGTAGGACCTGCAAACAAATTGTGTCATTCACTTTTGTCATGTTGTTTTTTGGGGGGCAGATTTACTAACTTTAGAATAAGAATTTATAGAACCTTTCCCGACAAGAATTCCGTATACGGACGTCACTAATTTTCCCTGCAATGACCACGGTACCACTGTACCAGTGCCACTACCAGTATCCAGCCATCACAGCACAAAGCGATAACAATTAACATGTTGTAAACATTCAAATTTAGCTGTTTAGTGGGGAAAATATTGAAGCATTTACTTTCGTCATGTTAGTGAGAAAACGCAAAAAATTTCATACTGGGCCACCACTCAGGGCTCCTGCACAAAGTTTATGGGCCATGACCGAACATTTTAAAGTACGCAGTGGCTATTGTTACGGCAGCCGTAACGCATTTCCCATTTTCTATCGTTACGGTAGACTGCAACCTGGCAACTTTTATAAAAAAACATGACAAGAAAATATAAAATTAGAAGGAAAAAAGTGAATTTGAACTTTATGAAATTCGGACTTTATTTCCCTTTTAAAAAAAATCCTCCAAAGCCTCAGGTTAGAAAAGGAAAAAAATTCGAGTGCAAAACTGAGATCCGAACCCGCAACCTCGCGGTGCAAAATCCTACCCTTTATCGGCTGAGCTGGCGCACTGCTCGATAAAACGTGTGGAAACAAATAATTATATACCTGCGTGCGTACCAAAAAAATATCGTAGAGGGCGCTAAACAACGAGTGCCGTAACGATAGCCACTTCGTTTAAAGTAAAGAATTTTTGCACTCCTCAAGTCATGTAAGTTAAACAGATTTACAACTTTTTCAGGTCATATTAAGGAATATGAGTGGTGGCCTAGTGTGGAATTTTTTCCGCATTTGTTTAATTCTCTTTCATTTTAAAACTAATTAAAAGCGCCCTCTATCGTTTTAAAATGAAGGGCATGAACGGCAGAAATGCTGAGAATTTTTTTTATATGTTGGCCTAGTATTAGTATTATAGTAATGTGTGGAGTTTTGTTCCGACATGATCGTTTTTATTTGACTTGAAAAGGAACTTTAAAACAAGTTTCACACACTTTCATGTTTGATTAATGAAGAAAGATGATTAAATATACAATAAAGTACCTCTGTATGACAGGTGCGTGGTTAATAACAGCTGCATTTCGCAGAAGTTGTGAAGAACGAAGTAACAAAAGTTTGCCATTCGTCGCCATTTTTGATGAATTTCTGAGATCATCAGAGAGCGCCAGCGCCACCAAGTGACCATAAATTGCCAGGCAGTTGCTAAGTGATATTTCTACACAATTTTTCCGGAGTGCGGAATCCTTACCGTCGTGAAAATAACCCAAATTTTGTTTACTTTTCCAATTTCGAAACGCACGAAAACTGTCATTCAAGATGACTGTGAGTTTAGAAGAATACTTCAGGACAACATTTGAGGACAAGCTCCTCGTGTGAGTTGACTTATTTGACCGTAACATTTACTTGAGTTACACTACAGTGTAATTTTACACTTGTCACTTTTTCGGACGTCATGGACGTAGGCCTACGTACGTCGATAGGCGGCCGAGGCCACTTCATTGGGTGGGGAAGGGGCGTGGCTACTCAGTGGGGGAGGTAGGGTTAGAACATGGACTTGAGATGGGTCAAGTAGAGTGATAAGTTTTCTGTTTAGGCATGTTAGGTGTCTAATGAAGATGTTTTTTATAAATGATGCAAAAGTCTGAAAGAGTGTCAAAATGGAATAAAATTGAAACGTTAATTTGAAAAATAATGGCTTAAAATTGCATAAGGTTTGGAATAGGCCTATGTTGTTAGTGTGTTCCCTGTGCTATTTTTCATTTCATCCTGCAAAGTCAATTTCTTTTCTAAATCGCTATTTTTAGGCCTAGGCCGAGCAATACAAAAGTAGGCCTATTTCACTTTGGAATGAGACATCGACCAAAAACTGTGTTTAGTTATTGAATTATTACTTTACAATTTCGACTTATTGGCTGCAAGACAATTCCTGTTCTCGCGGGGTAGGCTGGTTCCTGCACCACAATCAGTATCAATTATTAATGTGGGGACCGGGAGCCAGTCTGCTCGATCGCCAAGCAGATCTGTTTGTGTCCAAAACAAAAACATATTTTAATTTTTTTTCAGAGGGTTGCGGATGTCCCCAAAAAGGGAAAAAAAGGAGATTTTTTGTTAGAATAAAACATACAAGTTCCAAATTAAGATATGGAGAATAAATCAAATTTGTTGAAGAACCGGGGAACGCATCTTAAAATTTGCTCTGATATATTTTTGCAGTAAAATGCCGGAGCGAGAAGATGATCACCTGACTCCGGCTACCAGACTACTGGAGAAACGCAGAGAGATGTCTGAGGTGGAACAAGCACTAGGAGCTCAAAAAGAAGTAAGTACTAGACAAAAATTAGGCAGTTTTTATTAAAAACAGTCCCCCAAATTTCATCACTGTCATGACTGTACAGGAAGCCATTAAAAGTGTGGTAATTTTTTATAAACAGGTTTTTTTTTCTCTAAAAGTTGAAAATTTCTTTACCCCAAAATTGTAGGGTGCCTTACAAACTTAAATTGTATGAACTAAAATGATTTTATTTTGGAACTGTGTTTATAAATCTTTTTTTTTTCTTTGTTTGTTTCATAAGGAGTTTCAGATGAAGATGGAGAGTCTCCAGCAGCGAAGGGAAGAATTGGAAAGGAAAGAATTCCAACTCAAGGAATCGCTCCTGAAATTTGACAAATTCCTCAAGGTGAAGATCTAAGGGTTCTAAACTTTTGAGAGGGATCCGTCACAAGTCCTAACATGTCCATCACAAGTCCTCACAAGTCTGTCACAAGTCCTCACAAGTCTGTCACAAGTCCTCACAAGTCTGCCACAAGTCCTCAAAAGTTCATCACAAGTTCTCACAAGTCTGTCACAAGACCTCACAAGTCTGTCACAAGTCTGCCACAAGTCCTCAAAAGTTCATCACAAGTCCTCACAAGTCTGTCACAAGTTCTTGCAAGCCCTCATAAGTCCTCAAAAAGTCCTCGCATGTCCATCACAAGTCAATCACAAGTCCTCACACGTACATCACAAGTCAATCACAAATCAATTACATGTCCTCACAAGTCCCAAAAAGGAAATCATATAAAGTCCTCACAAGTATGTCGCAAGTTCTCACAAGTTATTGCAAGACCTTACAAGTCCTCAAAAGTCCACAAGTCCATCTCAAGTCATCCAGTCCCAGTCAGGTCACAAGTTTTTCAAATGGATTGTGACAAATGCATTTCTTTGTTATTGATTATCCCCTGTTTCTTATGAATTGACTTTCGATTAACTTGTTAGTGGACTTGTGATAGAGTCGTAGTGGACTTTACCACAACACTGCCAAAAACTTTTCGAAAAACTCAGTGCAATGAAGAATGCCAGTAACGTAATTTATGAAGATTTGTTATTTCTTGTACATGTAGTTTGATATAAGTAAGTTGACTCGTTGACTTCTTTTTCTTCTTGTCAGGAAAATGATTCCAAACGTGCAAGAGCAATCAAGAAAGCGCACGACGAGAGAGATCTTAGACGAGCAAAAGAGAGGGAAATATTAAGGTCAGTTGCAAGAACGTTATCAAGATTTGTGTTCCATCTTATTGCTCTTTAAAATTTCAGCTTATGAACACTGACTAACTGGTGACTAACTTAAATTAACTGAAACTCAAATCTATAAAAAAGTGAACTTTTCATTCCTCTTGCACAATCCAATTATGTTAATGCTGTTTTTCCTTTTCTAAAGACTTCTTGAAGAGAAGAAGGATCTTCAAGGATCCAAGGATAAACTCTTAGGCCGTCTCAACAAGCACAAGATCTACCATGGCTACCTGGAGAGAACGTTGGAGGCTGCCGAGGAGTTTCATGAGATCAGAGAGATCATCGCTCGCTATGAGACACTGGTGGCTACACATACAGTAAGTGATAGTATGTCCCAAGGATTGGTCCCTATTTGGCCTGAATGCAATTGCTAATGGGGAGTGTAGTGGCCTCGTGGTCTGGCGCATTGAACTCATGATCTTGTGGGTAAATCTGCAGGTTGTGGGTTCGAATCCAGCCTGGGTTTCTGGTGCGTGTGTTCTTGGGCAAGGCACTTTGTCACTCATTGCTTCTCCCCACCCAGGAGTAAATGGGTACCTGTGAGGACCTAGTTGGTTATGTGTTTGATTTAGCCAATTGCGCCGATATAGCAGCATTGAGTTGTATACTCCCCAGCGAGCTGAGATGGTCTTTGGAATGTTTCATTGGCCCGGTGAGCAGGGGTAATAATATTGTGCTGTGCCATGATAACCTGTTTAGTTGATGCGTGCGCTATATATAAATCGATATTACTATGATTATTTATTTGAATTTGCATTTAGAAATTGTAAATTGAACACAGTTGCCGAGAGTGTGTAATGTTGTTTATACTCTGTTGTGAAGGAGGGCAATTGTTGTAAAGTGTCTTGCCCATGAACACAAACAACAGGTTTATGTTAGGATTTGAACTCCCATGCCATTGCATATGAGTTAGACACATATTCATTCATGCAAACTATTCATATTGTCCATGACGCTCCACACAGGGGTATTGTAACAAAATTTGATTTTATTATGGTCCCAGTTGCACCTTTAAACTATATAGAGAGCGCTTTGGCCACAGTAATCCGTAGTAGTCATGTATTGCACCTGTTCTCAAGTCAGATTAATGCCACAAAACTATTTCAGAGCTTACTTTGTTCAACTTAAGTCTTAACCTACTTAAAGCCACAATAGATCTAGTATTTGGGTTGCAGTCAAACCACAGATGGAGCTCTCGTGGCAGTCTTTATTGTTTACTCTCACAATACTGGGATATAAGTTCCTTGCCCCCATACCTCTGTGCTTATAGTGTTTATGCAAATAGCTCCCAGTACAAAAGACACACTGCATTAGTTTGCCTAATCTTGAAATTCTTATGTATATTTTGACCCAGCACTATAAAACCCCTTTGAAAGCCCAGTAGGGCGTGGACTTGCGACTGGGGTGTGTTGGTGGATGGTGGTGTGCATTTTGGTTCCATATTTTCTGAGTCCCTTTACATGTATGGCTGAAGGAGGAAGCCTAGTTTAATTTGGCCTTGTTTTTGTGCAAGACGCTGTGTTCTTTAATTTGCACATCACCACCACCATTATTTCACACCAAATGGTTCAGTGGTCTGCATATTCTTGTTGGTATGTTCCAATTTTACCCCCTTGCACCCAGTAGTTTTTACATTGCCTAGTAGACTACGGTGTTGCATCGTAGTGGTCCCAATCTGAACTCTGCTCTGTCGGTAACTAGTCATTTAAATTCTGTTATTCATATTTGCATGCTCTCCCCTGGTTAATTATTTTGTAAGCGAAGAAGCGCTATTTAAATTTTCATTATTTCTATTTTCTGATATTGTATACACTTGTCTCTTTGTCAGTTATTTTGTGATCAACATCCATGTATTTTTGATTAATTAGTTAATCCCCCCAACTGACGGTCGGCCTCTTTGGGTCGCCGTTACAGTATCGATCATTCAAATTACATGTTGTCCTTTCATCCATGCAAACCCAAATAACATCCGTCAAGAGTGAAATATTTACCAGGAATTTCTTTTAATTTCTGCATTTAGGACCTACTAGACAAATCTCACAAGACACAAGACGCAGTAGAGAGGGAGAAGGCTTCACTGGTCAAATTCACCGAAGAGAAGAACAATGAGATACTGCACTATAACAACAAGCTTGCCAAGCTACAGACCAGACTAGATAGAGCACAGAGCGAGGCTGTCAAATGGTGGGTAGCAGTCAGGGGCAGAGCCATCTGGGGGATGTGCAGATGTGGCTATATCCGCCCATTCCATTAATTTTGATCAGTTAGATCATCGGTTGGCAATCCCCTCTCTGGCTTTTTGTATTGTCATGTAATTTTTATGCCTCTATGAATAGAGTCGGATTTTGTACAGTAATGTCATATCGAAGAGCACCCCCTATATATCACGTGATGTCAAGCCCCCCATATAAAGGCCACCCCTCCCCCTCCCCCCTCCCCCAACACACACCCCAACCCCACCCCCGCTTTTCAATTTTGCAGTGCCTTCGTAACCAGTAAGATCTTCTTTGTAACTGTTTAGTGTTTTAGATAAATGTTTCACTTTTAATTGGTCTATTGGATTTTTTGTCCGTTTTCAGGGAATCCCAGTGGACTCACATTAAGAACACAGCAGCCAAGAAGACGCTCCTGTTAGGAAGAATCAAAATGTAAGTCTCGTAAAATTTTGAAGCTATTTCTCCTGTTTCCAAATCGTTTTGATTGCGAGTGTGTATCTACATGTATTTGCTTAACCACTTCACGCTGGGCTTGCTTAACCACTTCGCGCTGGGTTGATTTTTTCTGAAAATTTCACAATCGCAATCTTGACACGCAATCTTGACATCTTAAACCGTCAGCCGTACGTACCTGTGCAAAAAAAACACAGCCAGTGCATGTTATCACGGCCTCTGGTTAACAAAACACTTGGACAAAAATAGTTGATTATACAAACAAAAGTAAGGAGATAAATGTTCTTCATGTTTAAATAAATGTTACTTTCTTATTATAAACAGCTTGCTTTACTGCCTGTTCGTTCTCTGTATGTAAGTGTAAAATTTGTGACATCGTGCCAGGAATTTCGGCCGCAAATTAAACCAAGTGCGAGTGCACAATAAGCTCTGGCCATCTTGCATGAAAGTCTTGCATGAAATCTATCAAAACAATCCCTGCCAAAGCTTAGAAATGTGACGCCCAAAAATGGGACGCCGATGGCACATATGGAACACCATACTGTAGATTCATACCTAGATTTAAAGCAATTTGTGATTAATACCATGTGACTTTAACATTACTGCACATGTTTTGCCTCCATTTACAAACATTTTATAAACATCTTTTCGAATTGTTACAACTTTTGTTAAATACTTAAGTTATTTTGTTTGGTTTTTGACAATTAAAATTTGGTAGTTATATTTTATGGGAAACTTAGGGGGTTTATTTTGGTCAATTTCCTGGGACTGACCGACCGACCGACCACCAAGTGACATGTAGAAACTCCTGCTACAGCATACAAAGTGAACTGATATCAAATTAGACAAATTTCAAGACAATTTTCTGTGATGTCAATTTCGTTATGACGTCTCACCCATGTGAAATATGAAAATTATGGTGAATTAAAATTCTGCTGAAGTTTAGAAGTTAAAGATAATTTTTGTAATTATTTTAATGAATTTTTTTTTCAGGGCCACCCACAATTTATTCCAACTCGTCAATAAGCACCTTAAGCAACAAACAGTAGCAGAGGACACCGCAGACCAACTAAACAGAGTAAGTAACAAATTAGAATTGTGTGTTATTATTAATTATAAGTTATTATTTTCATTGCTTAAAGTGGGCCGAATTTATTTCATTCAGAGTCTCAGTAGTGCAATACGTATGTATTAATAAGTTACAAATTTGAACACAGAAATTGACTGGAGCAGGATTTGAACCTGCCACCTCCTGTTTGCCATTCCAGTGCTCTACCAACTGAGCTATCCAGCCCTATGTTGGCAGTTCCCCACTTTGTCAATATCTTTGCTCAATGGTGCTAATTAGAAGCCATACAGTTTATGTTGCTAAAATAAAATAGCATTTTTTTTGGCGAGGCTCTAGAGTCTGCGCGGAAACACTTACCGCCATTATTTTTATATCATTTTAAAGCTTAAAATCTTAACTTTATCCCTGGCGAGTATTGGTTTGATATTTAAAAGAGTTTTTAAATTATTAAATAAAGGCATGTCGAAAACAAACTCTACCGATTTCAAGGAAAATCGATGATGTGGTACATCAGATGCAAACTTGAGTCAATAAGTTGTTAGAATAACAAAACAAAAAAATAGTTGATTTATATTAAAACCACATTGAACTTGACAAAAAGAACAATATTGTGAATTTATTTAAGGTGTAGTCTACGTGGATCGAAAAAGAAGACGAAACATAGAAAGTAAAAGGCAACGAAATGTCACATCATGAACATGAAGCATTTCCACATCTAATAGGAAAAATGCACTATTAATTTTCTTTGAAATCGCTTGAGTTTGCTTTTGACATGCCTTTATTTGAACGCAAGTAATTTCAAAATCCTTTTGAATATCAAACCAATACTTACCAGGGATAAAATTAAGATTCCAAGCTTTACAATTATATAAAAAAATGTTGCGGGTATTGTGGGATGCGCTTTATATCTTTTAACCTAACTAAGGAAGCCTGTAAAAACCTTCAATTGTTACGCCTGCATGCATGGCTGGACCATAGGGTTGCTTGCATTGAATCAAAAGTTGAGGCTCACAAATCTCCGATATCTAATGTCATCTAAGGCAGATGGCCAGCACGGTTCATTGAAACACTGCAAGGTGTTTCCTTTTACTTTCCACTGCCATTAAACATTGATTGTTGCCAGTGCCGTGGAATCTATGTTGAGTTGTGTCGTGCCAAGGGCAGGGTATCGGTAATTGATTGCTGACGCCTCGGATTAGAAAACAGGAAAGGGTTGAAGTGGGAAAAGCTGAAGTGGCCAGCAGTACTTGAACCTAAGGCAAAAGAATGGATGCTGTGAAGTGGAAAAGGGATAGATGGATAAAACCTAAGCAATCGGTTTTGAGAAAAATTGCTGTATCATGCGGCTGAAATGTTATGGGTGGCTTAGTTCTCAAAGTGCTCGTCTCTCACCGCTGTGGTCTGGGTTCGATTCCTGGCTCGGACCATATGTGAGTAGAGTTGTTTGTGGTTCGCTCCTGTGCCACGAGGGTTTTTCTCTGGGTTCACTGGTTTTCCTCCCTCCGCAAAAATCAACACTTTCGATCTCTGGCTGTGCTCCGTGGTCAGATATGGGTTGTATGGCAGCTGCCTGAGGCACCTTTACATGCCTTCGGGTGGACCACGTTGTAGCCCCGTCCTCGGAATTAAGCTTCTGCTGAGAGTAAGGATGATTAGCTCCACAAAAAATATTTATGTATTTATTTAGTCCCCCTCCCAAAAAAGGGAAAATGCCATTTAATGTTGGGCAATTCCAGCATTAGGAAGTGTAATGTCCGTGACAGAGCCAATTAACCATATCTAATTGATTGATGGAATTGCCGTGTTATTAAATTAATAGTAAGAATTGTCCAAAAGGACCTAAAATGCTCAATGTGGCTATTCAGTGCACACATCATACATATTTATTATTATGAACAAGCATCGAAATTTGTTTGTTGAGTCTAATTGAACATTCAAACAGCATTACAATGCAAATTCACATTTTCCTTTTAAAAAGTCTACAAAGCTTCATCCCCAATCAAGTTTGGCTGTTTGCAGAAAATCGTTGTAAAATTACTTCCTCTCTCAAGGCGAAGCATAATTTCATTAATAACAATGAATCTGTCAATTGTTAGCTGTAATTAGTGTCTCAGAATTCCAAAGATAATTAAGTCATATCGCATGATACACAAGGGGCCGTAACATTGACATCGTCCATGCTAATTTCATTTCCTGACAATTGGGGGCACTGCTGTTGAATGTGATGTCCATTTAGGCACTCAAAGAGTATTTTTTTAATTTTTATAATTGTATTTTAACAGTTTGTAGCATGTGCTTGATTAACATTGACTGGTTGTTATGAACCAACGAAAATGCACGGAAAAATTGTTGACGTCAGTAATACTCAAATGTCATAGCTTCAAGAGATAATTGCATTAAATTGTTTTGCGTGATACAACAGCGACCGTAACATTGGTAGTGTCCACGCTAATGTTATCTGACAACTGAGGTTGCCTGTTGTTGAATGTGATGACAATTTTAGGCTCTCATTCAGTGTCAATACTTTCAGTACAAATCATGCCCTTTTAAAGCTATAGTCCATCATTTGTAATTAGTGCATTTTGTTCGTTTGAAGCAACAAAGTGTTCAAAATCTAATGAAAGATACTGAACAACTTACTTGATGAAGTTTCAGCTCAGCTTCAGCTTCATATTCCGAGAAAAACAGCATTCTAGGATCTCAATTTAAAATCAAAAGTTGCTAAATCATGTTTCGAATTGTTTTGAATTGCAGCTTTACGCGATGTCACGCACTGATCCGACGAATTATAGCAACCGCGCACGCCTGTGCGTCGTTCCATTGCTTGTGCGCGCTGCGCCGAATAACAAAACGAACAACTAATTTAAATTTTCCTACGGTGCTTCTTAAGAAGCACCATTGGAAATGCCTTCTTTCGTTGATTTCTTCAAAATGAGAGCTTGCCAGAAAGGATAATTTCACAGGGAGTTTAGTCCCCTTACTATCTTTCAACCAGTATGTTTTTCAACAATAATTACGCCAGTTACTTTTCCTTTAAAGGCACATAGGATAGGATCAGTATCTTTTCATGCCTTTGGTTTGTTTCCAATAATAACACCACTCCAAATCCAAATAATGTTCAGAACTTGACCAGTTGAAGTTTCAGCTCGGTGGATATTACACTTTTTGTGAAAAACTGTGAAAAACCACGCACAACCTTATCACGAAACATGATTTTTTTCAATAGAACTCTTTATTTCCAACGATCAGTCAATTGACTGATCGTTGAAAATCACCTACATTTCTTGATTTCTTTTAAATGACAGCAAGCCACAGGGAATAATTTCACGGGGTGTTTAGTACCAGTAATATTTTTAATCCAAGTAAGCTTTTTGATAATAATTCGGTAGGGAACTTTTGGGATAAATGCAATGATCCTATATGGTTGAACTGAACAAGACTAACAAAGGCTGGATGCGAACCGTAATGCTCAAACATATGGTACTGCTCTACAAACTGGCCTATCTAGCTTTATTTGACAATATTGAAATTTCTTGATTTCCTGTTTTCAAATAGTGATCTTAACTTGAAGGAATCTTATTGTTTATTTGGTTTAAATCTTATTTTTTTTTAGATTCAGATGTTCATCATGGACTTGACCCAAATCACAACCGAAATCAAAAGAGCTGCAGCAGTGGAGACATCGGCTGTGCCTTCATCCAGTTAGACATTGGATAACCCGTAATATATCTTGTTAATTTATGCATGAGTTTTGAATTTTACACCTCGTTTCCCATCTTCAAATTTTGCATGATGTCACCCACATTTGTTATAATTTTTTCTCATTTACTTTGAAACCAATTAAAAGTCATCAGATATTTTTTGTTATTATGACTATTTTTATTTAATTTTTTATAGTGCAAGCCTCATTTTATGCACAATTTTAACTTGCATTTTTTCATGCATGATCTCATTTCATGTTGAATTTTTAATGTTCAAAACTGGTTCCGAACTGTTCAATGTTTTAGCATGGGCTGTTTGTTCTAAACCTACTGATGATGTTTTTTGTGACTTCAGGCCAAGAAATGTAGCACGAAGTCACTTGGCAAATCTCTTAAGACAGCGCTCTTTAAGTTTGTACTTAAACTATTGTTGTCATAGCTCTCTTGTGGCCTAGCTCAGCTCATTAGTTCCCCTAAAACAATATTTTCCACAAGTACACGACCTTTCTATTCATCCCCTTGCACGCCATGGGCTCTTTAATTAAAGGCCTCCCTCTTTGACTTCTGTTTTGACAACAAACATAATTTCATCCCATGGGGTTTATAGAGTAGGTTTTTTCAATTTTGTATCACTATGAGGCTTTTCAGCTATGAGCAAAGGTGCGTATTTTGCAGGTGCCGAGCAATCCTTGAACGTTGCAATTTCCTAGAAGATTGTTTGTTATTGTAATCCAAGTCTTGGGGCCTTTCCGAAATGAATAATAAGCCTGTATAGAAGACTGTAGTATGTACAGTTGGGAAATTATCAAAATTCATTGAAATTCACTTGAACAGAATCCCCCCCCCCCCCCCTCAGCTAAAAAAGAAAAAAAAAGAGTTGTATTTTGCCTGGTCCTTGTTTAGAAACGCGATCTGTCTTACATCAGTGAGTGATATTTAAGTTTTCAAACTATTTGACTTTGTAATATTCTTGTATATATTAACATAAATGTTAATACATTTGTACATAAATTACTATTGTAAAATAAAACATTTCATGACAGGTTACGTAAGGATTCTTATTGTCTGTTTTTAATATCCTCAGATGTGGGCGGTCCACATTTGCAGAGAAAAGCTGCATTAGTGAACTAATGTTAAAAGTGAACAAAATTCAATTTTTTACGAATCGAAGAAAACTTTGTAAGTGTTAAAAGGATCTGTTAAAATGGGGCGGGTGACCTTCTGACTTGAAGCTCTGTAACTAGAATAAAATTAACGCTGTTGGTTTGTGCTGTATTGTATAAACCAACCCCCAAAGCAAGATGAAATGTTAACAATGATTTCTTGGACACTATTTCTTGTTGCGAACAAGCGGATACCTAACATGCGCCCATGGCACTTCTGAGTGTGTTTTTTATTTCCTTAAAAGGTTATCAAGTAACACGCCATTGGGTGTGACTTTCCGGGAGTTGCTGTCAGTCCCATCACTTTCTGATCCAAAAGGTCATGTAGGTGCTGAAAACAGTAAATATAATCACATAGTGATCATGAGATTTATTATTAGAGTCGGATCAATGTTGTGGTAGTGGATGTGTATTGGATAGAGCCTCGACATCTGCCAGTATCACCTGTTCTGTTACCTAGTCTGTCACCTATGTTGTCATACGGCTGTGGCCATCGCCCTTGGGTGACATACAATTTGTCACAGGTGTAGCGACATAACCGTGACACCTGCTCCCACTGACTTCCTGATCCGTCACCTATTCTCGTCACACACTTGTTATACCAGGTGATTTTACAGGTGTCGTTACTTTCCACTATTTTTATATTTTCCCCTATGTTCATGTTGGGACGTGAAGGTTATTGACCCGATGGGGGCGGGTCTCGAGTTGTAAAATTGGGAGGAGGAGGATATGGCAAAAAACCTAGATAAGATGGCAGTCAGGGTAAGATTCGTCAGGATTCTTCCTCATTTCAGGATTATTAGGGTCAGAGTTTTTCCTGATTTCATGTCTTTTTAGTTTGGATTATTCATGGTTTCAGGATTTTTTGTCCAGATTTTTTTCTAATTTCAGAATTATAAAGAAACCCATTTGAAATCGGGAATTGCTGATGTTTTTATATAGGCTTAGGTGTTTTTACCTATAAAAGTTTATACGGAACACAAGCTCGAAATGATATCGGAAGCTCAGCCACTTTTCAATGGAACAGTGAGCCCATAGAGGCGAACTTAACTGAAATGCATATAATAAGATCATTTGCTTTTCGTGCATCTTGTTCGTTTCCAATATAAAAATAACACCACTCAAAATCCGAAGAGTGGAATATCTTACCTTTAGATCACTTTTCTCGTGAACTGCGAGACCACTTCCGTTCAGCAATGCATTCATCTTACCCAGAAGCTTTGATCACATTGTCTCAAATAAAGACTTTTTATATAAGAGTATTTCCTCAAGGCTTTTAAGAAGGGCTTTTACTTAAGTTTTACCAAGCGATATATATACCCCAAGGAATTCAATTTCACGCTGACTTGTTTCCTGCTTTAAGATGAAAGTCAGCAGTGCGGGCAATCACCTTTAACAGATTTCACTTCAGGAAACTGAAGAGAGAATCACATATTTTCAAGTCCCTTGGTCTTTGTCCTTTCTCCATCTTTGCTCAGTCTTTTCCTTTCATTATTTGATGATTTCTCGTCCACCCTTTTACCAAGTCGCTTCTCTGTCTGACTCGCGTACTTTGCCCAAGATTTTCTCCCTTTCTCCACACTTCATCTCTCATTTCTTCATCTGCTCTTGTTCTAGGCGGTCCTTCCTTCGTTAAAATAGAGCTTATTTGAAATGTAGTCCTCTGTCTGTGTACCTGACTGACTGACTGACTGACTGATGACTCACTGCTTTATGCAATGAATTCTGTATCTTGAAAATTTAGACATTTATATTAAGAAGGCCAGTCTAGTGTTCTGTCTGCATATCTCACTGACTCAATGACTGACTGTCAGTTGTGAGCTGGGCAGTGCTATCGTATAGGATTACCCCGTATAAAGCCAATGAATGGGCTAAATCCGGCCCAATGTGCTGACCAGATGCATGAAAAGACTTCCAGTGAATAGCCATTCAGAATCAATTGAATAGAAATGTGTGTAGACCAGCTCAGTGAGTGCAAGTGTATCGATTCTCTTAATTTAGCTGGTTTAATCTTTTTGTATTTTTTTCCTAAATAATCGCTGCTTCCTTATTTCATCAAGGCAGAGGCCAAGTGTTTATGTCTCCTTAATTGAATTGCGTTATAATTTGGCGTTTGAAAATAATTGATTGCAATATTGTTTTGACGGTGTGGGCACGAATATTTGAACCGTTTTCAAAATCCTTGGATGCATGTTCAAAACATCTTCCTGGCAACTATCGTATTCATTTGATTTGTTTTCCCCCTTCTTTAAGTAAATTATTTATTTTCCAGAATTATGCGCTATGGTTCGAGCACATCTATCCTTATTTCCGTTTTCCTGTAACTTTTTGTCACCGACTCCACTCAGTCATGCCCGTGGCATGCTCGATCGAAATTAATTGCCCGCGAAATAGCGCTCCTCTTGAAAACACTTATCACTGTTCGTTTCACACATCTAATAACACGTTATCGGCAAAACTAATGACAGGCCCTCGGTAATGTTATTCATAGAGTCCAGGGTTATTGTACACATTTCCTGGGAAGATAATTAAATAAGCACGAACGACGACTTTAAGTGACCAATTAAGACAGCATACGGGGCAAAACGGAAAAAAATAACGGGTGTACAATGTAGTTGTTTATTTAAGAAAGACGGTGACTGTCGTCAGTCCTGTCAAAAAGGGTTTTTTTTATGAGCAGAAAAAAACTGGAAAAATATAGTCAAACATCATCCTTGCATTTTAAGTCTGAATTAAGTTTTTCAAAAACCCCAAAGTCATCGTACGTATTTTATGTATACTTTTTGTGTTTTATTTAATCATTTTGTAACTACATTTGAACTAATCTGAAGTGAATACGCAGTACCAGGCGTTTTTAAAATGACCAGCAAAACAAGACTACCAACCGAGGAGCAAAGTTTAAGCACAGAAATCCTATACAAAGGTTGATTCAGACGTGACAGTCTGGAACAGAGTCTGTTATACGCGTCAAGAGTTGCTGACAACGTTAGGAACAACACTTAAACGTACCACACGCTGGTGTCAAAATGTAAGTGGCAATTTGAACTCGCCATCTGTGCTCAACACAAAAAGAACTTGTAACATTTGATCAATCAGTTTAATTGTTTTTATTTTGTTGCATTTTTTGATAAACCGCACAGTCACTCACAACCCGTCTCATCTTGTAGTTAATAACGGGCGGGTAGCTTTTTCAACTGCATGTACCATAACAAAATCCACTTTGTCCGTTTTAATGCCCCAGACCTTGAAGTGAGTATGCTAAACCCCTAAGCAACTTTACTTGTTTTAAACGGATTACGGACCCGTTGCCTCTTCGCTGCTTAAGGAATTAACGGTTCCACCTCAACCAATCAGCTTTATGTATTAACTGGATGAAGTGAGACACTAGTCACGCAACTTTAATACCTTTTTATAAAATTTGACAGAATGCCTTCAGGGTATACGGGAGAGTTTTAAAGGAAAAGTTGGCAGTTGGCAAATGCGCCTTGTATTGAAGCAATTATGCCGCCATCTTGGATCCCCAAGCGTAATGCTGCGTAGTAGAGGCTTTTTGCACAAAATATCCCCCTTAATTATTCTTTGGATAATAGCCAATCCAAGGAACAGGACTATTTAAATTTCAAAAAAAAATACAACTTTTAGTTTCGCCGAAGTAATGCAGCAGCAACTACCCGAGAAAATAACTTACCGCGCGTGCGTCAAGGGGGACCCAAGATGGCGGACGCTGCTTCAATGCATTGGCATATCAGCAAGTCCGGTTAGTATAGCAATTAGTGAAAGAATCACCTGCAGTTGCAGAGGGACAAACCTTATTCCAATTTACCCGGTGGTGCCTGAATCTATTCAAAAGAGACAATAATATTTTTTTTTCTTCGATATTTCTGTCTCAATTTCTCGAGATGGAACATACGTATTTGTTATGCTCCAATTCAAACGTACACCTGAAACAGTATTCCAATATTTGACGTTCGTGTGTGTGAATGTTTGCCATGCATCATACTCGAGGTTGTCTATCGAACCGCTTGTAATAAAAAAGGGGGGAAAGTAATTGCTTTGTTCAACCAAACCAATACGAGTATCGATTTGTTCGTGTTTGATCCAATCATCCAGGTTTCATAGGGTCGGTTTCGTCCGTGAGTGATTAAACAAAAATTGATTTTTGTAGTGCTTGGAAATTAATTATCGTGCACGGCTTTAAAAAGGTCGGAATAAAGATGTACCACAAAATGCAGTTTTCATGAGATGCGTACGGCCTAAACTTAAAACAAAATATGCGTTATGCAAGATTTCTTTTGCTCATTAGGTTTTTCTATTAAATTTTGTTCGTCACTTCTTTTCTGGCGTTTCAGTTTGGTATTGTGTTTGCATACCTTGGAGAAAATCCTCCAACAAAGGACCCACTTATTAACTTACTGAATGCACAGCTCATATTTCCCCCTCAAATTTGTAACCAAGTGTCCCCAACATCCGGTTGTCATGGTTGCTAAGTGTTAATGCGTTGCATCATGTCTTGTTCGTGACAATAAAGTGTCTACTATAGGATGTGACTATAATAATGTAAAAAAAAAATGTACACTCTAGTCTCAAATTGCAAAACGCTGGTTAAAATTTGGTTAGTTATAAAAAAGTTGGTTAAAATTTAACATTGTGTAAATTTTCCAATTTTGCCCAACGTTTACCCAACGTTGGGCACATTTTGCCCAACTTTGCGAATTCTTGTTTTAACCAACTGTTGGGCTGTTCACCTGGTCATCAGTTGGTAAAACTTAGCCTGTGCCTGCTTCCTCATGTGCCCCAAAATTGTCGAACGTGTGGGACTTCCAAAAGGGATTCAAGCGCACTAAGTACCCCTCCTCCAGAAAATGATCCCAGAAAGTTAATTCCCCTTCAAATTGTAGAGTTACTCCAAAAAGAAAACCTTCCATTGCCAGTGTAAAACAAGACATGATATTATTGTATCGGGTGGTCGCTGCACACTCGTGTTTATGCGTTCCAATGGAAAGACCTTGACATTCAGACTGTGCTGAAATGATTCCATGCTGAAATTATTCCCTTCCCACACATTAAACATTTCCTCAGTTTTTCATTTCCCACGCGCTCACCGGCGATTGTATGAAACGAGCAAAACAACATATCATCCTCTCCTTCAGCCGTAAGTGACCGAATAAACCCCTAGAGATCAATGAAGACGTTTGCCCGAGAAAAAAGGATTACTGCTTAAGATGAGCGGGGGCGACTCCAGTCTTATTATAAGAAGCAAGGGAGGGGGGAACTGAATCAATAAATTGAGGGGGGGGGAGGAAGAAACTCAAATCAAAGCAATGAAATATATAGAACAAAAAGGGCTAATTCTCCAACCTTTTTAAACACCTGAGAAAATACTATGAGTCTTTGGGCCTTTCCTTTTTACACAAGGACGCCTTTTGTGTCAGTAAATTTAGCCAAGTGACGAAGTTTGGTCTTTTTTCTCTTGTATTCAAATGAAGTATAATTCCCAATTCATGCAAAATGTAACTCATATTTTAATTGATGTGTCAATAAAAGCGATCATATTTGATTTTCAACTTGATCAATTTAGTGGTTGTGCTGAAATTTATATTTTGGTATCATTTCAAGAAACACAAAATTAAAAATACACAAGGTGATATACAAGTATTATGTTATTATCTAACATAATTTTAGTGTTTCCCAGTACATTTTCTAATCACAGCGTAACATTAATCATCAGCTCCTTTTGACGCTCACAATATTCAGCTACAAATCGTGACAAGGCTGAAGACTTTGTACTCGAATGTTAACCACCAGCAGAGAAATTGATGAAGATTTTTTTAGATGACAGATTCAATAAAAAAGATATTCCAAATCTGAAAATAAATGATTGAGATTAATCTTAATATAAAGAAACCTATTTGCTTCGCTGTGTGTGGCACTGCCGTGGCAGAAAGTTTTATCCTTGGTTCCAAATAACCATAATCTAATGATGCTTAGATTTGCAAGTAATTTTTTCACAGAGTGAAATGAATGGAACAACCGTGCTTAGATTTACAAGTAATATTTTTTTGACGGAATGAAATATAAAATGGAACAACCGTACGGCACTGTCACTGCTGTCGACATAGTATTACCGCTAAGTGAAACAAAATATTAATTTACATGCATGGAAATATCTTTCTTTTTCTTTTTTGGGGGAGCACAATAACACGTAATACCTAATATTTTAAACTTTGATATTTTGACGACATGTTTTTTTTATGGGGGAGGGGGCTTTTTGTGTGCTGTTGACTTACTTTCGTTTCTTAAAATCACATGTAAAATCTAATTGGTAATTAGCTCAAATTATTAATTGATAATTACTTACTTGATTCATTATTCAATCGTGCTATTTTTTTTTTGGTACACGTACTTGCTTGTGCATGAGCTATACTTGTGATGTACATAACAGAAACCACAGTCTTATGCAACTCTACAACTTGTGATTGATACTGTTAAGAAATACCAGATGTTTATGAACAATTTTTACTTGTGCAAGTACATTGTATATCGTAATGATCCAAACTGCCCCAGGATATTTTGGGCATTTAATGTTGTCGGGATGAACACATAGCTTCAGATTAGTTCATCCAGTGTAATTAATCTACACCAGGCACAAAAACCTCAGAGGTTGCGGTGTTATGTATAATCTAAGTCAATTTTGGCACACGGGTACAGTACTTACATACATTTTACTTAATTTCTTATACATACATGTAATTATTTACAGTCATTGTACACTGCTTTTAAAGTCTAATTTCCACTTTCGATCTCAGTGAGACTTTGGTGTAGTGTTGTGAGGTTTGGTGTGAACCATTATGTCCGTTGTCGATCATTTTCAAGTGTGATGAGTCCGCCAGTGTCGATCAAGATGAAAATTAAGTAGGCCTGTCCAGGGCTGGCTGAGTTGTTTTCATCTCAGTCACTATTTCAGATGGTGGAAACGCAATTATAACAGCAAGGTTCATATGTCCTTCGACAAACCCATATAGTGAGGTTTAATTGTGTTGATTGCGATTTTGATGTCTTCAACTGAGGTTAGGGTGACCCATAAGTGAGGTTCGAATAATTGTCCTTTTTTATCAAAGTGAGGTTTGAACGTTCCTGCAAATGTTCCAAAGATTACAGTTTATCACACTGAGAATGTAACGTTCATGCTCCGAATGAGGTTACAATGTTATTAATTCATCACATTTATGAGGAAAAGGTCTGTGATTATTACATACAGCGAGGAGAGTCCTGATTACGCTGTTCACCGGTCCTTTGTCTATTGCACTGAGGTTGTGATGTTTATCAGTTGAGGTTTTTACACGGGATTATTCAGTGAGGCACCCGCAGATTCCCCTCTTGTCGCAGCAGACGACGGAGGTCCCACCTTGTTCCCTTTCCACTTACCGGTTCCTTGGACTGCAAGCAAGATGACGACAACAATGGACACCTCAAGGAACCTCTGACAAGTCTGGAAGATCATCCACCTCCAGGGTGAGGTATAGCCACTCCTGAAGTGCGAGACATAGATGGATATGACAGCGTACATATTGATGCTCGTGAGGGCCAGAGCGATGACTGAGCAGGCCAAGACGATGTCATTGAGGCGTTTGAGGCGACTTGTCTCCTGAACCCCAACCTCCTGACTGGTGAAGCAGCCTTTCGAGTTGGCGACGATATGGCGCATCTTCCAAGCTACCACCAGGAAGCCAATCCCCAGAAGGGTGCCCCAAATGATGAACATCGCCTGGCAGACCAGCAGGGCATACTTGGTTGAATTGTCGTAGGCGACTAGGAAATCGGCCACCAGGACGAAACAGAGGGAAGGAACAATAACAGCAGCGAGGGTTGAGGGCTTCTGGAACTTTGGAGGTGCCAGCGACATCTTAGTGGTCTCAAGGAGGACAAGGAGAAGCACACTGATGGATGCTGTGATGAAAGGCCAGCCGCAGGACCACAGAACGGGGCCAAGGGGGCAAGGGAGCAGTTTACGAGTGCCATAAGGATCAGTGTATAGGAAGATACAGCGAGTAACACAGGAGACCAGGACTAAACCATGTAGTGTGGCGTTTAGTCGTGAGGTCTTCCGGTTCCCCCGGAATCCTCCGTTACCCGTTGTTGCATTCTTGGAACAACCGGTGACGAACCACACGATGATGTAGATGGACAGTCCGAGGTACAGAGTGGGGAACAGGTAGATGTGGGCGTGCCACGCCCATTGCCACTCCTCAAATGCGGCTGTCCAGTTTGGTGTGGGAGCCGGCCAACGGCAGCGCGGACCGGTCTCCGGCGGCGGGGCTGCAGTGGCGTTCTCATGGGTGAAATTGAAGCAATCAACGGTACTCCCGAGCGAGCAATTCACGCTATCCATCATCGTCCCGTGAACAGTCATAGTATCTCTTGACGGCTCTTCACCAAAATGTTCCTCGTGTCAAGTTCACGCACGCCTTTTAAACCTCCACACACTGATGACAACAATATTACCAGGAACTCTCCACGCGAGCACCAATCGCTACTGTTCCCTCCCCGGAAACAAACAATTGCCATACATCCCGTCAGTCGTCACTTAATCCCACAAGCTAAACATCAGTAACACAAGAAGCCACGTCGCTAGGCGGTCACTGCCAACTTGTGACAAAACACTGAGCACCTCTCGACTTCTAGCTCTATGAGATGACGTAGCTCACAGATTTGATTTCATCACCGTAAATATTTACCCGAGCATCCTAATTGTGCGGTGTGCATTTCAGTATCGCATTCAATTAGTCAGCAAATTTGGGTACAAGTAGTGACATACACTCAAACAACGCTGTATCTCATAGTCAGAGCTGTTGCCTGTGTGTGTCCATCGGTTATATGGACGTGTGTTGAATCAAACCGCGGTATATATGATGGTTTAATCAATTTCAACCGAGACCTTCAATGTGTCCAGGTGATTTAGCTTATGAAGGCCAGGGGACTTATGTGGGATGTGAAAACAGCATCGCGTGTCTGCACTCGGTATACAGAAGCACTAGAGTTTTAGCACTAGGAGTTTTGTGGTGCATGTGCAAAAGACTTCACAGAGATTTTCAATGATGAAAAGTATGAAGATATTTCTGAGTCAGTTTTGTGGGCGCTCTATCCCGTTCACACCGAGTTTTGTCATTCTGTTGAGACCGGTGACTGTACTACATTCCCCGGGCGGTTTCTTAGCTTATCATCACGGTGCTTGGTTTCACTCGTTGATCCTCTCTTGGTCGAGTTTCACACTGCCGGAATTGGTCTGTTTTACGGTTCACTAAAATGATGATACTTCCCCCGTTTTGTTGATTATGGTCCTTGGTAATCAGAGGAAAATTTCTTGCTTCTTGCCAGGAACACGTGGACATACTCCCGTAATCAGTTTCCAGGATAAATCATTTTGTTCGTCTGTGTTTGTCCACACATTCATCGGCCTTGTATTTCGAAAGCCTCGTTGTTTCCCAGTCAAAACTGTATACATGTAGTCATCAATGTTAAATCACGATCCACTTTGATTTCCCAAGGCAAAAGAAAACCACGCCGTAGTTTACTGTTCGTCCTACCGTGAAGAATGAGGCTCTAGCGGGCGGAGGTCCGTGCGATTTACGCAAGAGGTATAGATCTCTTCGGGGAAAAGGGCTTTTGGTGTTTTTGATGCCCCAGTCTCTGCATTCACCGATGATGCTTTATTCCAGTACCAAATTATCTGTTCGTCGTGGTAGGTTACGTAGGCTTAATGTGTTGATCGTTTTCTGCTGTACTAACCGCGAAAACGAAGTATAATGTTCCAAGATCTCTGCATCTTCACCGAATAAGCACTTCCTCCAAGTTCCTTCAAGTCGGAAGGTGTTATTTGAGTATGCCTGAAAACATGCTGAAACGGCTAAATACTTAATCCTTCACTTCGCAGAATCCAAATTCCTTCTCTTGTTGCATCCTTTTGGCCTGCGTAGCCTATACCTATTATAATAGCGGTTTCTGACAAAGAACATAATTAGTACAGAGCTCAACGTAGAATCTTTTGTGATGGTCTTTAATCTGATTCTGCTAGTATTGTCACTTGATCTGTTTATCCCACGGTTTATTGAGCGAATTGGGGTGAGGTTTTTGGTAGTATAATTAACCAATTCAGTAGCCACAACAATAACTGTTGATTATTCCTTAAAAACGTCAATCCGTCAGGCTTGGGTTGGCCCAAATGAGGTCTGCGTCAGCAGGTTGCTAAAAATATCCACTGGACAAAACGGGAGCAAGAGCTTGGCAGCTATGCAGAGCTTTATGGGGCCAGGCGCAGCGTCAAACTCCCCCCCCCCCCAAAGGGACAAGCATAAACAGTAGGGGATCTGGAGGGGGGTTGGGTCCCCCCCCCCCTTCAGCCGCTGACAAGTGTTATGAAACTAGTAATGGAGCAAAAAATAACAAATGGAATGCTAAAGTTCCTAAATAATATTCTCAAATTGCCTTATAGAATGCAGGAGAAAGCACATAGATTGCAATTTGTTTTCGTGGGCAAGCCCCGGACCCCTAGCAAGGCTTGCATTCGGCACGCTTTCACTCAACCTCCCCCCCCCCCCCCCCCCGTTTCCTGAAAGCTAGATCCGCCCCGAGATGTGCACTCACCTCAAGTATAGCCTTGCACCCTATCAGTCTTTTTGGAAGAGCAGCTTCAAATTTGAGGAGCAAATGTCGATATCCTCCCAAACCAAGGAAACATTTTCTAATGCAACAAGAATAGTTCCAGTTTAATTCAGACTCCGATTCGGCAAAATTGTAATGTATGCTTCGTTCTTCATCCGGTGGGGGTTAAAATGTTCCCTTCAATTGCCTATTTGTATTGTCTCTTATTAGGCTATACAAGTGTTTTAACAACTTGTACTCTCAAGAGCGTGGATAGGGAAAGTCATTGCTGTTCCAAGAAATTCAGTTAATCTCAGACGTGGCATTGATATGCACGACTACGTCGAGTCTGTGCTTTTTTACTTTGACGCTTTTATAAGACACATCCGTTTTTGATGAGACAACAAAGGCCCTAGGGGAATGGGCTGTAGTTTAAGAACTTGCAGTTTGTTCTTGGTTGTTAGTCATCAATTTAATCCGGGAAGTGTTGCCAAGGAGATCACAATGTCATCACCACTGAACCATGAATCAGTAATGCTTGAATGAGACATAACGAAATTGAAATCCTGAAGCTTTTGCACTAAATTTCCATCGTGAGATGGGGTGGGTTGAGTGGGGCACTGCGATTCAGGTAAATACTTTTTGAGGACATCTGGGAAACCATTTTAAAGTTTGCTCTGAAAGACCTAATTCAATCCCATTTGAAAGAATATCTGCATACATTTCCAGTTTTGAATATAAATATGTTTTAATACGCAATAGCAAATTTTAACGATGGTTGGCCTACAACTTATTACATTACTGTGTCCTTTCTTGTTTAAAATATTTCCTTTAAAAGGTTATCATATTTGACCCTTTGAAATAACGAATGCAAGGTTTTCAATTTCGTTGACACATGAGAGCCTTAATATTGCAAATCTTGAATTGACAAAACAAAATCTTTGTTTATTATTGGGGGCGCCCTACCCGTCACGCGCACCAAACACTCAGTTTGAAATCAGCTTTGTATCGAGGGCGCCCTGTCACCACAAAAGTCACTGAATATTTAGACTCGACATACACATCAATTTTTACAGTTTAATAAAAATTATCATTATTTACACAATATAAATTTCATTTATTAAAACAAAATGACCATAAATTCGATTTCATTAATGTTCATAATCGCATTATGTAAATTAAGATATGATAGTTATTAGCCCGTGTAAATAATCACCATTAATATAATAACACAAAACTTTGTAATATTCAGCCATTTACATGCTATAATAAGCGTATCAAATTGTAATTTGCGAATTATTTTGTGTGCTTAGAAATTCTATGAATTTGATTTCATGGGCGTTTGAGGTTTGACCGCCCTAATTCAATTCAATTGAATATTGCATTTATATACATACTTTGCATAAAAAGTGATATATTCATTACATTAATGCAAAATCTGAATAAACATACATAATGGCTCTGAAGCATGACTATGAAAACAACACAAGGCAAGCCTATATAGTAAAGCTGGTCACAGGGCACACAAAATTATATTTCAGTGGTTCAGAATGGCTATTCAATGGAAGTCTCTTCATACATGTGGTCTTCACAAGGGGTAATCCTATGTGAATTGCTCACGGGGAGTCAGTCAGTCAGTCAGTCAGTCAGATAGCTACAAAGATGCCACAAAGCTGACCCTCTGGGTCAGCAAAAATCCAAACCATTGCAGGGGTGGAGGTTCCATTATTTTCCTTAAGCAGGCTTCTAAACGTTCAGAAGCCTAATAACTGCTGATACCATCACAGCAAAACCCAATCCTAATTTCAGCATCTTAGGCTTAGCCCGAGATGCGCTGCTAAACTGCGGAGGTGGCGTGCCAGAACAAGCACAAGACACACCCTCAGACCACGCCGGACAGGTGCCCCCGGTGCTGCACAGGTAGGCGTTGTTCCCCTCCCTCTCCCCGCTCTCCAACGCCCCCTGGATGTGCCCACTAAAATACAAACTCGTATGTTCCCCAGCAAATAGCAGCCTGCCCAGCCGAGATTGGATCTTATGGAAGCAGTTGATGTTCAGAGCAGGGGTCCAGAGACTGTGTGAGCCCATGGTTAAGGGATTACTGTTCCAGCCAGAGACGTGAACGGCCAGGGGTTCGGGGATGCTGAATTTGAACAACCTACGGAGAACTCGCATCATTTCACGGCTTGTTTCCTGGGTGGTTTGGGCGTCGATTCGACGGGCTTCGTCGCCGCTGATTTCGGCCATCAGGACGTGGCGGTCACTCCGACGAAGTTCTGGGACTGAATAGAAAAGAGAAAATAAGAAATATTCGAAAAAAATAATAATGATTGAGTAAAAAATTAATATAATAACAACAAACGGGTTGAAAGTCTGTGCGATAGAGGGTATATACAAACTTTGCTCGAAATATTGAAATATTGCACGCTATAATCACTTATTTCAAGAGTATTTAAAATTAAAATTGCTGGATTTTTTTTACAATTTTGTTTTTTAAAGTGTGTTCCCCGTGCTATTTTCGAGTTTCATCCAGAAAAATTAATCACTATTTTTATCAAAATACAAAAATTATTCGCATTTGAATGAGACATCGACCGAATAAATCGGCCCATGTTTAGTTATTGAATTATTACTTAACAATTTCGAATTATTGGCTGCCAGACGATAATTCTGTTCTCGCAGCGTAGGCTGGTTCCCGCCCACAATCTGTATCGATAGTGTACAGACCGGGAGCCAGTCTATTTGCAAATCGGATCTGCTTGTGCTCAAAACAAAAACCTTTTTTCAGAGGGTTGCAAACGTCCAAAAAAGAAAAAAAGGAGATTTTTTGGTTGGAATAAAACATAAGTTGAAAATTTATAAATAGAAAAAAAAGAGCCCGGGAAACGCAACTTTAAATTGAAAAATCAAAACATGTTGATATAACGCATCAGAATACAACGCTGGCCACTTATCGTCTGCTCGCATTTTTGCGAAACACCTGTGTTGCTTTTGATCTATTCATATGCAAATCGCCCGCCAAACTTTAGGCGAAACCATTTTGCACGGAGGTGAGGTAAGGTGAAGTAGTCACATTTCTCTCGTCGTTTCGAAATAATGTCATGTTTTAACAGATCATCCCAAGTACATATTCTTCTCTACTTTACCAACTGGGTTTCATCAGAACATTTATTTAATCAAACATTTCAGCAAAAAAAGTTTTATTACGAAATGTGACACCTTCTTTACGAATGCGTGTGTTCCACTTTATCGACCGCCGCACGCGCTTCGTTTTGCCGTGTCTTGTATACGGAATCGTCCGCCATTACTGACATTCCTGTCGTTCAACGTCAAGTTCTTCTCGAGACAGGAATTTGTAACCAGCGTTTTCGTTGTTTTGGAATATTTTGGTTTCTCGCTCTAAATAATGTGCTTAAAGAAGACTGGAAGTAGTTTGTTGCTGAGGTGTTTTAGCAACAAAAACTGCCGCGAATGAGCTGCTTTCCGCGTTTTTGACGTGCGTCCAAACAACGCTAAAGTTTGTCAAGACTTACTCCTGGTTCCAAGGTCGACGAACAGCGGAAAGTGTCCCCGTCTGTCGGACACGCGCAAGAGGAACTCCCTGCTTCCCCAGAAGGTGTTGGGAAACTCCATGAAGACTTTGGTGTGAGCTCCCATGACGAAACGGTTCAGCTCTCGGGTCTTCCAGCCCGGGAATCCCGGAGTAAACTTGACCATTTGTCGCTGTAACACCCCCAGGCTGAAGGTACAGATGACCCACTCGGCCTGGTAGACTGACCCGTCGCGGCAAGTCACAGTGACGTGGTCGGGACTGCCGTAGTTGACTTCCACTACTTCTTTGTTGAACAGAATCTTGTCTCTGGAAATATGGATAAATATCAGGAAATGAAAGAGTTTGCAACATTTACTGCCAAACAATTCCCAAGACTCAAGAAATAAGGTAAGAACACATCAATTTTATCGTATTTGAAAAAGAAGGCTAATATTATTTGTGATAACATAAATTAGGCCAAAAAAAATTCGATTTTGACAGCCCTATACCCTTTTTGTTTTTGGCAAAATGAGGAATAAAATCCCAAAAAATTATCAATTACTTACCTTTTACCCTTGACTACACGCTGACACCTCGATATGAGCATACAGAATAATTGCCAAAAAACATTCCCTATATACCTACCTACCCTATTTTCAAGTGCCATGTAATCTGAAGCAGAAGTACTTTTTTGGCCTCATAATAGGCCTATAGTTGTAGGAATTGTTTTGCTTAGCTTTTCGCGTTTCATGAAAATAATTAATTTCGGCGTTAAATCTATTTGAATGGGGGCGCTACAACATTATTACGGTTTGAGCCTTTTTTGTCTTGTGCAGTACAAAAGTAGAAGGAATGTCGGATACGGTAACATATTCTGATAATTTAAATGTAATCAAAATTAATTCATTCTTAAAAATAAAAGGGCGTGAAAGAAAAATAGAAGTATTAAAAATTAAGATTTTTGTGTACCGGTTTAAAATACGTCAAACGGGAACAACAAAAATGACAATGTTGCCCCCCAAAACACGAAATATTTAATCAAATAAAAGTCCAATATACGAACCTAGACGTGAATTATAAATATCACAAAATATCGACAAGTTTCAGAAAAATAGTAGCAGAAAATATGACTTCTGTTTTCCGGTTTAACAATCAGTACGTCGAACGGGAAATGCATGTCGGAAACGACAATGTTACCCCCTCAAAAAAAACCCACCCCAGGTATTTAATGAAATAAAAGCCAAATATACGAACAACCATGTAGATGTGAATTATAAATATCACAAAATCTTGTAAGTTTAAAACTATAAACATGCCAACCTGGAGGCAGGGTCTGTCATGAGGAGAAAGTTGGCATCGAAGTAAGACTTGAACCCTCGCTGTTCGGTCACATGAAGGTGCGGGTTGGCGTTGGGTCCTCGCTGAACGATGAGCTCTGGTGCATCGAAGCGATGTGATTTCAAAGATGCTGCCTATTATCAAGATTAATGTATATTTATTTTTATTTTACATCTTTGTAAAATGATGCAAAAAAGGCAATATGATGTCCAGGTTTAGACAAAAGTCCATAAACATTGTCAAAAAATATAGTAATATTTGCAGCTTAAATAATTATAAACATCCATTAAAAATCCATAAAAAAATCCATTAGAAATCCATTAGGCCAAAACAAAAAAGTCTCCGGTTTCTGGTATGAAGCTTGCCCCAAAAGTGGTGCGGCGACGCGGCTTTTTTTTTTTTTTTACTTTTTTTTTTTTTTTTTTGGCTTCAAATGTCGGCTGATGACTGCAAATGGTGCCCGACTAAACTTAGTGCAAATATATGGGAGTCCAGAGAGGCCACATAAAGCTTATTCTCGATCATAACCCCATCTAAAAACACGTTAAAATTGTGCAGCAGCAGGATACCAGTCAAACCAGTGAATTTGGCGGTTTTGAGACATCATCTTGTATTGAAAAAAAACCGTTTTCATTTTGCCGACGCGCATGGCTACGGCGACGCGCGCGCGCGCATACCAGAAACCGGAGACTTTTTTTTTTGGCCTTACAAATAAACGTTAAAAATTCCAACTGGGAATTGAACCAAAAAGACACGTACTTTTCCGCCTAAACTCCGGTTTTCTTCCACAATTCTTAAGCAAGACAAAACATTGACTGTTGAAGTTTGAAGAATTCCACAAAATGATTCCACCAACTTTGAGCTATTGCCCCTTAAAAATTCTTCGTCTCTTGTTTAAATCGTTTGTTGCAGCATATTTACGGATTGTAATCTGTAAAAATTATATATTTGGTGGTGTTAGCGCAGCATTAAACCGTTGAGGGCGTCTTCACAACCATTGGTTAACCAGTAGTTGAACTTTTTGTAATGACAAATGGACTTACTCCTGGCACATCTCCCAATTTGTAATCGAAGTGCAACCACTCCAACGTCTTATCCAATGGTGCTGTCGGGAACCAGCCAAGACTTTGGAAGGCCGCCCTCACCGACATGTCTGAGTCATGCGACTCCAACAGTTCCTCTGCTAGATTCAAGCCCTCCCTTACTGTGTATGCGATCTGCAAAAGAATGATACAATGCCAATCTTTACACTGTTGATTTACAACATTCAACTCCCTTCCCAAAAGAAAAGACAAATTAAAGAAATTACCACCCCTCCGGCAAAAATTAAGAAATTTTTTTTCAGTTTATATATAAGAAAAGGATCCGTGAAATATCCTCTGGTAACAGCAATCAATATGACGAACATTAATGCTTCGAAATCGGCATTATTATTCATTATTGAAATTTAAAAGAGAATCCGTAAAAGTTGAACCTCTAAGCATCCCTTCCCTTTCCCTTCCTCTCATTGTAATAAAAAAAATCATCAGTCCATTTCCATTAGTCGATACAGAAAGCATTTAATAAGAATTTGCTTGAATCTAGGCCAAATATATCGTTATTTATCAAGATTTCGAAAAAAAGAACGTTTTGTTTATTTAAGAAGAGGATCCCTGGTAACAGCCATTATTATGACGAAAATTAATGCTTCGAAATTAGCATTATGACTCATTGTTCAGACATCAGATTCTAACACTATCTCTGAAAAACAATATCTCTGATGGGTGTGTCGAGGATCTTATCTTTAAAATAAAATAATGACAATCAAAACCAATCCAATATCGAAGTCTATGATAATGTAGCTTCAAATGAATGAAAGAGTAATGAAGTAATTGAAATTACAGTAAATAATCTCCATGTGCAGCCTATTATGTACCCTGTATTTTTTTGGGGGGGGGTAAAACCTAAACGGCGCCCTCTGTCGTTTATCTCGGTATTCTACTCTTTAATTTAGTATTTCCTGTTACCTCTCTTATGACCCGTTTGTTCCTCATAATATTCAAGATATTTAATAAGATCGGATGTGGCGATATTAATCAGTTTCTATTTCTGATGTCTCAAGGCAGGTGAGCAGAACATCACCTTGGTTACCCTCATACTGAGATTTGTTTTCAACAGTCTGGAAATCAAATTAATAGGATAATTTTGAAATTTGTAACAATATAGTTTGCTCCAAGTAATGCAAGGTGTTATACGTCCTCTGTATGCCTATGCCAGATAAGAAGTTGCTAGAAATGTTGCTAATTTTATCAGTGCTTATTAAAACCTCTTAAATGGAAAACTGCCCTATTAATGATTTTGCTGAGTCCATAGTGTTAGCTATGTCCTCTTTGTAGTACCTTTCTCACTGACTGACTCAATTACTCACTGACTGTAACTTGTGGCTCGGGCAGTGTTATCGTATAGGATAACCCTGTAACTCCAATAAATGTGCCAAATCCAACCCATTGTGTAGACCAGATGTATGAAAAGACTTCCAGGAAATAGCTAGTATGAATCAGTTGAATAGAATTCTGTGGGCTCTGTGACCAAATGTTCTAGGTTTGCCTTGTTTACTCAACGGATAATCATTCTTGCACATCCTGAAAGACCTCGGAAAAAGAGCCAGAAAAATATATCGTCTGAGGTTTCGGAACGATATCAGTTTGTCTCTCGTTTGGAGCAAAATGAAATATGTAATTTACTAAGAAATTACAAAAATTATTAACAGCTGCACTCTGCTCACATTGTAGTTTGACGGCCACGATCCTATAGATGTTACGCAAAAAAAATTGTACGAAGAAGCAGATTTGTTGTATTTGTTGGTAGTGCCATGTACTGGCGATTAGAGCTTTTTGTATACACGACCATATTTGTTAATGGAAATAAGTCTAATATGATTGTCCTGGGTTATTGTCAAGATTCCAAGCCATGTTGCTTCTTTTTATGGTCAAAGGAGAATTCATTGTTGGGCCGGTTTGAATTGTTGGTTCTCGATTGATGATAGCTGTTTGCTTTTTGTTCAAGTTCTAAAAACAGTTATATCGCGAATCAAGAAACGTGACACTTCCAATTTGTGCTACAAGAAACAAACTGAACGAGTGTACAGGTTGGTAAAATAAGCAAGTGTTTAGTACCTACCCGTGGCCATGCATGGGTCTGATAGGCGACAGAGGACAGGTTGGTGACGCCCTCTTCGCTGACCATATTCATAGATTGCCAGTTGGGTTTGTGTACTCTCATCCTTCCTCCTAGACCTTTTACTGAACTATCGAAAGACTGTGACATGGGTCGGGGACTGTCCGCTCCCGCCTCTACCCTCACCCCAGCGAAGGGTACATCGCGGATCCGCCCACCATACGTCTCAGCGGCTTCCAGGACCAATATGTCAGTCTCTCCCTTAGAGATGAGGGTCTGGGCGGCTTGGAGTCCCGATGCACCTGCTCCAAGAACCAGAAACTTCACGTTGATGGGCGGCTTAGGGATTGCAGGACCGGGCCTCTGGGTTGGGGCTCCTGGAGGTGGGGCTCCGTGGGGTGGGCCTCCGTGGGGTGGGGCTCCCTGTCCTGGAACCCGGGGTGGGGTTCCCTGCCCGGGTCCGTAGACTGGAGGCTGAGCTGGTAAGTATCCTGGTCCCTGCCCTGGTGTCTGCGGCGGTTCAGGTGGATAATAACCAGGCTGCTGCCATATCCCTTGCGAAGTGACCGCCACCAATCCAAGCAGGAGAACAACCGCAAGAAGACAAAGCCCGAGAACTTTCATTTTCTTCAGGATTACTTGTCTGATTCAGAAAAACTTCAGAGCTTGCTCGGGGATCTCAGTTTGCCAGCCGACTCATGAGTGGTAAACGTCTCTTGTTCAACTCCCAAATACTGCTACATTCTCCTGTCTTAAAACAGCTCCTGTGTGATGCTGGGACTCACACTTTTCAGGAAGTGATTCACCCCTGCTGTATTATTCGTCACCGCAGCTCTGGATTTCTCTATTTAAAGAATCAACACTTCCGTTCTAACTGTACCTGAGATTAAGCTTTTAAGGTTTGTTTTTCGGGTCAACGCAAAAGGGAATTCCGGTTTCTTTGTTTAAACCCAACCTTTTTGAAACTTCGACTTATTTTTGACTCGGTGGGTAAACGTTGTGTCTCAGATGAAGTGACAGTGCAAGATGAGAGTTTGGCTAGATTGTTTGAAACCAAATGAATGCTTCAATTTTAATTTCTCCAGTTGTTTCACGAAACACTATTTAAGTCAAGTTTCTGAGCTGGATAAGCGTTGGCAGCCCAGCAAATGACACTTAATGACAGGAACAAATGCTTTTTAATTGCCCAATTCCGGTGACCTTGTCAAATATTGCACTTTTTTGTTTGCTGTAGTTGAAGAACAATTGGGATTAATTATCATCTGTCATTTCCCTATATTAATTAAACCAATATCCCTTGCCGTGTTGTCAGTTCAAAGTCCAATTTAATTTTTCTGCTGAAAAATATCACACGCGATAAGAGGCCCACCCGCTACATAGACAATGCCTGAAAAATAAATTTAGATGCACTGCCCCCCCCCCATGCCCCCGGTAGCAAAAATAAAGCAATGATGCAGAAAAACCAGCAAAATGCGCATTAAACCCTTGCAGTCTTAGCAGCTAACCCCCCCCCCAATCCAAATCTGGATCTACCCTTGAAACAATAACAACAATCTTGAAATTACATGCATGAGACAAATCAGTAGTTGCTTTGGAACATAATGTAGGTCATGGCTTCGTAATTAATAGTATACATCCATTTGGTGTAATGTAATCAGGAAGTGCATTCCGTTGACTGTGAATTTGTGGTAAGGTCATGGTTTGGTAACCTAAGTGGCATTTCCTCATAGTCGATGCACTCAATGTAAGGGCTCAAATGTCTCGGTGGATGGGGGTACCGGGTACAGGACGTGTCTAATGTTACCTGTTGATTCTCGACGGATGTCTTCATCCATTTCGTGACCAAAAAGCAAGCCAGTACAGAAATACGAACAAACAGCATCTTATCAGCCTACCACAGACATTTCTTGTTTATTGTGTTTTATGGAACAAATTGAATTATTGAATATTGCAAGTACCCGACCTAATCTACCAATCATTTTGATACAGAAATAAAAGCGTAGATTTAAACAAATCTTTGATTACTATTCTCAAACGTAAATCTATAATAATTAGCTCAAAATTTCGCGTACGTTAAATTAAATTTAATTAAAATAGTACACCAGTTGTTAAACCACAACGAGGTGGTAAAATAAACTGCGTTTTTCTTGCGTTATTTTAATCCATGTATGCATGCTATTGACAGAGGGCGCCAGCTAAATAAATGACGCCCTCTCTTGTTGAAAACAGGCAAAAACGGTAATAGGAGTTTCTTTACTCCTTTTCCTCCCCGTTTTCACTTTCTAACCGTTTAAGGTTCATTTCAAACCCATAGATACTGCTCACAATCATGCTACAAAGTGAATGAAGAAATTTGTGAAATTTGTGGCCTTCGAGTTACATTCTTACGTCATACTCTTTCTCGGCCTGCGAAGTAGCGCAGACAAACTTCGTGCACAGGCAATGATTCTGTTGATCAAACCGATTTGAATGGAATTAATCTTCTTCCGTTGTTGTTACCTTGCCTTTCCTTGGTCACCAACACGTACACGGTAGCTACCTTTTATGCCCAAGTAACTGTTAATTAATTAATGTCTAATTAGTTAATGTCCAAAGGAGCCACATTTTCCATGGCGTGCGAATCAGTAATCAGCCGATGACCGACCAGCTGATCAATTATAAAAGATATAATTAGTTCGAGTTTTACGTAAATTTGAAAATTAATGATGGTCCTTTTTCATCTAAGATCAGCCTCTAAAAATGTGTGCACCTTCTAATACGATAGGAAATAAGGGTCTTCAATCACAAAACATTAATTTGATAGACACTGAAGTATGCGCCATTTGATTGGCTTCTCTCGTGCGAAAAAATACTTAACATAGTGATCAACCTGCGTGATTAATTAGGGTAGAGTTAGATCAAGTGCTCAACAATCGTTCACGATGGGTGCCGTGCACAAGACGTGGTAACACAACTGTTTTGTCTTCATTAATTTATAAATTAATGTGTTCTTGAACTTCTACTAAATTCCACGTCACTGTTAATTAATTAATGTCTAATTAGTTAATGTCCAAAGGAGCCACATTTTCCATGGCGTGCGTATCAGTAATCAGCCGATGACCGACCAGCTGATCAATTATAAAAGATATAATTAGTTCGAGTTTTACGTAAATTTGAAAATTAATGATGGTCCTTTTTCATCTAAGATCAGCCTCTAAAAATGTGTGCACCTTCTAATACGATAGGAAATAAGGGTCTTCAATCACAAAACATTAATTTGATAGACACTGAAGTATGCGCCATTTGATTGGCTTCTCTCGTGCAAAGAAATACTTAACATAGTGATCAACCTGCTTGATTAATTAGGGTAGAGTTAGATCAAGTGCTCAACAATCGTTCACGATGGGTGCCGTGCACAAGACGTAGTAACACAATCTTTTTTTTCATTTATTTATAAACTAATGTGTTCTTGAACTTCTACTAAATTCCACGTCACTGTTAATTAATTAATGTCTAATTAGTTAATGTCCAAAGGAGCCACATTTTCCATGGCGTGCGTATCAGTAATCAGCCGATGACCGGCCTTCTGATCAATTATAAAAGATATAATTAATTCGAGTTTTACGTAAATTTGAAAATTAATGATGGTCCTTTTTTTTCATCTTAGATCAGCCTCTAAAAATGTGTGCACCTTCTAATACGATAGGAAATAAGGGTCTTCAATCACAAAACATTAATTTGATAGACACTGAAGTATGCGCCATTTGATTGGCTTCTCTCGTGCGAAAAAATACTTAACATAGTGATCAACCTGCGTGATTAATTAGGGTAGAGTTAGATCAAGTGCTTAACAATCGTTCACGATGGGTGCCGTGCACAAGAAGTAGTAACACAAGTGTTTTGTCTTCATTTATTTATAAATTAATGTGTTCTTGAACTTCTACTAAATTCCGAAATATACAAACCATTCCATTGCCATCACTGACATCAACCTAATCACCACCTTTGAAATTTGACCACGATCACTACCATGCACCCATACCACAAACACCTCGTTACCATCACCGTAACGTCAATGTTATCTTTCTCCTTGAAAGTATTTTTTTCTCTTTTCCTCTTTTTTCCCCCGTTGATTTCCTTTTCTATCCCTCTCTTTGCGAAGCCCTAACGGTGAGTGGCCCTGAAATAGGGCCTTGTGATGGGCGACTTTCATAAAAAAAAAAAAAAAATAACCACCACTTGCACCCCCTCACCACGCCACTGCCGCTACATTCAATTACCAAACCATCCTAAAAACCGACAGCCATGGCTCCTACTTTACAACCGCCAACACAACCCTTGACATTACCACTATCACCACTTTCACCACCACCACCACCACAATCACCTCTCACCACCACCACAACCACCACAACCCCAAAACCACCAACAGTCAGCATCCAAACCCAGTCCAAAACCCTGTACTTACAGAATTGGAATACAGTGACGGATCAACGCCCCCCCCCCCCCACTTGGGCTGCAACATATGGGAAATCATGCAGAAAAAAAACAATAAAATACCTGCTAACCCCCCCCCCCCCCCCCCCCGGCAGCTAAACCCCCTCTTGATCGAAACCTGGATCCGGCCCTGGAAACCTGCCCTTTTGCTTTCTCAACAGTTGGATTAGCAACGAATAGTTCAGTTCAACATCCCTTCATGAATCCAATTATGGTCAATTGAGTCAGCGTGTCTGGCTGATTTATCAGCAAATTAAGGCCGTTGCACTTGCAGTCAAGACAGTAAAATCCCTCGTGTTGGAGCCCCATCCATCTCCCGTCATGCACTTTCTAATTCAATTCCGGGTCTGTACTTTCAATAATTGAATTAACAGTAAAGTGGTTCCAGCAAAGTGATAGATTTTTTAAAAATCGATCTTCACCCTCGAATGGAACAACGATCGACTACACGACAGGTGTTTCTCAGCTCCACACTGATCTTTCATAAGAAACTTCTATTGTAAGCGGAATCCCGACACTAATATCTAGCTATTTTGCTTCAAGACGTGAAAGTTATAAGTAGCAATCCACTTTGCCTTCCAACTCATGTTCAATACCCGTCATTTGTTAAACTGTTTTCACCCCCGCTACCATAGTGCATTGACACGCCCATAGCAACTGCTCCAATAGTTGTATTGGGCCCCGGACTGATGTGGCACATCCTGGTGCACCACGGGAAGAGTTTGCAGATGGTCCTCTTGTACGCAGTCCTGAAGTCCTTGCCGTACGCGTAAATTAAAGGATTAATGGCGGAATTGGCATGCGACAACACGATGAAGACGTCATAGATGGTAAGCGATGGCCCAATGCAGGACGGGCAGAGTGCCGTGCGGAGGTTAATGATGGAGAGCGGGAACCAGCATATGGCGAAGATGACGATGATGACGCCGACAGATTTGACGGCCTTCACGTCTCGCTTGTAAGCGGAGAATCGACGCTTTCTACGGGCGTTGGAGCTCGCCATTGCCGTGCCTCTGACGACGCTGGATGGGTTGGAACTTGTACCTCCTGTACATGTTGGGCCTATGCGTCTGAGCTGAATTGAACAAAACAAGAAAAAAAAAATGTTCAAAAACAAAATACCCTGAGACTCTTTTTTTTCAAGCGTGAAGTTTCTCTTTATCACCTTCATAAAGTAGTACCAAATTATTTAGAGTGAAAATGTACTCTTAATTTGAAAGTTATATGGTTCGAAACAGAGAGTTTTTGGGTGGGAACTTAACCAATTTTACTCATTCCACTATATAAACTTTATTTTTGTACCTAGTTTTAGTCGAATAAAGTGAATTTTACTCCGGAAATAAGAGCGGATTTTGGCAGGTAAACTTAGTATTATTTTGGAGTTACCCGTCACCAACGTAGTATCATTAAATAGTATTGCAGTGTACTTGGTTCTGTCCAACAGCTTGTTGGAAAAAAATCAAAAGCTTGTTCGGTTGAGCAAACCAGCGACCCCTGCCTGAGAACGTCACATCTGACGTTCTGCAATTGTTGTTCATTCCAATGTAATTCGCTATTGTCAATTCACGATGCCCACGTTACTGTACAATTCACAGACTCACTGACATATTGTCACTCGTAACCTAGCCTGGTTGTTGGCTGGTGACGAGTGCCGGGCAGTGCTGTTGTATAAGATTACCCCGTAATGGGGTAAATACGGCCCACTATATGTACATCAGATGCATTAAAAAAAAAACGTATGGTGAATAGCCAGTTTATACCAGAAGAATACAATTTCGTATCTGGGACCAGCCTTAGGGACCGTGACCATTCAGCACCGGCATGAAAAGGGCCCCCAGGTAAGCTCGTCCCCTCCCAAGAAGTCATTTCGCACCGTCCTAGCTACCGGCCCAGGAGCTGATCCGGTTGCTAATCAGGAACTCCTCTATCCTCGGGTCTATTGTTTGCAAGTATTGACACATGTAATATATCCCAGAAGAAACCCGCTTGTGGTTTTCATCTCTCAGCGCGAAACAATAGAACACTTTCGTCGGCACCGATCAAAAGCCCTGCTATGCAGTTTTGCGCACAATGGGACCGTAAATTACCAAGGCGTTTGGAAGGATTTTATCTTTAATCCGGTAAGTCTGCTATTGTTCTGCTCTGGAGGTTCTCTGAAGGGCAATAAATTGATGCGCCTGACTTACTTCAAAACTTCAGGTCAGACAGGACCATGTACCGGACGAGACTGGGCTGAAGACCGGACTGGCTCTGGACCGGACGAAGTACCGGGGGAATGGTCACGGTCCCTTACTATAGGCTTGCCACTTAAATGCAACGAAAGTCTTGTAAAAAAATATATATATATTTTGCAGGGGCCTTTGAAGCCTACCTAAAACTGAAAGAACGCCGCCCGATGATTAATCCTAACGCATACTTCGGAGGATAACCAAGGAGACGTAATAACCATCTCGCATTCAAAGGACTGGCAATTTAATCCATGAGTAAACAACCACTGTAAACAATCAAACGTAGGGATGGAAACTTCCTGTGGCAGGGATATGTGGCATGAAAGTTGACGAATCCTTCCTGTGTGTTGACCAAAGACGCACAGCTCTGTAGTTACTGAAAATCGTAAATTAACATTTCCGTTGCAGCGCGCCAAAAAAAAAAAGATTAAAAAAAACCGCGAGCAGACAACAAACACAACGGATTGTGTTTGTTTTCAATTTCAATTTCCTATGTCGCCTAGCACGATCACGGGCCTGACAATATGGGGAATCGATTCCTTTACACTGACACACAGCCAAGAATCGACCCTAGCACTGTTGTTTACACACAAACGTCAGGAAAAGATGGACCTAATTGTACATTAGGGAGTGTTTATCCAAGCGATTATCCAAGCAATTTAACCTTGTTTGCAATTTCATTAAAAAAAGAACTGGAAAATTAAGCGCGCTTCCACAAACGCACGCAAATTATTCCAGGACCTGCGGTAACCAAGCAATTTCGCGCCAAAGTGTGTTTGCGTTCAAACGTTATTTCCGAACACGTGCGACCAAAGGTCGTTTTACCAAACAACTCTTTAACTCTGATCTCCCGCAAACGGTAGAATTCGGCCGGCCCCAGTGCTTTTCCAAAATCGTGTGCTTGATTAAAATCTAATTTATCAGCGGCAGAATAAACGGCGGCACAATTGATTAATGGTATGATGAAACGAGCCTCGCTTGTTGTAATGAGACATTCCTGTAGAGGTCAAGTTTTTGATCAACGTATTCAACCACAACACTCGATGTAACTGCCATTACCGTTGATACGATGGAATTCATAAATAAACTCGTCGAACAAAACAAAACCTCCCAGAATAAAAAAAGAGTTAAAATTACCACTTATTGAAGCCCAATCAGATCCCACGTTGTAAAAATAGTCTGACGGTAATAAAAAAAGGAAATGAATACGATATCAAACCACTCTTCCAATATAGAACGTGACATCTGCACTTCAAAGTAATCTGAACACCGAAATTGTCATAGTACACGTGAAGTCATATTGTCAATTTAAAAAGGAAGAAAAAAAATTGCGAGATAACAATCTTGTCTCAGATCTCTTTTATCCTGATAGTCTACCAAATTCGATGCAATGTTGCCTTGGGGAGAATGCCAACTGTCATTAAAGGGAATGTTCATCATTGGCTTTTGCTGTAATTTTCAGAAATGAACTATTTGAGGGGTTAATATAATAGATCAAATATTGTTACACTGACATGAACCAAGAAAAACAAAAATGTTCAAGTAGTCTGGTTCCCTGACTCCACTAAAGATGAAATGGATCAATGTATTGATGCCGGAAAATTGTAAGGTAAGGGAACCAGTCTAGCTGGCCTGCACCCGTTCATGAACATGATTGTAACCAATAGCAAACAAAATTTGGACTGAAAAAATGGTAAATTTGGAGCAGTAGTTAAAAATAGTTAGGTTTTTCCAACGGTTGTCGGCCGACCACCGTTGGAAATGTATTAAAAAAAATACCATTTTCTTGAAATGACTTCACACCAGGTGCCATAATTTTACAGGATGCTTTAGACTGTCATTTACCAACATCCTAGTAAGGTATTTTGTACAAACTGAGTAGTTTTATTTTTCGATGTTTGCAAATATTGTATTTTCTCTTTAAGATAATATCCTTCAAAAACTCATGGTTTCAAATTAGCATGTTGTCCCGATATGAGAGCATTCGTTCAATGTTGATACCAGACGGTATTTTGCTGTGAAATTAATGTCAGTATCTAGAACACAACGCCTCATGCAGGTGTAGTTTGAAATGTGGACTCTATATGAAATATGGACGCAATGGATGTATTGCGCATACCTAAGTAACGATAATTAGGACAGTAAACGTGTGAGGGTTTGAATCCGTTGTAAATTAAAACAAGAGACCAGATTTCATAGGAGTCAAAATTTCATATGACACCGGTTTTGTTTACAACATGGATCAGTCAGGTGTCAGAGTGTCTGATGAATGTGAAGATATTTTATAAATCATATCGTTCCACCTGTCATGCAGGCCCGTTAAGCTCCACCGTAGACGTATGAATCTTTATGTTTGTAACACAAAGACATGAGTTATTTGTTTTTTTCATGGAACATACTGACGACATCGAGAAAATATGTTTGTTGGAAAGACAAGTAGTCTTCTCTGCAGCCTGTGTAAACGCACTGAGTCAGACTAGCGCAATTCTCCCCATGTCAATTTTCAGATGTTAATCACATTGAATCAAGGCAAGTTATAATAAATGACAAGTAGAGATGTTAGACCGATGTGGGGGAGAGTGCGGTGACAAATGTGCCTAGCTGTAGGCTGAATTCTTTTTCCTCATATCACTTTCGTCTCAATTTTACGGTGCGCGATGATTGATCGCGGCCGTCTGGTCGGCACGAAACACGGCGGCATTAATCGGGAAATATTGGTCAGGCCGATGAAATCTCCGCGTCCAGAATGCGTCTGTTTTAGGGGTCTTCATGTCGAGATATAATACTGTGTTCCGCTACTGACTGAACCTCGGTCGGTGACAAATGACGACAATGCGACGGTGATGCTCTGTTTGGGTCAAGGGGTGGGAAAGTCTATTGGGTGAAAGTTCAGTGTGGATTCTGTGAACTGTTGATTCTGTCAAACACATTCAAGAGTCAACCCAAACAACTGTTTGTTAGTGGTTACAGAATATACTATACATTGCATACCATGATTTTCTTCCCGGTTTATGCAACCCAAAATGTTTTCCTCCTGTTTTTACTTTTATTCCCAATAACAAAATCACTATATATTTGTAGTTTATCAACAAACAGCCCGACAAAAAATCAGAATTTCAAAAGCACCACTAGCCCAGGTCGCCCCAAGATAAAATCTTTATCGCAAAAAGCCTGGGAATTTTTCCCTCATTCAAAGAAAGAACAACCCGTTGATCGATATAACCTAATTCACTTTCACGCACCAGCGAAGATCACTTCGGAAATTTCATTCGGAAGTTGTTCAGCATGCGCAAGTCTCACGCCTTTTCATTGTGTGCGCGTAGCCCTGAATAACGTGTTTCGGGGCACTCAAGTTCTGCGGGGCATTCAAGTTCTAATTCTGCGGGGCATATTGGTAATTTTGAAACTGAGTTTAAGGTCAGTGCATTTCCTGTTTTCGGTAGCCTGAAATGAACAGAATTGTTCTTACCTGTGCCAGAGTTGTTATAAAAGTCAAGCACACGTCAATTATTAATCAAATCACAACTTGGTCACAAGAAACAGCTAGGGGACGGACGATAATAATAATACTGGTGCTTATAATGAGAGTGACTTCGTCATATTTCATTACAATTGTTTGCTGCTTGACTTGAGACTCACTTGGATGATTGACTTGTGATTGAATTGTGATGACTTGATTACAATTCAACCCACGCTTCCTCTGTTGTCGAGTCAAACCATGACGTTGCATATGAACTTATTATTTGGGTACCCCCAACGTAATCGTATCGTGATTTATAACCAAGCCATCTTGGACTATTCAATTACAACGGGCAGCCGCAATACCAATTTTCCATTTCCACAAAAA